ACCACTACACCATGCTGGCTCTTTTGCACCTGCTTCTGCGTAGGAGGTCTTGGGATCCGGCTAAAATAACAAAGTAGATCCAACACACTTGAAATCTGTCTACCTCTGTTGTAAGGACCATAAATAACATCTAAAGTATGTATCGTCAAGAGAGATAGTAAAATTCCCATTATCTGAACTTCCATTATCCAACTGCCCCTTATGCTTTGGCTTCCCCCTAATTTCTCTCTTCATAATTTCATGTTGATCCAGCCATATTCAGTGATCACTTCAGAGTCACAGAGGATGAGCAATACATCACATGTGTTGTTAAAGGAAACAGCCTACAGGTCCTAAAAATACACAAATATTTTTGCAAATATTTTTTATGATGCTGTTGGGGATGTACTTGTGAATGCTTGGCTTCAAATAGCAACTACAGGCTCAGTTGCAGATTTGATAGGTAAAACACCGCTGCATCTAAAATTGGCGTTCAGATTATAATGAGGACATCCAAATTTGTTTTTGAAAACAGTGTGAGGAGAGGGGGTGCACTTCTTGTGGTGAAGAAGAGATATTTTCTTATTTGCACCTCATTATTTGCATCTCAGTTCCAGGGCAGGGGTAACTAACCTGTGGTCCTATCATACCTGATGGTTTGCCCTGTTGTTGGCTGTGGTTAATGAGAGTTGGAGTCCTTCTCAATCTGGCCCGTGGACGGTTCAGATTGCCTTCTCAATCTGGCCCGTGGACGGTTCGGGAATCAGCGTGTTTTTATATGAGTAGAATGCATTATTTAAAATGCATCTCTGGGTTATTTGTGGGGCCTGCCTGGTGTTTTTACATGAGTAGAATGTGTGCTTTTATTTAAAATGCATCTCTGGGTTATTTGTGGGGCATAGGAATTCGTTCACCCCCCCAAAAAATATAGTCCAGCCCACCACATGGTCTGAGAGATGGTGGACCGGCCCACAGCTGAAAAAGGTTGCTGACCCCTGATACAGAGAATATCTGTTTCCTCTGTGAAGAAGAGGGAATTGTCAGTGCACGCACACAGCTTTTTCTCACTCCTGCGTCACAAAATGTGTCCGACAATGTTCCCCTGTCTACCCAGCTGCTAAAGGCACAGGGACTCAATTCTAATTTGCCCCTGGCTGCACTAATGTGTATTTTATGGTGGTTTTATTATGTCACATTGTGTACTACATTGGGAGCTTTTCTGAGCCAGTGTTAGAAAGAAAGTTATGGACTCTGATCACTAATAGAGATGAATTAGATTTTTTTTTTGGCACGAGCATGAAAAGAGCAAGAGTCCTCTAGACTGGAAATTTTGGTGATTAGAATTTGAGGTGAGAAGAAATTTAACTCAGCAAGGCAGACTAGACAGAGGGACAACAGTTTTATTGAAAATTGGAGCTGTTTATGGCATATTGGAAGGGACGCGGGTGGCACTGTGGGTTAAACCACAGAGCCTAGGACTTGCCGATCAGAAGGTTGGCGGTTCGAATCCCTGCGACAGGGTGAGCTCCTGTTGCTTGGTCCCAGCTCCTGCCAACCTAGCATTTTGAAAGCACGTCAAAGTGCAAGTAGATAAATAGGTACCGCTCCGGCGGGAAGGTAAACGGCGTTTCCGTGCGCTGCTCTGGTTCCCAGAAGCGGCTTAGTCATGCTGGCCACATGACCCGGAAGCTGTACGCCGGCTCCCTCAGCCAATAAAGCAAGATGAGTGCCGCAACCCCAGAGTTGGCCATGACTGGACCTAATGGTCAGGGGTCCCTTTACCTTTACCTCTTATGGCATATTGGAATGAAAAGGCAGATGACACAGTAAATCTCTACATGCTTTTTGGGTAAAATATAATATTACAAATCATTAAAGTCTAATTGTTCTTGACTGAAAAAGGGTATTTAATGTATAGGCAAAAAATTATTATGTGGCTTTATATTAAAACATCCGTATTTGTGTGTGTGTATGATTATACTACTTTGGAAAGGGAAATCTATCAACAGTGATCATAGTTAAGGATACTGGGGGGGGGTTAATAATAATTGCTAGAAATTGCTTTAATAATTGCTTTATAAAGAAAACGTTATGCTTGATTTTTAGTCAGATTCTCAGTAGTTCTGTTGGTATGTTTCACCTTGGTTGTTTTACATGTCCTCAATGCTTTGAAATTGTTTAGAATTCCATTTATAACCCGTAAGATAGAAAACCCATTCTGCATTGAGGGAAGGGCAGTGGCGATATACTAAAAAGTTTCCTTTAGTCTGCAGCCCGGATATTGCTCTCTCTCGATTGTTCCAGAGGCATGAACGAGAGCTCAGCAGAGTGCGCTTAGTCATTTTAAATCCCCCTCTTTTGTCTCCTCTGCCAGGAACAGAACCGCTTAGAAGAGTAACTTTCTTGCTTGGTGCATATTGAGACAAAGCAATTGACAGCTACATAGCTGTGTTTCATGACTCAGCAAAAAGATCGTCAGTCACTCACTCATTTGAGGGCTTGCACATTAAAACTCTCTCTCTCTCTCTCTCTCTTTATGGAAAGCTCATCCGCACAGTGCAATCCAGTGCTTGAATGTTTATTAGTAAGTCCCATTTGAATTCAGTGGGGCTTATCCCCAGGAAACTGGGTACAGGAATGTAGCTTAGTCATCGAAGTCTGTGCTGAATCTCCTGAAGGAATACAGCTCCAATATGATTCACGAAAGGGTGGGGAATCTGAAGTTTTAAATGCCAGTACACCCAGCTGCTACCATCTGTCTCTCAGAATCAGATATTTACTTGCATTTGACAGATTCCCCAGCACAGTGCAAAGCATCACAAAGCTTCTTAGCTTGTTTAAGAATGGTCTGGACTTAGGACCAATAGGGGTAGAGAAATTGGTTGACAGGTGCCATGGAAAGATCCTAAGCTGCTGGGTGCCGTAGGTAACACCCTTAATTTTAAAGAAAGGGTAGAGGTGGGGAGAATATGCCAGCAGGGAAAGGAAAGCAAGGCATTTCCTGTACTTTTACGACCATTGCTATTCATATCACAGAAGTTACGATAGCAAAATTCAAAAGTTGGAAAAAGCAAGTTAGCAGCTGTCATTCAACCCTATACAGGGGTACCTCTGGTTACGTACTTAATTCGTTCTGGAGGTCCGTTCTTAACCTGAAACTGTTCTTAACCTGAAGCACCACTTTAGCTAATGGGGCCTCCTGCTGCCGCCAGAGCACGATTTCTGTTCTCATCCTGAAGCAAAGTTCTTAACCCAAGGTACTATTTCTGGGTTAGCGGAGTCTGTAACCTGAAGTGTATGTAACCCGAGGTACCACTGTAAAAGCTTTGGGGGGAGGAAGCATCTGCTCATATATATTGGGGGTGCAAAACTAACCTCGGCTTGAATGTGTTGTTTCAAAGGGGCTGCACATACACACACAGCAATGACCAGGGACTTTACCCTGATCATCCAAGCTGTAGATGGGCACCGTAATTAACCAACCTTGCACCACAGACTAGAGTTTGTACCAGACCCATATAATCAAACTTCCATTAAAACGTCTGCTGAAATAAAAGTATTCAGCAGCCACTGAAAGTTCAGTAGGGAGGGGACCTGTCTGAGCTCAACTGAGAATTCCATGCATTTGTTACTTATGTTACACATTTTTCTGTTTTTATATTGTAAACCACCCTGTCATCCTTGGATGAAGGGCGGTATAAAAATTTAGCAAGTTTAACAAAATGGTCATCCCAACTCCTCCATTTCCAACCTTAGCTTGCAACTTGAAAGCATAGAAACCTAGGGTTGTAGCCAAGTCACAAGTCATTGGGATGAATTTAAGTTAATGATATCCACTGATTTCAAAGGGTCTCCTCTCAGTATGACTTAGTGGGATACAGCCTAGAATCTGGATTCATCCTTACATTCTAAAGCCTAGTCACTTTTAGGTGGAGGTAAGGTTTATTCATTGCATAGTACAGGTACTTTCAAGCAAGCACGGTTAAGATTATAACCTGATCTTGAAATCACTGGGACTGGGCTGCAAGAATCGCCTTGGGCCAATGTGTAAATGCTGTCAGAATTGAGTAGGGAAGTGTTTACTGGATAACAGCACTTCAGATTGCAGATAGCATTTAGCTTGGGGGATGACAAACTGTATATTTGAATGGTCTCCCATAGAAAAGTACTATTAAAAACGCATGTCAGAGTAAAGGCTGTATATGAAATCCCTTATTTTTCTATGCATGGCAAGTATCTTTTCCCTACTGAGCAGCTATTTAAAAGGTGGTACTAAAAGCCCCCCTTTCCAGCATCATTTCCACTCCTAGTCTAGAGGCTGGCACCTATCCATTTTTTTAAAAAATCTAAAAAAATAAATGGAAATTTTACATAAATTTTCAAATATAGTTAGAAAGAACCTGTTCCCCCGTACAATGAAGCAAGCAACAATGTCAGCACAATACTCAATACACAGGTTCACCTGTGGTGTAATGTTAAGTGTCAGATATATTTGCTGTCATTATAAAAGGTTCTGAGTGGATACCACATTTCTATACAGAAAAATGAATTGTGAACACCATTTAATGCTTAACATGCTAAGTTTCTCCATTAGTGCTACTGCCCACATCTTCTGTCTCCACAGAGAGAGTTGAAGATGATCCAGATATTTCAAATTCTGCACAATGAGCTGTTGATCTGCCACAAACAAGAATGCAGCAAGTTCTTTGTGTTGGTCTTTCGGTTCATTGTGAAAGATGCTCAATAAAGCCAATTGTGGCGTGCAATGCCCAGTCTGTTGTGTCAGCCACACATTCACTTTAGATATCCATTCCAGCACCCAAAGAATCACCACCGGCCATCTTGAATACAGAAGCTGAACGAGGCTGAGCATATAGCGATTATAGACAAGAAGAGTCACCAGTCATGTGTGCGCTACAACACAGGCGTCCCTTCCAAAAAAGCAAAACCTACTGTTATTACTAACGGCAGCCTTCATGTTAGGATCTGTAGTTGCATGGTAGCACACAAAACACACCAACCAAAATGCCCGCACTGTTTATTACACTGAAAGTTGCAAAATACAACACAGCTGACAAGACGTCATTATCACATTTCAATGCAAATTAAAATGTATGTAAAGCTGGCTAACAAAAGTAACCTGTCATTTCTCAGAAATGAAGTCAGCTGGGCTCCACTGGAGCAGCGTGTGGGAGGTGTATCAGGTTTCCCTTTGGGTTGGTGGAAGGAACACCAAAGTGTGTCCCCCCTTTGGATTGCTTTACACCTGGAATGATCCAAAAAAGGACCATTTAGCCTGTTGTGTCCTAGTACTCTATATCGAGGCCAAAGCCTCAGCTGCCTAGCCCACCATGTCATTCCCATGCACAACTGCACATTCAGTGCTACGGAAGTTCACATTTCCATCGTACAAGGCAGAGCTCCTCAGAATTATGTCCCAGTGTGGATTCAATGGCACTTACACTTAGTGTGTAGACATGAAACCTCAGCTCTACTTCTGGAGGCTGTCCTCTGACCAGGGTGTGGTGTGCTTTCCAAACCACAGCAGTAGTGGAGAAACCCCAATGCTGCTCTTCAATAATTTTTGGGTCTTTTAAAAATAAAAAAATCAGCACGGGTACGGGAAGAATCCCAAAACCTATTCTAAAAAGTTTTTTCTTCTTCTTCTTCCTTGTATCTCTTAGGTGGTTCTACGCATGGATATTCCCTCCATTTCCAGTTTGGTATGCTAGCTTCAAATATGAAGTTAGGGAGATATCTTCTGAAAAAGAAGGTGCAATGCAACGTGGGCCAACCCCTTACTAGTATTCTGGATCTCATTGTGACAAAATAAGCTGACACAGGCCTTATCTGCAATGTGAACTGACAGACGTCAACGACTGGCCGAGGGCTGTAGGATTCTGAATCAGTTACATGGGCACACCCAATCCCTGAAGAGAGCCTATGCAGACACACTCTTAGTTTAACCTTCAGGTTTATTCATTCAGAAACCTAATAGTCAATTTGGCTGCAATCTTGCACTCACTTACCTGGGAATAAGTCCCACTGAAGCCCCAGGGGGGCTTCCAAGTATATATGCACAGGATTGCATTGGTACATATTTTGCAACCAACTTTTAGTATGATCCTGCTGCCACTTGGTCTTATTCTGCCTGGATAATTGTGGTTTGTTGCTCAAAATGAGTATTAGGACAGTGAGAGGAAAAAAGGAGGGGAAAGAGAAACCGTTCCTTCAAATCAACATCATTGCTGAATTTCTCCATATAGTAAAAGACTTTGGGCTTATTTTCCTCCATGATGTAGCAGTGTTTGTGCTTCACAGGTCTGGTGAAACCACACAGCACAGGGAACATGGGAAGAGTCTGCTGGATTTGGCCTCCTTCCCATCTAGGCCCAGCATCCTGTTCTCATAGTGGCCAACCTGATGACTATGGGAAGTTCAAAAGCAAGGCCTGAGCAGAGAGGTAGGCCCTCCAAATGTTGTTGCACTCCAGCTCCCATCAGCCCCGGACAATGGTGGAGGAGGATGGGAGTTGTAGTCCAGCTACATCTGGAAAGCTAGAGGTTCTCCATTCCTGTCACAGTGGACACATGCTCACAAATACATACTTTAAGAGGGCACAAGGATTAATTCCCTGTTTTTAATTTCCATTACTTTTTGGATTAATCATACAAGATAAATAAATACAGCTAAAACCAGCAATAATTCTAACAACCCTTACCTAAAATTACCTTAACCAACAAAATCTCATCTTTTTCTGTGTTACACCCCCTCCAACTAATATTTAATTCAGGCACGTTTTTAAAAAGTTGATACACTGATTAGAATGTGTCACAGGTATCTGACACCAATCAATTGTGTAAGACTGGATCCCACATTCTTCTTACAGAATAAGCATATTGAAATGTGAAATATTTTCCAGCTGCAACAAGAAAGGGTCACAATAGACTTTGCAGACGTCATGTGAAAGGCATTCCAGGTCACATGATTGCAATGTGTGGCGGTGATTAACCCCAAGGTTCATTCAGTTCCTATGCAAGTGGTAGCCATTGAGTGCCCAGTCTTGAACTTCTCCGCTGCTGAATAATGCAAAGAAGATGGCTCCAAATAAGTTAATGGCAGCGGCGATATAGAAGACAGTCTGCCATTCTCCCACAGTATTCTGGCAAAGGGGCAGAAATAAGGAGATAAATCAGTGCATTACTGTAACAGAACCATGATCAGGAATAAACTGAATGGCAGGAAAAGGAGAATGTGTGGAGCAGATAATTTGTATTAAAAAGATGGCTGCATTCAGATGTTGCATTCCTGATCCTTTAAACCCATTGTTTGCCTAAGGTTGTGGAACCCATGGACTTGCAGATATTGCTGGACCTCAACTAGCATGGCCAAAAGTCAGCGGTGATGGAAGCTGTAGCCCAACAACATATGGAGAACTTCAGGTTTCCCATCCCTGGTTTGGAGGATTGGGTTTGCAAGGCCTGCTCAAGCCACAGTTTATTGGTATAGATGTCATGGCCAACTATGGGTTGAGGAAACCAGAAGACTTCTGTTAAGGCTTGAAATAAAGAGAACACTTGAACTCTCTGCTCTTTCCTGGTCCACCTGAGCACTGTTTAGAGACTGGATCTATGTAGCCAATACAATTATTTATTCAAAACATGGCATATTTTGTTCAGCTCAGTATGACTTGTGCTAAACGGGATTCAATTAGGGGTGTAACTCTTATTCTGTATAAACTATACTCAAGAGTTTAGTGAGAGTTCTAAACTGAAGTTTCCACCAGCAGTGGAATAAAGTGTATAAAGAACTTTGAGAAGTTGCTCAAAGTTTGCAACTCTTGCTATTAAATAGCATTTCAGTATAACAACCTGTCTTGTGAATACATGAAAACTTGAGAACCTCAACTTATAGGAGGTCCATTGCCAGAGGAGATTTGAGCTGCACTCTAACACACACCCCAGTTTTAAAATCCTGAGGAATCAGTGTCAACCCAACACCAGTTTATCAGGCTCAAGGGTGCCTATCACTTAATAAGACTGATGGGGCTAAAAATGCAGCTGTTCTGTGCTAGGATGTTTTTCTTCAAGGGTCCCAGTTAAATTCACACAGTGGAACCATGAAGCTTTACTCCCCCTTCCGCTTTTCCTTCTTTCCAGGTTGTCCTCATTTTGTTTTATATATGCTTGAAGAGGCTTAAAGAACTTGTTTTGCTGAATGGGAGGGTTACTATGGCACAGCTCACAAAGCAACGGACGAGAACATATGGGTTATTAAAATAAAAATTGATATTAGTACAGAGAGTCTCAGAAAAGAGATTAATTTTCTCTGCCGCATGACATATGGCTGCAGTTTTATATCAATAAACATGGTATGAGAGAGAAAGTATAAAACAATCTTCTTTGGTCTTGTTTAAAAATAACAAGAAAAAAACCCACAGCCAATAATGACACATGAGACAATCAAATCTTTAACCTTTAAAAGAAGAAAATGGGGGGGAAAGACCAAGAATAACTTACACTATGAGTTAGGCCTTTAGCAACAAGTGGTCCCACCATTCCTGGGATAGTGCCAAATGAATTTGTAATTCCAAGGAGGATGCCAGCATATCTAAGAAAATAAGAAGAAAAAAAATCAGCTGGTTCCTGATGCCACAGTGCCTTGAACTTCTTTCCGGTACTCAGGAACGATGGTAGGATTTTCATTCCCTTGCAATTCACACACACACACACACACACACACATATATTATATAAAACTAGACATGTATGGGGTGGGGAGATATTCTCAGCACAAGCTCAAATGTTTTGGCACTCCTAACATACTGAAACAAGACACCCCAGAAAGAATTTCGCACATGATTCATCCACTTGTCCAGAGTGGATTAGGAGACATGCACAAACTTCTCAATGAAGTATTTATGAGGGAAACAAAACCCAAGTGCTAAGTCACCCTCATACTTGGCTTTAGCACAGGGATTCACAGTGGGCAGGCAAGTGGCCGCTCTCTAAGCCCTTGTGTGGATACACTCTGCGTAAGGGCAGCGCAATCTGAGAGGAACTGTAACTTTGCGACTTGCTCTCCTCTAATTTTATTTAAACACATACTGTATCTATTTTGCCTTTTGCTTCTTAAATTTCAAAAAGCAATTCACAAACTGGAAGCATTAAAAACAAACAAACAAAAAAATCTGCAAAACAACACAATTTTTAACAAACCACCAATCAGGCTGGAAAAGGTGTGAAGTTCAAAAAACTGGAAGGCAGAAAACCGGAGTTCACTCTAGCTGGCATGTTAGAAATGCCATGACAAAATGTGCCTCGTGCGCTTCCCTGTCTGGTAATGTGAGGGAAAGGCAAAATGATACTCTGAGAAAGGATGCCTGGGGCAAGGCCAAAGCTCCCTGGTGGAACACACACCTTGCAAGTTCCAAGTTCAGTTCAGGACATCCCCAGGTAGTGTTGGGGAAGACCCCCCAACTGAAACCCCAAAGAACCATTGCACAGCTTCAGTATATTAATTACATACTCGTTGAATAAAGAAGCTGGCATTTATATGACCTTTGCTAACTTGGAACTGCTTAAACATTAATGACTTTATGAAGATGAATGCCAAAAAGGAAAAGCCTCACAGGATAGATGAGTATCTTATAAAGATCCATAAATCCCTTAGTGGTATAGCTCCCCCCCCCCAAAAAAATATATATCTAAGCATTGCAATGGCATTGATATCCACTTTGAAAATGATGTCTATAGTACATCTGTGTCCCACAGGAGCTATTCCCCATTACCTAAGTGTCAACCTATGCAAGTACCTCTAACTATACCTTCAACAAGCAAATATCATGTGCTACAGAAACGCTGGTGGGTGGATGAGGGGAAGCAGGCAGATAATATCAACAGCAGATTACACGCTGCAACCCTCTGCATTTCTACGCAGAGGTCAGCCCCACTGAAGCCTTCTTCAGGCATTCTCTAGTCATTTTAATTAAACACACAAGTACAGGGAGGTGAGCATTTTAGTTCTGCTCTCCCTTTCCATCCCCCCATGGCTGTTCCAATTGCCCTCCACAAGAGACAGGCAATCTTCTGAAGCAGGGAACATGCTGCATACCTGGAGGCTCCCTGCCTGGAAGATCAGGATTCTATAGGATTTACTCCCAGAGTTAAGAGTGCATTGGTAGGATTGCAACTTAAGGCTGCCACACAAAGGAGTTGAATTAACCCAAATAAGTGACTGAAGAAAAATGCAGACAAGTACTGTGGTTATTGAATTCACTGTTTCAGGGAATCTTGTTTGAAAAAACGCACACTCAGTCATGAATACTTACGATGGTGCAATATCGAGGTGGTTGATGCTGTATCCAGATGTAGAAAAACCCCCTAGTGTTGTGGATATGGTTACAAATGCAACAGCCATTTCATAATCGCAGCCTATGAATCCAGCTGCTACAAGGAATACCGCAGGTCCAATCATTCCTTAATAAAAACAAAGCAGAAACCTTACCTTCATGGGAACTCAAATTTTGTTTATTCTTTGTAAAACATTGCAGTGACTTTTCATTAAAAAATAATACTAGTGGTTCTCAGCTCTTGATCTATAAACAAAGCAACAGTCCTTTGCTGATCCCTGGGCAAGACTGCCTAAAGCAGGGGTCAGCAAACTTTTTCAGCAGTCTGGTCCACTGTCCCTCAGACCTTGTGGGGGGGGCAGACTACATTTTTTGGAGGGAAATGAATGAATTCCTATGCCCCACAAATAACCCAGAGATGCATTTTAAATAAAAGAGCACATTCTACTCATGTAAAAACACGCTGATGCCCGGACTGTCCAAGGGCCGGATTGAGAAGGCGATTGGGCTGGATCTGGCCCCCGGGCCTTAGTTTGTCAACCACTGCTGTATCCTAACCACATCTAAAGAGCCTGTCGCACCAAGGCACAGGAAAGCAAACAGGTAAGAGATGCAGGAGCACCTGGAACCTCAGAAGCTGTAAGGGATAGATGAAAAAAGAGGTAGTGGCCCTGGTAGAGTGCAACGTTGAAGGCACACAATGGTGGAAGAACACATTTGTAAGGGTATAGGAGTTCCTACTGACACAAGAAGTGCCATTGATCAGTGACAAGAGCAAATGCTCTGCATGTGAATGTTTAGAGCCTGACATCTCCAGTTAGAAGGAATTCGGGAAGCAGAACTAGGATAACTCTTCTGGAGCAGACAACGCTGGGCTCGATGGACTAACATACAAGGCAGCTTCATGCATTCATAGGGATTAATACAAGATCGGTTCAAGACATGCAACATTGCTCTCAAGCATTTTGAACATGCTGAATTAATGTATTCAATCCCCGGGAAAGAGATCATTGCAGTGACACTCAGAGCCTAGAATCTGTCCCGAGATCCACATTACTGCAAAATGTCCCAGAGTAACATTATGAAAGTATTTTGTCTGGCCTACTGTAATGCTACAAGATGGGTGGAAAGTAAGCAGCCTAAGTGAGAAATAAGCAACTATTTTTGCATGGAACTTTTAAAGCAGAATCTAGTTTCAAGCTAGCTAAGAAATGTTTTAATCTCTGTGTCTTTTGTGCTGCTGTCTTATGGACTGACCATCGTTACTTTTTGATAAAAAACTGAAAATAAAGAGAGGAAAGGCCCAGCAATTATTCTACATTGTGCTGCCACCTAGTGAACAAACTATATCACTACAGTGGTACCTCTAGATGCGAACGGGATCCGTTCCGGAGCCCCGTTCACATCACGAGCAGAACGCAACCTGCGTCTGCGCGGGTCGCGATTTGCTGCGTCTGCGCATGCACGTGACGTCATTCTGAGCGTCTGAACATGCATGAGCGGCGAAACCCAGAAGTAACTCATTCCATTACCTCTGGGTTGCCGCAGGATGCAACCTGAAAAGATTTAACCCGAAGTGACTTTAACCTGAGGTAAGACTGTATTCAATTTGGAGATGCATGCTTTTGCCTGAGCTATTTTATCCATGACAAAATTGAAGCTATTGGTACTTTAGATGTTCATTAAAACCAACAAACCTGTTGTAGTTGCTTATTTAATAACCCAACTGGGTAATAAAAACGTCACTAGGGAAATATCAAACACATCCCATTCTGATCAAGACTTATCATTTTATAATACGATGAAATAGCGAAGGACAGGATGGAGAAAGAACAGAGCAGAAGAACAGTTGATTAAAATATCTGCATTTTAAATCATCATTTTTTGTGAAGTTACCTCAGCTTCAGTTTATATAATTGCCATTTCAGGTTGCTTCGAGAGCTTTTCAGAAGTTATTGGCACATGGAAAGGGTAAGTGAGAACATGGAGAGAACATGCTCAGTAGTGGAACGCCTACTTCAAAAGCAACTCTCCCAGGTTCAGATCCCTGCCATCTGGGGGGGGGGGGGGGGAGTGGCGCTGAGAAGCACATGGTAAGACACTGCCAATCAGTGTAGACAATACTGAGCTAGATGATGTAACAAGGGGCTGACTCAGTGCCGGTTGATTTCAGAGAAGAGACCAAGCCAGAATGGATGCTTAGCAGCTTCATTGCAAACAAGAAAAGCAGCATGACTCACTGCCTCATTTGGACACAGGGCCACCTATAGCGGGAACAGCAGTATAACAGGCAACTCTCCATTACACTCAGTTAAGGCTCCTTCCTATGAACCTACAACCAACCAGTAAGGGATAAGGAACAAGGGCCCTGTCCAAAGCTATTAACATCTGGTCCAATGCTGGTTTCATCTCTCAGCTGTTAGAAGGATTGCCCAAGTGTGTCCAGGCACCGGTTTTCTCCAAAGGCCCAAGGGCACACGAAGAGGATCTCATCAAAGTTATTCTTTGGCTTTCCTAGCCACCAAATCCTGGGAGCAGCAGCCAGAAAGGGCCTGACCCTTTCATAGCCACTATGCATACCCAGCCAGGGATGCTTACCATATACAGAGAGCAAAAGCAGCAAAAGTGAAGTGTTTATAAAGTCCTTGGTGGGCCACCATACAAGGCTGAGTTGAGGAGCTGCATTTGGTATTATGGAACACAAGTTGTGCAGGAATGCTCTTGTTACTACTGGGAATATAAGTGTATATAAAATGCACCTGCCAGAAAGAATCCGGCAGGAGAATTGCAGCTTTCTTTACAACAGGTAAGAATTTAAAACTGAGGGAGGGGGCTTATTAAAGCAGGTAAGAACACTGTACAAGCTTGACAAAACCCCATTTAAACTACAAGCCAAATTGAAAACAAGCACATTCTTTCCTTACCTATCAGAGTAAATGTTTTGCGAACACATACGGTGGGCATGTTTTGCTTTTCCCGCAAATAATCAGCGAATTGACCAGATAGAATGATACAAATCCAGCAGCCAAAATAAGGCAGTGCAGATAAAAACCCATTCTGTACAGAAAAAGAAAACCAGATTTAGGATGGGATGGGAACACCTTTTTTGTGCATATATTTATTTATTTTCAAGATGAATACCTAAGTACAGAATAATAAAAATAATAAATGTCTTCAGCAGTACAAACAGGATTGGGGACAGCTATTTAAAGGCTGTTTTGTACTGTCTGAAACAGCTGTTTTGTTGTAGTGTTTAATGGATACTGTACTGTAAGATAACCAGTGAACATAATTGACAAGTCACACATTTTATGATAAAGGAAACTGACTTCCTTTCTAAGGATATGGCAAAGTGATAAATTCTTGCAAGCTACAGTGGAAACACATCCTGAGTTATGAGACACGAGTATCTGGTTTAACAACAGAAGCTTTCCACCTATTTTCAGAGAAACACCAGAGGTTAACAATCAAGTTAAAGGAGAAGACGTCTGCCTGGTTTGAGGCTGGAGTGGCAGCTAGAACTGCTTGTCAGTCCACCCATCTTGGCTTAGATTCTTTTTGCAGTGAGCGGGAACTGCAACAGCCACGTTCAGGCAAGGTGGCTCATTGTGGAAAAAAGAATCCGAGAAACCCTTCAAGTAAGCAAAAGGATAGAGCCAATGTTATGCCTCCAGATGTTTGTAGACTCCAACTCCCATCAGCCCCAGCTAGTGTGGCCAATGGTCCAGGATGATGGGAGCTGTCATCCAATATTTGGAGGGGAACCAAGTTGACTCTCTTTGTTATATATATCAAGACCAATTCTATTTCCACTGAGGTAAACTGCAAAGCACTGGTATCAGATGAATCTGATTTAAAAGGAGATGCTTAAAGGGCTGGTTCACACTACAGGGATTTCTCCATTTAATTATGCACCTTGCAGACAAAAGCTAGCGTGCTTTAGGCAGTTCATGAAGAGAAGAGTCAACAGCCAACTCTGTAACTGAAATTTCTGGAAAATTTTACCCAAAGGGTGTGATTACTGTTGAAGATCCACTGTAGGAATGCCCATGGCAATCAGATGAACTGATGCTCCGCATAGCATCTGTGTCACTCACTCACTCACTCACTCACTCACTCACTCAGGGGGCATGTTTATAAATCAGCAGACCCACCAAAGGGGATTCAGACTCTGACTTGGAGCGAAGCCCTCCCAGTCAGCAACTCTGCTCAAGGTTAAGGAACCTAGCTTGATGCTGCAACCAGCAGACTGGGCGACTTATCTGAAGGTTCTCCCAAGAACAGCAGCAGAATGTTCCAGGAGGAAAAGGAACAAGGAGCCAGAGAAACAGCTTCAATTCCTTCCTCCTGGGAAAAAGAACCCTCTGGTGCACATTCGTTTGTCACAGGTGTTCATTCTCAGAGAGCCTGTTAAATGTGCAGCCAGCAGAACAAAAAATTGCAATTGCTCTGAAGGAATTTACATAGCAACCTTTAGAATTGAAGCACAAGGTAAAGGAGTTGGATAGGCTGCTCTTCACAGCTGCTTCAACCTAATTTTAGCAAATGCTCTTGAATGAGCAGCACATTTTTAATTAAGCCGTTAACCTTAAAATGCAAAACAGGGAACTGTGATGGCACCGTAATGTGAGAGATAGAGGGAGAGAGAGAGACAGAAAAAAGGACAATTCTCTCTCCTCTCATAGTAAATTGATTTTTAAGTTGCACGTTCAAATTTCATTATGCTCACTAAAAAGTGGCTGGAGTTTTAAGAGCTGCACTTCCAGAAGTAATATTGCTGGTTAAATTATTTATGGACTGCAGGGGGTGGGGAAGTGTTGGATACCCAAAGCCTCCTCTTCTCTCACTAGAATGGATTTCCCAGGAAAAACACGAACATGTGGCCTTGTGTTCCTGTGACAGGTGACAAAGATGCCATTTGATATTCTTGTTCCTAAAATCTCTCAGCACTGCCAGATACTCCACATACAGAGCTGACTTCAAGGCCACATACTGAATACCAGTGTGTGGTATAAGCCATGAACCAGCGATTTGGGATCGCATTCCCACTCAGCCAAGAGGCTAACAGAGAAAACCTATGCATGTCTACTCAGAAGCAAGTCACATTAGACTCCATGGGACTATTGTACCATATTTTTCGCCCTATAGGACGCACTTTTTCCCCTCCAAAAATGAAGGGGAAATGTGTGTGCGTCCTATGGGGCGAATGCAGGCTCCTTGGCTTCAGTGATAGCAACGCAAAGACTGTGCTCCGGAGGCTTCGCGTTGCTTTCGCTGAAGCCAGTAGAGTCTGCTCTTTGAGGCTGGCGGTGGGGGAAAGCAGTGCTTCCCCCCAGCGGATTGGGGGGCAGCGGGAAGGTGCGCGACGCCTTCCCGCTACTCTCCGACCTGGCTTTGAGGCTGGCGGTGGGGGAAAGCAGTGCCAGCCCCACAAGCTGGGTCGAAAAGCCCGCAGGAGCCGCGCAGCCTTTAAAGAGCGCACCGCTCTTGGGGGCTTTTCCCCAAGGAGGGAGAAGGGACTGACTGGCTGAGTCAGTCCCTTCTCCCTCCTGCGGGCTTTTGCGGGAGATGGGGGAATTCCCCCACATCCCGCAAAAGCACACAGAAGCCGCGTGCTCTTTAAAGTTTGCGCGTCTTCTGCTGGCTTTTCTATGAGGTGGGCGAATTCCCCCGCCTCGTAGAAAAGCCTGCAGGATGCCACGCACCCTTTAAAGAGCGCGCCGCTCTTGGGGGCTTTTCCCCGAGGAGGGACAAGGGACTGACTGGCCGTTTCAGTCCCTTCTCCCTCCTGGTCAAAAAGCCCGCAGGAGTCGCGCGCGGCTCCTGTGGGCTTTTGCGGGAGGTGGGGGAATTCCGCCACCTCCCGCAAAAGCAGGGAGAAGGTCTTGGAGTAGCGCACAGGCTGCGTGCAGCCTGTACGCTGCTCCCAGAGCTGTGGGGTGTGTGTCATATTTTTTTCCTTGATTTCCCCCCTTGAAAACTAGGTGCGCCCTATGGGCCGGTGCGCCCTATAGGGCGAAAAATATGGTATTTTAATATTCTGTTGGAACTTCCCTGAGTGGCTGGGGAAACCTAGCCAGATGGGCGGGGTATAAATAATAAATTATTATTATTATTATAATTATTATAATTATAAATTATTATTATTACTAGCATGCGAGTAGACCTATGTAGGCTTGTGCTGTAATTGAATGACCCTGTGCAGCCCGTACCTCACAGTCAGGAGGCTATTTCTGTAGCTTCGCCCCACTGGATGCTTAGGTTCTGACTGTCTTTGTAATTCCTACTGAAAGCCAAGTTTATGATCTAGCCTAGGTCACTTCAGGGTAAGTTTTGTAACTGGAGAACACAGGGTATCTTACCTCCTGTACATCAAACCTCAGAATTTCCTTCATGTAAGTAGGCAATAGGGTAAGGAGTGTGTAGAAAGTCCAGTTATAAGAAAAGTGTGCTACGACGATAGCCCAGAGTGGAAGCGACGTCAGTATGGCTCCCCAAGGGATGGATTTCTGAGTAGAAAGCTAAAGAGAAGAAATTCAATTCATGCAGATGTTCTTTAAAAAAAAATTGAATCACACTTCTTAAAACTTCAACGAAGATTTTTTCTAAAGAGCTTGTTCCTGCCAGTCTGCACTCTTAAGCATAATGATAGATCCCTTAATCCCGATGCTTAAGGTTATCAGGAACAAGCTATGGGATTCATGTTCCTCCTTGAGTCCCTTACCTGCTGCATGCAGGTACACCCACACTTAACCACGGTTGGTGCACAGCATGGGTGAACTTCTGTTTAACATTAGGAAGACAAAACATTTGTCTGAGTGGTGAATTTTCAGGGATTCTGCTGCTGGGCATCCTTGTTCCCTTTCTCACCCAAATGTTCTTTTTAGCTGGCTTTTTCATCTGCTGGAACCACCTCTTTTATACAGTTCTGTTCCATCTGTTTTATGCATTTATAATTGCAACGGTTCTAATTACAATTGCATGTTTTATTGATGTATCCCGCCTTGGGACCTTACGGCAAAGGACGGATAATAAATCTTATAAAACAACAAAATGTTACTGAGCTTTAAAAGCATTTTTACAAGGACCTCTTTGTCCTTTAAGTACGATAGTGGATGTATATTACCCCAGTACTTCAACAGAAATGAGCAAAGGCTTGACCAAAAAGTACACACCTGATCTGTAAGGGAGGAGAGGATGTATTCCTTTTCTGCATGAGAAATTCTCTTGTGTGTTTCTGGTGTATCGCTAACTATCAACATCCAGAAGATGAACCACAGCACACCTAGGGCACCTTAAAGTGAAAACAACAATGCTTATGTTCAAGGAAATGGCAGCCATGAGACTTTAAATTTGCAGGCACTGCTACAACCCACCAGGAGTGGCTGGCATCGGTGGTGCTGTGTTGCTTGGCTTCCCAATACCCCACATTACTGCCCCTTACCAGGAGGGAGAGGGGCAGGGGGCAAGACAGTGGGCAGCTCAGCACACTGTGGACACGGCGGTAGAGCCAATCTGACACTCCTTTACCCCCCTCTCTCCTCTCGGCAAGTTATAGTGATGTTTGGTGCTGAGAAACATGGGAGAACAGGGCTGCCCCACCCACAATGCCTTGCCAGCTGCTATTGCAGAGCATCTGAAGATCACCATGAAATGTCTCTCAAGCCAGAGCTACCTGTGGATCCCACAGGTATGTAGTAACCAGCCAACCCCACCCTCAAAGGTAAATGAAAGAGATCGTTCCAACATAGCAAATGTGTGTGGGCATATCCAGAGGATCACTTAAATGTGAAGCCATGTGTACCAATTGCCGTTGTCTGCTAGGTAAAGGTAAAGGGACCCCTGACCATTAGGTCCAGTCGTGGCCGACTCTGGCGTTGCGGTGCTCATCTCGCTTTACTGTCCGAGGGAGCCGGCGTACAGCTTCCGGGTCATGTGGCCAGCATGACTAAGCCACTTCTGGCGAACCAGAGCAGCACACAGAAATGCCATTTACCTTCCCACTGGAGTGGTACCTATTTATCTACTTGCATTTTGATGTGCTTTCAAACTGCTAGGTTGGCAGGAGCAGGGACTGAGCAACGGGGATTCGAACCGCCGACCTTCTGATCGGCAAGTCCTAGGCTCTGTGGTTTAACCCACAGCGCCACCCGCGCTAAGGATACATCAAATGCATAAAAACTTCTAGATTTGTCAGCTTCCTGTAGCTAAAGAAGGCATAGATGAGGTGGCCGTGGGTGTGATACGAAACAAAATTAATCAGAGATGTTTCGCACAATGGGACTATTTAAGCGAGAGAATTGGGTTGCTGAAAACGAACAAACTCTCCCACAGACAGAAATTCTCTTAGTGGGCAGTCTGTAGATCACATTTCTTGACACACATGCATATATAAGCTTAACAGAAAAATGTCATCAGATTATGACATTCCCCAGGGTGTGACAGACAAAATAGCTGGGGAAGTATTTTAGGCATTTATTTACTATGATCAGGCACAAAGTGTTCTAGAAATACACACGAAAAGCTTTACAATGACACAGGACTAAAAAACAATCTTCCAGCTGTATTTTTTTTTTTTTTTAATTGTCCTTAGGATTTGGGGTATCTTAATTGTACCTATGCCAAATTGGAGTACCACTGGATTCTCCTGAACCATATTTAAAAGTTATATATAATTATTAAAAAGATGGAGAGAGAGAAAAGAGAGTAACCTAATTCACACCTTAAGACTGGCGATTAGTTGTATGAGGAGGGGAGGTTGAGAAAGTTTGCTCATTGCTATTTTGTTTTGTATATTTTATAATGAATAATTAAAAAAAAATACAATCTTTACTCAACTGAACGGCATTTACAGTGAAGACACTTACCAAATATGTAGAACACATAAATCCAATTCATATAAAAACAGATCAAGCCAGACAATGGAAGAGACACAACAGTTCCTAGCTGCGCACCTAGAAATTAAAGTTTTATTTTAAAATAATAATCACTTTATTATTTTTATCCCGCCCAGCCACCCTGTCTGTCCAAGTACATAGACTTCTCAAGGATTGAAAATGCTAGGCTTTGAATACACCTAGGTTAAGGATAAACATTGTTTTGTGGCAAGGCATGCACATCAATGAACCATGCTTAATGGGTAGCTGCAGGAGTATGGGGGTGGGAGCAGAAATGGAATGCATAATCCTGTGGCCTGTTCCCAACCGTTATACCACAGCTAAAAGAGATTAGTGCTGCATCTTCATTGGCTAGACTTGAGCATTTTTTAAAGCATCTCACCTGCATATGAAATACTAAGAAGTTTACTGCGTTCCAGTGGAGGAGCCCAACAGGACCACATGGCATGCATGGCAGGAAAGGTGACACCCTGGAAAACACATTTGTTTATAGTACATCATATCTTTCAAGAGTAAAATGATTTGGCCAAGATTCACTTCAATAAAACATCTCCAATGTAGCCTGGAGAAAGTACCAGTTGCCTTAGTACGAAGCTATTTTCTGAACAAAACGCACATAGCTCCTGGGCAATTAAGCAGAACTAATTCCTTGCCTGCCTCAATTCTTCAGCTGAATATGCTTTGTGGACATAACAATTATGCTGAACTTTTGGTTTCTGCATAGAAACAGCAGCACAAATATTTTGAAGTGGTGGTTTTCCCTCAGTTTGGATTATTAAATGCCAACATGCGAAGGAGGCCGGACAGCATGGCAGGGAAGAGACCTCATTCTGCAGACAGACCAGGTTAAGAAACAACAACCAGACTCCCCTAAATTAAACCAGAAATCTAATCAAAACTATGTGAACTTTGAATAAAAATGTTCATGAACAATTAAGTTTCAAAGAGGTCACAAGCATATTAAAGCATCATATTAAACCCAGGGAGCTAAGGGAAGGGCTGGATTTATGTTGCAATTCTGCAAGAGCACAGAATGTGGCAATGGGTGGAGAATAAAGCTTCATGAAAATATTCTTTTCCGCATTTCCTCCCTTTTAAATGAAGCTGTCCTATGAAGTTCTTTGCCTCTCACAATGATGGGGCAGAAATAAAAACAACAAAAATTGCAGAGTAAATTATGTATAGTCAGAGAAATTAGGGAAAACTGCTCAACTTGCATAATTTATACAGTTGCAGGATTCAGGTTTTTGGTGCAAAATTTGGAATGCCCAAAGATTTTATTTTTTAACCCAGCTTATACACAACTGTTTAAGGAAGCATGCAGCAGACATTTTACATAACAAATTTCAGTTAAGTGCCAGGTCCACCCATCCTGGCACAACTTCCTACTTCCTTCCCCTCTATTCAAGCTCTGCAGATGCCATTTGATCAGTTCCACAGCCACAGAGGAATGACATACCTTTCATATCAGCTCCTCCCGTAGCCCTTAATATACCATTTCCCATTAATGTGGTGCTCTATGATCTTAACAATATGCTCGTCCTCACAATGAAGTCATAGAAGACATGTTCATTGTAAGGTGGGTGTAAGGAAAACTGGGAAGGAGAAAAGGAACCCTCAATTCTCAGATTCATGCCCATCTGTCTATCTGCTGGGGAAAAATATAAGAGCACGCAAGAAGCCAGTGGAACTGTAACTGAAGCGGCAGCAATGGAAAACCCAAGTGAGAAAAGTGCTATTAAGAACATGAGCAGAGCCCAGCTAGATCAGACGAAGCTCCCATCTAGTCCAGCACCCTATTTGCAAAGTCCCCAACCAGATCCCTGTGGAGCTGTTGATCCCAACTTGGTGCCTTCCAGGTGTTTTGGACTCCATTCACATCTGGGCATTGCCCGGCTAGAGCTAGGATTGACTGGAGTTGGAGACCTGAACCATCTGGAAGATGCCAAGCTGGAAAAGGCTGACCTAATGTAATTTATCAACATTACAGGGGATTGTTAATGTACTTACAAAGTAATTGTTTTGAAACTCTTAACAACAATAATAATAACAACAACAATTAAAGGGGGCGGAGAAGGAGAGATTACCTCACCCAGGCCTTCCAAAGCTCTGACAGCTATGAGGTACCCGACTCCCAAATCTGCTGCCAAAGGTGTGAACAAGGTGAAAATGGCAGTGCCCAGGATGCCAAACCCCAACAGCTTCTTTCCGCCAAACTGGCGGGCAAGATATCCACCAGGAACCTGTGTAATGATGTAGCCATAGAAGAAGGAACCAAGGATCCAGCCTTGAGTATTTGCATCCCATGGATACTTTTTCCCCTGAAAGGGAGGGAGAGAAAAAGACACGAAGGTCTGGTTTCCACCCCGTCACTTGCATCACAGGAAGATACAACAAAGGACTGCATGCTCCCCATCCAGCAACACTGCACACATATCGGTGACATACATTGCTAACTGCGGAGTGGCTTACAAACTGTATTTTCCACATGCCCGTCATGGACATAGGGAACTACGTGCTCATTTTTCATGGAACGCATGGAAAGAACTCCCTATGTACATCCAAAAAGTGACCACATTATTGGTTGTTTTTTTTTAGATGAATGACATTAAAATATACATAGCTGGTTAATATCCTGCTAATTGTTTTCATTCTGTCAACTAGGCACCTAAAGCAAGCAAAGCCCAGTCGCAATGTCATAAAAATAATCACATATCAACTGATTTCAAAGCCTTCTCCTCTTCTTTTCTTTATTTAATGTATGAACTACCACACTTGACAGACTTACAAACTTTAAACAACTATAGGCTGTACAATAAGGTTTTTTTTTAAAAAACACCACCCAAATTTACCTCATTTACATTATTGTGGTGCAGTCCAGGTTGGCCTGTACTATGTGCAACACTGGAAGCCGCCTTATGACAAGTCAAACCATTGGTCTATCTAGGTCATTATAGTCTACACTGACTGACAGCAGTTCTCTAGAGTTGTCAGGGCATTATCCTAGGTTCCAGGGTGTTATCTTTTTATTTTCAGAACAGTAGCATCCATCACATCACACAGGAAGGGAGTGATTCTGCAGTGTACATGTGATTCTGGAGACAGAATGGATGCAGCAAAAATCTATAAAGGGATTTGATGAGGACTGAATGTTACTTGCCTTAAACAAACACACCCCTACAAGAATTACTGTAAGGTAGGGTAGCCGTATTTTGAAAAGTGAAATTCTGGACACAAAGGTTGACCCTTGCGGGGGGGGGGGGAGATGTTTTTAAGCTATTTTCAAGAAAATTCGCCAAAACCTACACTTCTGACAAGGGTTGCCACATGTCCGGATTTTCATGGACATTATAGTGATTTCCGCCCAGACGGACACCGATTCCAGTGGCCAAATCCCAGCAATTTCCGGGAAATTCTGGATGTATAGCAACCCTATGTAAGGAGTCAGAGCTCAGACTGATTGATGCAGATAATATAGTGGCATCATGTGAGCAGAATCTCTGTGATAGGAAGAACTTCAAAGGCTATTTGAAGGCACAGATCATGCAAAAGAATGCTGAGAGATAAGATATAGTCCTCTGATCATAACTGCTTTTAAAGATCCCTTGGATAATTTCACAAGGGGGTGCTGATTTAATATTCTGCACAATCCTTTGCATGTTTATTCAGAATGTAGGAGTATGATTTCAATGGGTCTTACTAAATCAGGCTTAGTCCAAGGTAAGGCTGAAATCCTATACCTACCTAACTGGGAGTAAAACCTATTAAAAATCACCTGGATTTACTTCTGAGTAAATGCCTCAGATTATACTGCAAGAGTATTTAGGTTGTTCCCACTGTTAGTCATACTCTTTGAAATTAGTAGAGTGGGCTCATTGTGGACACCGTCCATTTGGTTTACTCTTAGTAGAACTTAGTTGGATACAACCCTTTATTCACCCCCAATACTGGCATTCCGCCGGTTCTTGAAGAGATAATAATTTAAAACACATACCCTTTAACACAGCATTCTCAAAAGTAGATCTGGTAAAACTTACCGTAGTGTTACGAGGAACAACTGGGGTAGAAGAATGTTCTTTGCACACATTTGAAGTATTTTTGGTCAAGCTTGCATTTGATTCTACCATGTCCACCAGGGCAACACTTAAATTGACACGAAGTGCATATAAGAGAAAGAATCCCAAGAAGGCCCAGATCGCTAAGCTGAGGCGAGCAGAGCAGCATATTGGCGCTAAAAGAAAAAGTGATGCACATTAAAAAGCGTTAATGTAAAAATAAATCCCCACAACTCTGGGTAGCAACCTATCTTTAACTGAAACAAAGGCAGAAGGCCCAGCTGCCTTGGCTTTGCCCCCAGACTCATTCTCACATAAGCCAAAATGCAGGCAATGGACTAATTGGGGGACACACCACCAAAACCATCCAGCGTGGACTGAGAATATTCAGTAGCCACAAAATGTTGAGTTGTCAGGTCACATCCACACTATACATTTATGTTGTTTTATGCCACTGTAACCGTTATGGTTTGGCCCAAAGAATGGTGGGAACTCTAATTTGTTAAAGGTGCTGGGAATTGTTATGAGACTCCTATCCCCTCTCACAGAACTACAATTCTCAAGAGTTCACTGAGAAGCAGGATTGATCCATTGACTCCACGGTGTGGATGTGCTCTCCTGAAACTGTAGCCCAGGGATGGGGAAACATTTTGGCCTGGGTGGACGGCAGCTTGGTCAGTGCATTTCCCCCAGGTAAGTGTTGGTGAAGCAGCACCAAGCCAGGATCAAACACTCCGCTCACCAGTTGATGGGCCAATCTGCTCTATGCAGGGGTCCGCTTCACCAGTGTGTTCTCTGCAGGGGATGTGCTGATGAAGCAGCCCCCAGCAGAACTGAACATCATCCATCAGGAGATGTCACCCACTGACATCTGGCAGGGAAATAGCCTTGTGGACCAAGGCTGGCCTGCACGTCACGAGGGTCTCCACCCATTTTAGAATTTAACTCCCATCAACCCCCCAAAACTGGAAGGCACAAATTTGGTAAAGGCTGATTTACAATAATCATTGCTTATCTATTAATTCACAAGCAGGAGAGTATATGTTTATGTATTGTTCAATTATTTCAGTTAGAATAAACATGAACTTTAACCGTTTGCTAAAGGGATGTAATCATTCATAAGATCACAGGGTTGATTTATTTATGTAGCCTTATTAGGCACTTCAAGCCTTTACCAAGAAACTCTAAGCTATTGGACACATCTGGTATGACAAAATGTGCCTGAGAAACAGAAGACGATATCCCTCTAAGTCATACTCAGAGTAGACCCACTGAAATCAATGACCTTAAATTACTAAAGTTATGGCTCTACTCTGAGTATGACTTAGTGGCACATTACCCACAATAGTTTCTTAGCTCTGCTAAGGAATGTCAAATGACCGACCCCAAAAGCTTGCAGGTATGGCCTGAAGGCGTTTCATAAGAAATTATGCCATATTTTTGGATAAATTGTGGTGAGCAAACCATATATGGAGGACTGACTACTAGTGCCCCATTCTCAGCTGTTGTTAGATTCCAACTCCCATTAGTCCCAGACAACATGGCTAACAACATCTAAAGGGCCACAGTTTCCATATCCCTAGTACAAAGGAATAAAAATAGTGGGGTAAGACGCTCAAGCAAATGACAAGAGGAGAAGTGCGCTCAATACATGCTCACTCATGGATGCAACATACATACAAACACGTAAAGCAAAGTGTGCATTCTGGCAGCTACTCAAGAGTGCTTACTCCCCCAAATCCAACCCTAAAGGGGAAATAAAACTCACACCCCAATATTATGTCCACATGTCTTAACATATACTTTTCAATCATGAAATGCAAATAAACCACAACATGTTCACCAAAATCTCACTTTAAATATACAAAAAATATTACTCATATTTGCTTCACTGCATGATTATTATACTATGGAAAATATTATGTGATTCTCTCTCTCTCTCTCTCTCCACACACACACACACACACACACACAAACACACAAACATCCTTAAAAAAAAAAATAACACGCCACAACACAACTTCAGGTCCACAAGGCACAATATTAAATTCTTACCATTTACATCCCCGGGAGCTACTTCTTTCACAACCAACCTTGTTTTCGAAGACATTTCCCTCTAATTTCCTAGTTACTGTTGTGCTGGATCATCGAAATGCTCCCATGATCTGAACGGAAAGCTCCTTCAACATTTTTAGTTTGAGGAAGTTGCCCTGAATACTTATTACTGCAAATGAGGCACAGTAGACGTGGCATGGCAAGTTTATTATCTTGCTGTTCTAGTACCCAACATTAAACAGCAAAGGAGCCTTCACTGGTGTTAGTAACATCCTTATTCTTCTGCCTTTCTGCAAGACCACCTTAAGCTATTGCTGCTTCCGCAAACCACTTCTGGCTTTCCTCCAGATCCACCTCTGCTGGTAGATGTGGAATATCCTGTTCTGCAGCTCTGCTTCCCTCAGCAACCCGCCTTTTGCCATTCACGTCACATCACACTGCTTTCAGTCAGTAGCCTCTCTCTAACTGCCATGTAAACGCTAAATGCCAAATTCTGTATTTCAGTCATTGCCATTTGATTTCTTACTTAACGATACACACAGTATTTTTGAATTGAATGTTTAGCATCAAATTCATTTATTTACCTTTCTCAGCTGTTAGTGCAGGTTTATTACTTAGGAGACACCACTTTCAACCAACTTTTACTTGTTCCATGTCCCCCAAGCAAATGAAAACAGGGCTGTACAAAGTCTCTACAAGATGCAGAGTAGTGGAGAAGACTAGGAAATCCCTTGCTGCTGAGAAAACCACCTTGGTTTTGGGAGGGAGTGGGAATAGGTGTGCTGCTTTAATCTCTCACCATTAAAAAAAAAACAAGTCTGGATGTACACTGTGACAAGTACCGGTATTTGGGTCTTCAACATGATCTCTGACCTCTGACAACTTCCGACCAAACATGGGAAAGTAAAACTAACAATACTGTGCTGGGCAGGGAGCAACACACAACCCCAAATTTCAACATGATCAGCCATTGCCAGAAAGGACAGGACTGTAATCTTGCTTTTAATTGTCTTTTTTAACCCATGATTTATGGAAGGATAAATGAACACCACTGTGACCGAGCTACATATGGTGGGATTACAGATCCTTACAATAATGGTTTTTAATTATTTATTTATAAGGATAGCTTCCTTATCACTTTGCTACATTTTTTCTTCTGTGCTGTTTCCTTGTCTAATAACAGACCGTCCTGTTTAGGTTTTTTTTAAAAAAGGATATTTTATGTAATTGTACAAAACTTATGCCACAAGTGCACGCGATTGCAAAAGGAAACCAATTTTAAGATTTCCAATGTGAACATTTAGTGGCAAGTAGAAATGGACAAAGGCAGCTGACTGAAAGGGATTAAGAGCTATCTTGTTTGATTGGATCAAAGTCCAGCATTCTGTTTCCATCCAGATGTCTCTGGGAGCGCAGAAATAAGGCAGGAAGCCAGGTTAGGAACTACATTGCAACCTGATCAATAAATCATACGAGTTTTAGTTAAATGATCAATCAACTCAATTTTGCAGAATTTCTGAAGCAACATTGTTTGCTTGGTTTTTTTTTTTAAAAAAAGAATGCACATGTGTTTCCTAGCAGGCATCAACTTGTAAGAAGCATCCAGCCCTCTTGTGTGAGAAAAGGAATAATACCTCTTTCAACAAGATTTTATATGCATTTGTATTGAAAAGAATATATATTTAAATTTTGCTGCCCAATTAATTTTCAGTTTATTAAACATTTTGAAAAGATAAATAAATTAAACAAAGCAGCCCTAGATATGGCCATTCTCTTGCATCTAGTAACTGGATGTATACTGTCTCTCAAGATGTTAGTTCACGTACCTGCATGTACTGTTTTCTAAGTTTTATCGTTAGGAACATGCCCTTCTCTTCAATCAATGTAAATAGATCTATACAAACAGCACTTACGCTCAGGTTCCAGATGATTTTTCAGGATAAATACTGCTAGTCAGAAATGAATAAATACCAAGAGGAAGTTTAATCTATGGGACAGAGCTTTCGGCTTGGTTCCAGGGACAATCCTGGCTCCTCAAAGAATGGACTGGGTGACTTTAGGTAAGTCATGAGCTCAGTTGGACCAGCAGGAGAGACACAACGGCAGTACAGTGGTACCTCAGGTTACATACGCTTCAGGTTACATACGCTTCAGGTGACAGACTCCGCTAACCCAGAAATAGTGCTTCAGGTTAAGAACTTTGCTTCAGGATGAGAACAGAAATTGTGCTCTGGCGGCGTGGCAGCAGTGGGAGGCCCCATTAGCTAAAGTGGTGCTTCAGGTTAAGAACAATTTCAGGTTAAGAACAGACCTCCGGAACGAATTAAGTACTTAACTTGAGGTACCACTGTATTTGCATGTCATGGTAGTTTGTTCCTGGCTTAGTGGTTTGAGCAAAACAAACCAAGGTCCCCAGTTTGTATGCAACGCTAAACCAAGGTTTGTGCTTTGTTCCCGCCATGGGCTGGTAGGAAGGAACCAAGCAGACACAGTTTGCTAAATACACCACTGGAGGAGGTGGGAATGAGCTCCACTAATTATATTTTTTAGGCAAAATGCAAAAGAGTTTATAGAAGACAGAACATTTATTACAATCTGATGTTTTATTATTTAATTATTTTTGTAAACTATTTTGATGCTTTACTTCAATCAAGAATAATGTAAATTTTGTGAAATAAATAAATAAATGTTTAAGCTGCTTCTTTTCCAAGTCCACACTGAGGGGCTGTCCCAATAATCTTGTGAAGCAGGTTTGGCTGAGTGACAGCAAGTAGCCAAAGACCACCTAGGGAGCTTCAGGGAGGAGCAGAAATTTTAAGGCAAATCTCCCTACTCTAAGCACAACAAGGTTTACCTTGCCTGGACCGGTTCACTCCAGTGAAGATCCCTCTGTGGGCCAGATCGCGTGGGCACCCGCGATTTCTGGTGTCTGTGCAGATGCGATTTTCAGCACTTGCATCTGTGCAGATGTGATTTTCGGCATCTGCGCATGCGCAGTTGCAATTTTCGGTGCTGCGAAAGCAAGTCCCCATGCTGTGTTGTGCCGGTTTAGCGCAGCATGTGGAGACTCACCAAGTGGGTGGCTCGGGGGCCAGTTAAACGACTCCTGTGTGCCGCTTGTGGCCCAAGGGCCTTAAGTTGCCGACCCCTGCTCTGGATTAACACACTGGCCCTGTAGTGAAATGCAACCATGTAGATAACGACTTGGCCAATACTTTGCAGCTGCATAGCTTATGGTCTCTCTTCCTCACCCCCCTTGGAAGTGCCTGTTAAAATGTTTATACAATTTTTTTGCAAAGTGTTCACCTCCCCCTTTTCTCTGGATCAGAAACCAGTCCTAGCTTTTCAGGGGTTGATTACATCATTGAAAAAGCCCCCCCCCCCCCAATTCATTAAGAGAGCTTAGTATGGACTTTTAGTGCCCAGGGTAACAACACAATCTGATACACGTCTACTCAGAAGTAAGTTCTATTGAGTTCACTGGGACACTGAGTTCTGAGTAGATATGTACAGGACTATGCTCAGTCTTGCAGCATTCTTCCTCTTCACTTACCAAATATTTGCTCATATTCCTTGAGACACCACTTTGTCACCTCAACTATTGCACTGTCTTGTAATTGGGTCACAGTATTCAACCTAGCATGGTAGCACTTTAGTTTCTTCTGCTGATAATGAATAACTTGCATCAATTAAATAAAATATGACAGATCAGACCAAGTATTTGCATGGTTTACATGGCTGCATTTCCCACCTACTCACAGTAAATTGTGTATTTTGGCATTTTGGGGTTACAGAATTTTGGCTTTCCAATTTGCAGTAAATTAAGTGCTCTGCAAATAGTCAAACCCTTCTGTTTTCCTTATTTACTATGGTTAAACCTGGAAATGATGCACATAGTGATATAAACATACACACTGGAGTTTAAAGTGTATCTTAGGCTCATGCAAGGTGCTTGTGTTAGCCTTGATTTTTTAAATTTTTTTCCTTTTAATTCCTTATTACAATTGACAGTTGAAACTCCCCTCAGTTTTGTCATACAGCATAAGAGGTAAACAATCCTCCATAGCAACTAGTCCCTAAGGTAAAGGGACCCCTGACCGCGCCACCCACATCCCAAACTAGTCCCTACACAACACTTACCTAACTGATATGCCAAGACATTTTGTTTTCTGGCCAAACCATTCTATTTCTAGCGATCTCTAGGATGCTCTGATAAGAGCAACAACTTAGTAAAACAAAACAAGACTTACTTCGTTTTCTCTTGCAAGCTCTACTGTCAATCAGCACAAAATTCCTGCATTGATAGCATGCACACTATCTAATCAGGGACCACACCAGTATTTACAAACCAACAATGCTGAAAGACATGACATGCAACAATTGCACATGTGTGGATGGTGCTCAATCCATTTATTTATTAAAAATATTTTTTCACCACCATTCAGTGGAGCTTTGCTGCACGGTTTAAGCATAAGGAAGCAACAACCAAACACACGTGTAGGATCATGACATGCTTGTGTGTGACCATCCTGTTCATCAGCACCTACAGAAAAGTTTCTCACGTGTGCAGGCACGTGTCTTCTATAAGGGAAATTTTTAACATGCAAGTGCTTGTATTTAAAACATGTTTCTTAAGAATGAAGACCCACTGACTTCAACTGTACTACTTCCTAGGCAGTGTACTTTAAATACATGCCCCAGGCAGCAGTTATGTGCTTAACCGAGGGAAATTATTACAGCATCGTAACAGATTTAATGGAGCATAAATTTTGTAGATTAGATCCCATTTAGGGGAGGGTCAATAGCTATGCTTGCAGAAGGACTTGAGTTCAATCTCTGGCATCTCCAGCTTAAAAACTCAAGTAGCAGATAAGAGAAGACCTACAACCTTGGAGACAATACTGGGCAAAATGATATAATGCAGCTTCTTATGTTCACATCAGATGCATTAAACATTATCCTTATTTGGTACACACACAAAGGAGTAAAGGGCAAATTGTAAACGGTGGACTCAACAGTTCACGACAACTACAGAGGTACCTCAGGTTACATACGCTTCAGGTTACAGACTCCGCTAACCCAGAAATAATACCTCGGCTTAAGAACTTTGCTTCAGGATAAGAACAGAAATCGCACGGCAGTGGCGCGGCAGCAGCAGGAGGCCCCATTAACTAAAGTGGTGCTTCAGGTTAAGAACAGTTTCATGTTAAGAACGGAGCTTCAGGGAGGAGCAGTATGTAACCAAATTAAGTACGTAACCAGAGGTACCACTGTAATGTATACATGATAAGCCTGCCCAATCATTCACAACAATCAGTCTGCAATTTCAAGATCTCTGCTCTGGGCTACTATCTGTAGTTGTTGGTTTTTTTTTTTAAAAAAAGTTGTTAAACAACTTGATGTTTCATTATGTTTTTATATTTTGTGGAAGCTGCCAGTGGCGTAGCGTGGGTTGTCAGCACCCGGGGCAAGGCAAGTAATTTGCGCCCCCTAACCTGTGGATTTGCGCCCCCTAACCCTAACCCCCAGAAGTTGCGCCTGGTGCAGCCGGCCCCTCCTGCACCCCCCACGCTACGCCACTGGAAGCTGCCCACAGTGACTAGGGCAACTCAGTCAAATGTATGTATTATTACTACTACTGTGTGGTTGTAAATTGCCTTAACACTTCATACACTCTTGAACCCACACTTTGAGGTTTCTCCCTCGACATCTGCGTATGTATATGTGTAGCTGGCAAGTGAAGGCAACTGTTCACCCAAATGCAACGTAGCCCACGAAAGTATAATAAACCCGTTAGCTTTCACGGTGCCACAAGACCTCTCCCCGCGTTTGCTGTCGCCGACCACCCCTCTGAAGCTGGTCGCCGTGATAGTCGGTGATACTCATGGCGACAGACGGCAGTCCGGGGAAGTCAGCACCGAAATGGAACTTCCTTCCGAATAAAGGGGGATAATGCTGCGCTTGCTAGCTACTGGCAAACCTGCACAGGACCGGGACTGTTAAGACACCTCTCCACGGGATACTGGAACTGGTGGAGGCACCCCCACAGAAATGTCTCTCTCCCGCCAACCCGCCTACACCCCACACCTCCTCAAAGCGAGGGGGACTGGCTGCTGGAGACAAAAAGAGGGCGGGAGGCTCACGACTGAGGTGTGCGCTGGGGGGCAAGCGGTCCCTCCAGCCGCTGCTCTCACCCGCCTTGCCGGTGGGCTGGGCTTCTCGCAGCAGGAGCGGGGTACGGTCCTCTTCTTCCTCCGCCTCTTCGGGTTCCGGGGTCTGCATGCTCCCCTTCAGGGCAAAAGCAAACGCGAAACCAGGGCTCCCTAGACGAACCCAGCCCGGCTGTCGGCGGCTCCCCACCAAAGTCAGCTGCCAGAAAAGCCAAGGCAAGCAGCAGGCACGTGACTTCAAGCCGGGCGGAAGTGCCGCCGCTACCATGATTCGGAGGCTCGGCGCCTATGGAACGGGTTTGTTTTCCTTCCCCCGCCCTCCTCCTCGGCCATCTTTGCTGCGGGCAGAAGCCTTTCTGCTGATTGGTTGCTGGGGGAAAAGGCGGCGGCTGAGGATGCCGCTGCCTAAGGCAACCAATGGAAGGAAGCCCCTCCGGCGTCGGCCAAATCGCCGCTGGATTCCTCCCGGCGTTGACTCGTGATGTGCAGGCGGAAGATCAGGACTTTATCTCTGGGTAGCTTGCCGCAGATAAGCAAGGTTTTATGACTCCCCAATCATTTAATAATGGCAGCAGTAAAATACCTATCCCCTAATTTTTCCTACCGAAATGAAGAAAGCGGGCGGGCGGTAAAGGTGACTGGGAGTGTGGAAGGACGGTGAGCTCAGATGCCAATGCCTGCGTCAAGAATTTCTTAAGTGTATATCGTTTGTAGCTGGCTCTGATTGCTGGATCTCCGGGTCCTACCAAAAAGCAACGTAGACCCCTCAAGCCTAAGTTCTGCTCCCCTCCTTTCCGCTATCCTTTGGTTTGTCGAATGGAAAGGACTGAGGTCAGAGGGAAGCAAAATGCAACTTATGCTAAATGTGTTAAGTACGCAAACATGTAATTCCATTTTTTTATCATGGTACACATGTTAAGGCTGTTAAGCTGCTGATTTCCAGATTTGAGGATTCCAGAACTAACTACTGTCAGTTCTGAGGGAAGACAGGCAAAGACCCACAGCTCAGCCTGCACGCTGGCCAGGCCTGCGCTTTCATTTGAACAACTCTAAATCTCTGCCTAGGTTGGAGTGAGGCATCACTTGTTTTAATTTTTGGACTGCTCTTTTGTTTAAGTGTGGTAGATCACAGAAGTTGTATGTGCACATGTAAACAAATACCCATGGATCTCTGCTTTCCTGGCTTGGAGCAGCGCACACACACACACACACACACACACAGAGAAACAGCTGCTATTTTGTGCAAATCTGGTAGATTGATAAATTTATCAAATAATAATAATAATTGTGTGTGCTTACAGTTAAACAGATACCAGTGTGCTTGCCCATAATGGCCTCAGGCAAGGCCAGCCCACCCATGAAGTGGTGTGAAGTAGCTACCTCAAGCAGCAGAAGCCCCCAAGGCAGCACCTTCATGGCACATCTCAGTTTGCCATACATCAGGAAATTCCTGACATGTCCTGGTGTTTGGGTGTAAAAATTGGCTAAATGTCAGGGGAAATCTGGATGTATGATGAAAAAAGTAGCACAAAACCTTTAAAATCACTATTTTGGGGGGAGGTTCCCCCCAAAAAGCTGAACACTGTCACCCACACTGCCTTGTCAATTGCCACTGCAACCATTTTGCTATTATCCAGGGGCAAAACTAGGCTTTATTTCACCCCGGTCAAACACTCAGTTTGGTATGCACACACACACAGCCTCAATGGCACCCCTCTGGAGGCTTCAACCAGGGTAAAATACCCAGCTGCCCCCCCCCCCACTACAGCTCTGTATTAGGTAATTCTCCCTGTCCTTTTTGCATTTTGATTCTCTGACCTCTCCATTCCCCACTTCAACCATGTGTGTTGATCCCTTTCAATCTAGAATTACACTTCATGCATCTGATGCAGTGGACTGAAGGCTTAGTCCTTAAATGTGTTAGTCCTTAAGATGCCACAAAACTCTTTGTCATAATAGCACTGGTGGAGCCAATACAATTTTCAGGAAGATCAGATAGGGTATTTCCCACAAAGGATGGAAAGCATCACAAACCCTCACTACCTTCCCCTCTACAAAGGAACGCCCACAGCACCAGCAACCATGGCTTGAGAGGAAGCTTTGGATTGGAAGAGAGAGAGAGAGACTCTTCATATCTTCCTCCATTGTTCTCTGCAGAACTGGAGTGTAGCCCAGTCCAGCTAATGGCTGTGTTGGTAATTCGTTTAGAATGTCCTGTTCTGCTGGAATGCACAAAGGCCTTATTATCATTACGGAAAGAACAATGCGTGCAACATTTGAAATTGTTAGTAAAAGCTAGCATAGTGTAGGAGCTGGTGTGTTGGAGATAGCTGTGTTTTTATAATTGGTTTAAGTCTTTTAATTTTGCCATTGGCTTTTATTTGTTTGTGAACCGTCTTGATATTTCTTCTTGAAATGAAAGACAGTATATAAATAAAAACGGCATTTTTTAAAAAAATCTTTTAATACTAGTATTATTACTAGTATATATATAATACTGGCCTTGGGCCAGTCGCAGTTGCTCAGACTAACTAACTCACAGTGTTGGTGTGAGAATCATATGGAATAATAAGGAATAAGGAATAAAACCATGTATGCCACCTTGAGCTCCTTGGAGGAAAGGTGGGGTATAAATGTGATAAATAAATACTACTACTACTACTAGCCCTGCTCAGCCATGAAGCTGATGGAGCTGACCTTAGGACACTCCCTGTCTCTCAAATTAACCTCCCTCACAGGTTTGGTTTATTGTGAGGACAAAATCATGAACTCCATAGTATTGATGATCCCAGTCCAAAGAGGACTTTCTGTAAGTGCTGATAGGATCAACGCTTCCAGTAAGTCCCACTTATAGCAAGGCTTGCTGTAAATGCAAATATCTTTTACATGACTTACTTGAATTCAAGCTGATGATGCAAATGGATTTTTTTTACTTTAGGTCATCTGATGTCACGTGACTGACCTAGGTCTTGTGCAGACCCTAACCCTTGCCACTATGTCACCCCTTCCCAGTAACCTGCAGTGGCACTGCTGCTGGGAGGCTATTGCTATGGCTTTGCCCCACCAGGCAAGCTGCTCCTGCACAAATATACTTATCATGAAATACAAAATGTATTTTAGGTATTATACAGTGGTAATCAGAACAACCCACTGAAATCACTGCATGTGCTGATTGACTCACTAGTGACAGAATATCTGTATTATCAACCCAACTGTACTTTTGTGAGTGGCCACTGCTAAATACGTAATTATCACCAATTCTGCTTTTCAGTTCCTTCTGAACTCACTTTTTACAATACTGCCCCTGCACACAATAGTCACATATATACATACAGTGGTACCTCGGGTTACATACGCTTCAGGTTACATACACTTCAAGTTACAGACTCAGCTAACCCAGAAATAGTGCTTCAGGTTAAGAACTTTGCTTCAGGATGAGAACAGAAATCGTGCTCCGGCAGCGCGGCGGCAGCAGGAGGCCCCATTAGCTAAAGTGGTGCTTCAGGTTAAGAACAGTTTCAGGTTAAGAATGGACCTCCGGAACGAATTAAGTACTTAACCTGAGGTACCACTGTACTTGCAACTTCATACATCTGATGAAGTAGATTGTAGTTCATGAAAGCTTGTGCCACAAGACTCTTTGTTGTTTTTGCTACAGAGACAAACATACCTCCTTTCCTGGAAATTGTTTTGTACAGCATTCAACATATAGAACCCCTTCTGGGCTGACAGCATCAAAGATCGGTATAAATTGCTACAGACAACTATACACAACAGCAGGATAGAGGATTAGGAAAATATCTAAGGGATGTGGAATTTAAAAGAAGGGGATCACACAGAGGATAGTGATTTCCTTGCTATGGTTAGTAAATATATGTCAGAAATCACAATCTTGTTTGGTGGTTTGGCCATGAAGGATTTACAGTGGTACCTTGGGTTCTTGAACTTAATCCTTTCTGGGAGTCTATTCGACTCCTGAAACTGAAAACCAAGGCACGGCTTCGATTGGCTGCAGGAACTTCCTGCAGTCAAGCGGAAGCCACGTCGGATGTTTGGCTTCCAAAAAACTTTAACAAACCGGAACACTTGTTGCCAGGTTTGCGATGTTCAGGAGTCAATTTGTTCAGGAGCCAAGCCGTTCAGAAACCAAGGTACACCTGTAATCTGATTAGCCAATCAAGGAAGAGACAAAAGTCATAAAACTCATTCAGAGTGAATCCACCAGAACAGCACACAAAATGAATAAATGAATGAATAAATGAAGCATATGATAAATCTGACTAAGTCAAAATGTGCTTACAATGTTGTTTCCAGCTGTCTGGAGTTATTATATCCATGCCAGATGCCTCAGGGTTTGTCATCATCACAGTTTTTGTTCTGCTAGCCCCTAGATCTCAAATGAAAAAGGAGACATAACATAACATAACCTCATCCATTTCCCTATCTCTTTTGCATTTCTTTAGGACATTGTATTCACATAAAGGTAAAGGTAAAGGTACCCCTGCCCGTAAGGGCCAGTCTTGACAGACTCTAGGGTTGTGCGCTCATCTCACTCTAGAGGCCGGGAGCCAGCGCTGTAAGCAGACACTTCCGGGTCACGTGACGAAGCTGCTCCGGTGAACCGGCACCAGAGCAGCACACGGAACGCCGTTTACCTTCCCGCTATTAAGCGGTACCTATTTATCTACTTGCACTTAAGGGTGATTTCGAACTGCTAGGTGGGCAGGAGCTGGGACCGAACGACGGGAGCTCACCCCGCCGCGGGGATTCGAACCACCGACCATGCGATCGGCAAGTCCTAGGCACTGAGGTTTTACCCACAGCGCCACCCGCGTCCCTTCACATAGAGGTTGCCTAATCAAAACTTTGCATAGAATGGATGCCTTGAAGTTATAGTACCTGTTCTAGACCAAGGGAGGGCTACCTTTAGTCTTATTTGATCTACACTTTTTTATTTTTTTAGTGGCATCTCCATGGTCCACCAACCACCCTTCCCTGGTAGTACAAATACAATTGTTGTTGTTACTCAATTTGTTGCCCTTTCATAACACCCCAAACCAGCTGCCTCAGGCAGCTGCTTCACCCTGCCTTATGTATTTCTGACTGGTGGTGGTATAAATTTCATTTATTACATGTTGCATGTTTTGATTTAAATATGGGGTAATAATGGCTTTTTGTCTCAACTAGATGTGACATTGGAAAATCTGTGATCACATCTTTCACGGATTCCCTTGCTGGGATCAAATCAAGGCGAAGATTCCTCCAGCTCTCTCTCTTGCGCTGGTTTCCTGATCTGAATTGCCACCATATGAGCACCTGAAGTAGTTTTGTATCTGTAGGAGAATTGAGTCTGAGAAAATTTACCAGGAGGAAAAGGTTGACCTGTAAAGCCATGGTGCTATTCTAATTCAGGCCCCATCCCCAGCCACTTTTACCATGGGTGTGGGGACTGTGGAAGACCTGATTTCAGATCTCTCTCCAGTGTTCTGTGTGTGGCTCTGAGTGGCAAACTTTCATTTATGCATCGCCGCAGCTCGATACTTGAGCCTAGTACACGTCTGATTCTTTCCAGCAGAGGGCTGTAGTTTCTCGGAAGAGAACAAAAGGAGCTAAGTAATTAAAGGAGTTAAAATTAAATTACAGTACTTAGTCTGCACTATTTTATAAACAATAATAATAATCTCCTGTGCCAAGAGAAAATATTTGAAATACAAACTTCTGAACTATTAGCAATCCAACATTCAAGTCCTAAAGACATCACCTGAATATAAGTCCTAATTTCAACAACCTTTCCTTCCAGACAAATTTGCTTAAAAGACTGAGGTTAATTCCTTCAGTGGCTCAGAACTGCAATAATTCAGAGACCCTGAGATCATCCTCTGAGTTACCGGTAGTTCTTTGTGTGCCTCTTCCACAAGAGGTGAGAAACACAAAAACTGGCCTTTTCTGCAGTGGCTTCCTGTTTGTGGAATGCTCGCCCGAGGGACGTTCAGCTGATGCCTTCATTATATACCTCTGGGCATCAGCAGAAAACTTTCCTCTTCCAGTCCTTCTGCTGTTTAACATTAGTTGCCCTTTTAAATGTGTTGTGCGAGGGTGGATTATTGGTTTGTGTTTGTTTTTATTATTACTTTGTGGTTTTTATATTGTAATATTTTGTTGTGAACTACCCTGAGATCTACAAATGAGGGCACCATACACATTTAACAAATACAGTAATAGTAATAATACCTCATACCTCAATTTTGAAATGTTTCTGAAATTTACAGGAAATGTGTTTATGATTTGAGCTCCAGGCTCTGTACTTACGCAGATTTACATGGAACAAAGTTCCACTGAAATCCATAAAACTCATTGCCTAGTAAATGTATTTAGAATTGTGGGGCAAGTCAGTGGGAATACAGTGGAGTATATGGTTTACACATGGAGTATATCCACATTCCTACATCCTGACTCAGAAAGCATACCTTGAGCATCGGAGGAGACTCTTGCATGCAATGTCTTTGTGCTTTTGGAAATTATATGCATAAATTGGATTGGGTGTAGGTGCACATCGAGACATAAGGTTTCCAATGTAGTGCTCACTCATACTGAGCGTGTGGTGTGGGATGCACATTTTCAACTATCTTGTAATGCATATGGGAAGCTGCTTTGCGATCTGCTCCCTCATTGAAGAACAGAAGTTGAAAACTCATTTGCAAAATGCAATTAACATTGATGCACTAATCAAGAGCCCTGTTTTCATGCTAGCTTCACCCATAACTTGCATGTCTTTAGCAGAAGCTGATAACAGGTTCTGCATGAGTACATTTGCATGTGCCCAGGGGCCTTGAGTAAATCAGAGACAAAAATATATTGAGTGGAAAGAAGTGACCATTTTAAACAGCAGCAGTGGTTTGAATAAAGCAGGGATGGAATAACAATGTGAGGGGGAAAGTGCTGGTTTAAAACAATGATGGAAGTTTGAGTAGAGCGTAGGGATTGACCTGAGTGGAGAAAACTGGAAGTTTAAAACAAGGTTTCAGCACCGTGAGAAGGGAGTTTGGAAAGGCTATGTTGTGCAATTGGATGCTGTGAGCAGAGGGAACAGACTGAGATAACTTTGTAATGCATCATCCTCTGCTTTATCTTAGTGTGCCCAATTTGAACTGTTTGTCTTTCCTCTTTTCTGAGTCTGCTAGCAATCAGAATCTGTGTATGAGGGAAGCAGAGAGCCTGAGGGCATCTTGATTGGGCTGAGCTGCTATTCATGCTGCATGCAATAACAATCAGTTACTCATGCTGTTATAGCCCTAGGACAGTATGCCACCCCACTGTGGAGTTTGTTTTGTGACACCCTTCCCTCCAGATTAAGTTTATGGGGTTCATGTTACTAGTATTCTGAAAAATTGAAGTAAAAATGGCAAGAATACACCGGTGCTAATTTTCACGCGGCCCCTCTACATATGTGAGGCCTGGGTCAATTGCCCCAGATACTCCCTCTTTAAAAAGTGTCTGATCTATGTACAGTATTTAAAAGCCTGAAGAAGAGGTTGTTGCAAGGCTCACACTAGATTTAGAGTCCCTAAGTAAGAAATGCCTCATACAAGATTGCGGAAGGAACTGTGGCATCCATTATCCATCTGGTAGGAGCTGGAAGTAGCAGGTAAGCTGCTAGAAGTTGTTCCCAGTCTGCAGAATAATTTTAACTGATAATCATTAAAAAACCGAAAACATTTGTTACTCACAAAATAGACCCGGAGAGGTGAAACATGTTTCAGTTTTGGTATACAAGTTCTACTGAAATCATGCAACTAGAAAAGTAATCCAGACATTATTTTGAAAATATTCTCTCTCTTCAGTCACAGTGGGTAAGCCGCCACATTATTTATATATTAACAGTATTTATAGGGCACCTTATAACAGAATTCCCAAAGGTAATTAGAAATAAAGCAAACCAGAATGAAAACAAGTTAATGTACAATACAGCATAAAAAACACAAGCCTTGAAGGGTACAACCTAAAGTTAAAAGATGTGGGAATATATATACATACAGTTAAACAGTTAAACAACACCAAAATCAGTGGCCAGGCAAGCCCCTGTGGAGAGGGCATTAATAACTTATTAAAAGCGATGAGCTGGCACTTTTATGATGTGTAAAGTAACCAGATGATTTGGGCAACCCACCTGTGACTGATGCATGTGCACATTGTGTGCCCAATACCACAAGGGCTATGGAACCTAACTCTTGTTTGTTTTGATGGCTAGGCTGCCATGACGGTGCATTGCAAAAAAAAAAAAGGGGGGGAGTACTGTGTAAATTTGGCCAGGGGGGTTGGCAAAATGGAGGGGATCCGTTAACAGGGCATGTAATCCAGAGCCTGAGGTAAGATTTAGAACAGCGCTTCTCTCTTTCTGCCTTCCCTGGCACATTCTGTACCCACAGACATCACCCTCTGCGAGGGAAACACCCTTCTCTCGCCTATCCAACCTGTGACTCAGCTGAGGCCGTGCTCGGATTTCTTTCCACTGAGCAACCCACCCACAGCTTCGCCCAACTCCTTCCCTCTAGTGCCTGCTTGACAAGGGTGTGGGCCTGTCTGAAGCGGTCGCCCTCATAGCCCCCCACAAACGTTGCCCGAGGGAGCTCGCGGACAAAAAGACCCTACCCACCCACCGACCCACGCCTCACAAGCTGCCGCGGGGGTGGCGGCGGCTGCGGTGCGGCGATGCCCGCACGCGGCCTTGCTCCTGCCCCGCGGCGGCCGAGGGTGGGGATGCCCTATGGGCGTGAAGGGCGGGCGGGGTGGAGCCAGACGCTCGGGGGAGAGAAGCTGCCGCCTCCGCTTTTCCACAAGGAGCGCCTTTCACTGCCCGAGCAAGGCGCCCTCCTCCCTGCCGCCGCCGCCGCCGCTGAAAGGATAGACAAACGCTGCGCGGGGAAGGAGGGGAAGACGAGGGAGAAGGCGAAAGAGGCGCGAAGCGGCATCTTCAGGCAAAGCGGCCCATTCCCGGCGCAGGATGCTGCGTTTGCCGGACGCCGCTCTCGCGGCTCCCAGGGGCGCTCGGATGCCCGCCGCCGTTGGGCTCACTTTGTGCCTCCTCTGGGCAACTTCGTGGGCCGAAGCTGCTGGGTAGGAACTGGAAGTGGGTGGGGAGATGGACGGGGTGGGTGGGAAAGGCTTGCAGGAATAAGGGAAACGGTTAGTGCCCGCTCGCCTCCTTCTGCCCTGTTCTGCACAGAAGGCCAGATTTTGCACTCATGGGGATTTCAGAACCGGGAGCCGAGGCAAATCTTGCAAGAGTGCCGAGTGTCAGACTGCAGATCACCCACAGCCCAGTTGCACACTCAGTAGTTGTTGGTTTTTTTTGGGGGGGGGGTCCAAACCCCGTACTTTGCCCGCAGCTCCTCAGTTCATAATTGCGGGGGCAATTCTTATGCGGTCCTTTGGGGCTTACTCCCAGGTAAGCTAGTATACGATTCTAGCCTGTCACTACAAGAGCAGAAGATCACTTTGCCTGAATGCACTTTCTATGAAAACTGAAAGGATGTATGTATGTGGAGTCAGAGGTCTGAAAAAGAAGATGATTAGGGGGTTATTACACTATTTTACCAGTGGGTGGGCAAAGTGTCGCACCCTGTTCCTTTCTTATATTACCATACGTGTTTCTCCTCTGATACTTGTGAGGCTTCCGGAGCTTTATTTAGCAGTAATTTTCCACCGGTTAGGACTTGTATTCTCTCCCCCCTTGCAACTTGGCTGAATCCACATATGAATCATGCCAGAGATTATTTAGGAAATTGGCACATACAGAGTCAGACCATTGGCCCACCTAGTGCAGTATAGTCCATACTGACTGGCAGAGGATCTACAGAGTTTCAGATGGGACACACTACCTGGAGAAGTCAAAGATTGAATCAGGAACCATCTACATGCAAAGGAGCAGCTTTGCCACTGAGTTGCCGCCTTGATGTTGGGTGTAGTGAAAGGAGTATCAGGCCATGAGTGTAAATCTGTTTTGTCCCTTCTTTTAGGCCCACGTACCTGTTGGCAGCTCTTAAGAGCATCAGGCCTGGAGCAAATTTGACTATTGGAATAGCTATGCTGAAAAAGAGCCCACAAAAGGTTACAGTAAAAGCCGAAGTGGTCTATGCAAATAACACTGTACTACGTGGGGAAGCTGTCTTTAAAAGAGGTGAGATAACTTTACTGGCCTAAAAATAATGATGCATATTCTGTCTGTAGTACTTTTTGATTGCAAGAAAGCCCTGAGGGTGGCTATACAGAAGTAAACACTGTTAAACGGGGTTTGCTTCCCAGGAAGTGGGTTTAGAATTATAGCCTTAATGAGGGAATTTAAGACTATCATTGGTGAGCTGAATTCGGAACAGATATATTATCTGCTTTATGCAGAAGTTCCGCAGGGGGGAAATAAGTATGATGAGCTACATAGATTTAAATGTGAGATTATTTGCTGAACTGTGGTTTAAATGTACTGTATAACCATTCATGTGCTATGTTTACTTCACCTTTTACTGTGGTTGCCATTTCCCCCCTGAATCTGCCCCTCTGCCACCTCATTTTTAAAATGTAATCCTGAGTGAGATCGTTTTTACACTGTTTCTGCTTTGGAGAGACCTATCAACTCATGAAAAGAGTTTTGTTTTAGTTTGTACTGTTTTACTGTTAAGAGAAAGAGCAGGTAGGAGCTCTTCCAATTCTGGAAAGGAAGCTGAAAATAGAGTTGAGGAGCTTGGTCATAAATGATTCAGAATTCACCTTTCTGATGTGGTAGGGAGACTTCACTTTTGTTGGATCTACTTTGGTTTTCCCCCCTAGAATCTCAGGATTATATAGACTATCAGTCAGAGCCAGCTGCAAAATTCACATGATTATAATGGAAGAACAAGATGCCTCTGAGCATATTCTGAGCCTCAAAAATAGTTTTTAGTACCAGAACTGAACTGAGTTTGCAGTCTGCACACACATGCTCTATGTGTATTCTGAGGTAGGAGCCCAGGAATGGTTGCTATGTTTTTCAGGAGCATTTTTAAGGGCCCTGCAGGTCACTGCATTAACATCACAAAACATCCAAATGCTGACATAGCATGCCTATTGCACTGTTCTTTTCCAAGTTTCTTTCAGTAGCATGATGTATATTTATCACATTTTGTTTTGTCATTGCTTCAGAAAGCTCAGGTTATCCCATTTTTATATTCACAATTTTTGAAGGACACCTTTAAGGTTTTAAAAAACCCTCTCTCAAAACAACTTACAAAAAAGTGCAATATGATACAGCTATGTAAATAAAATCAGTAAGAATAAAAAGTAATAATGCAATAACGTATCAGCCCCTAAAATGCTAAAATAAAGTACCTGACTACAACCAAATCAGTTAATAGAATAAAGTAGCTCTGGAAAACTCATTTGAAAGCTCGTGAACCTTTAGGGCTTTCATGAACATCTGAAGGGATGGAACTTGTTACGAGTGAATGTGGCAATGTGCCCCAGAGATGTTGGGCCATTGTAGAAAAGGCTCTCCCCCTGAAAAAAGCCAGTTCTGAAAGAAAATTACTATCCTGATAACAATCTTGAGGGATAGTGACTGACCAAAGGAAACTAGTGAACTAAGCAAGGATTTCAATCCCATAGACAGGATTCAGTTATTGAGCATTACCAGTAGAAGCTCATGCAAAGACTTTCATTAGTGTAACAGGCCTTTCTCCCCTCTCCCACCACATGTGTCCTCTGCTCCTCCAATTGGCTCATGGGGGTGGTGTTAGGAGAACCTTTTCCCCAGGTCTCTCAAGTCAAAGTCTGGCACTGTGTCAACAACACTTCAGTGTCTGTCTTCCTCATATTTTTATTTATTTATTTCATTTCCAAACCGCCTTTCATCTGAAGATCACACAGCGGTTTACAAAATAAAAACACATGCAATATATAAAAACACATACAGTGGTACCTTGGTTTAAGAACAGCTTAGTTTATGAACAATTTGGATTAAGAACGCTGCAACCCAGAAGTACCGTAGGTGTTTTGGTTTGTGAACTTTGCCTTGGAACAAGAACATGTTTCGCTTCCTATTGAGTGTGTTCCATTTTTAAATTGAGTCCCCTGCTGCTATGGGAAAGCAAGCCTTGGTTTAAGAACAGACTTCCAGAATGGATTAAGTTCGTAAACCAAGGTACCACTGTATATAGACTGGAGTGGGATAGCTGTGCTGCTGTTTCCCTTAAAAAGTGCACATTGGTGTGTTGTAGAGCATGAAAGAATGTCTTGTAAGCAAGAAAGGGTGAGTCTTACAGGCTATTTTTTCCTCAATAAATCCTGAACAAAATTGCACTTACAGTGCAATTCTATGCATGCTTACTGAGAAGGACACTAGGTTATGTCCAGTGGGCATTACTACCCATGGTTAGAGACATAAGCCGATGCTGGAGAGTGTAAATGCAAGAAGCAGCATAAAGCTAACAAAGTGGTGGGCATTTCTGAAAGGGAAAGTGAATGTCCACTTTTGTGTTGTTTAAGACTAGATAATGGCATAGCAGAAGAGCACTAAGCCTCAAAAGCACTGAAAAATGTGTGTGTGTGAATGTGTGAATGTATTGCTAGTTGCAATGTAAAATCAATGTCTGTGCCACTCATACTGTCACTTAGCATTCTGCAATTATGTGTTTTGCTGGGGAAGGTATGACATTTTGCAGATACACAGTATTGTCATCTTGGTGTGGTGAAATGTGATGAAAGAACAACTCTTGAGGAAAGGCATGGGGGCTGTGGACAACAAATGAATAACTATTTTGTGCATTCCTAATAAACCAATACCAACCATGCAGAAAGGCCCTTATTAGTAGCAGCATTCTCTACACAGCCACATTTGGCCACAGGAGGCAACTGCATACCATTTGGGACTTTCTCCTGGGAAATATCCTATATATTTGGATATCAAGTTGGCTTTATAGCAGAGCTGTGTTTTTAAAGTAGATATAAAGCAGATCTTGTGCATGCTAATTTCCTAGCTTTATTGGGCAGTGAAGAGCTGTAGCTCAGTGATCTGTTTTGCAGGCAGAAGTTCTTACATTCAATCCCCAGTACCTCCAAGGAGAGCCACTGCCAGTCAGTTTAGAAAAAACTGACCTACCGGTAGATGGACCAGTGGCCTGACTCTGTATAAGTCAGCTTCCTCTGTACTGTAAAAAAAAATAAGGATTAATTCACATGTTTACTTGTGACCCTCTTTGCCTAGTAGACACCTGCATTTAACATGTGAGACAGATGTTTCAGAGGCCATGTATAAATCCTATTGTGCAATATTCTCTCTTCTCACCCTTTCTTGAGTGGGTAGAGTCATGTCATTGGGTCTTGGTGGAGCACCATTCTCACACTTTCTCTTAGGTGAATGTGGAAATGTGGCACTGAGTCACTTGCTCTTCTATGAAAAAAAGATAATTAAACAGGTCAGTGGATGAATCCGCCCATATATTCAATATGATCTCAGAACTAGTAAAGACATACTGACTAGATTTCAGTTGTTTTTATTAGCTTCTTTGTTTTCAGCAACAAGGGAGCTACCGTATTTTTTGCTCTATAAGACTCACTTTTTTCCTCCTAAAAAGTAAGGGGAAATGTGTGTGCGTCTTATGGAGCAAATGCAGGCTGCGCAGTTATCCCAGAAGCCAGAACAGCAAGAGGGATTGCTGCAGCGATCCCTCTTGCTGTTCTGGCTTCTGAGATTCAGAATATTTTTTCTCTTGTTTTCCTCCTCCCAAAACTAGGTGCGTCTTGTGGTCTGGTGCGTCAACAACAGGGTTGTTGTGGGGATTAAATGAGGGAGAGAACCATGCATACCACATTGAACTCTTTAGAGAAGTAGGTGGGATATAAGTGCAATAAACAAGTAAATAAATTATGACATGTTCACTTTAGAAGTGAACTATTTAAATAATTTTGAACTGAGGCCTTCTCATCCTGAATGGCAAGTCAAGTTTTTATTTTTTTGTAAACCTCTGAGAGGTTTTCTTACAATGATTTTTTTCTTTAGTTTTCCTGGTCACCTCCCTCAAACAGCTTCAATTTCCCTGGTTCTTTTAAAATCACCTTCTGGTAGAATATGGTTTGGCTTGTAGGTGTAGGGTGAGAAAACCACAAGGACAGAAACCATTACTACTAAGCCTTTCTTCTCTAGAAAAGAGATTGAATTGTGTTCTTCCTCCATATCAGACTCTGTGGTATCTCTCCAACAAGCGTTTGGATCTTCAGCTAAACTTTTGATTTTAGCTCATCTAAAAAGCAACTAACCTCATCATAGACAAACCAAAAGTATGCACGATACTTACCGGTCAGCTTTGTTGTTCAACATTGGCACAGAGCCTTATTCCCTTCTTAGCAGAACTCCTTTAGTAATATGCCCCCATGCTATCAGCTCCTAGGCTAGATCTTCAGCTCCCCTTAAGATGCAACCTCTGCTGCGATTCCTAGCACTCTTCAGACTTATGAAGCCTCTTCCTAAGTCCTTAATCATTCTACTCCAGCTGACAACAGGTTCTCTCCTTGACCAGTATCAAACCAGGATTTTTATTTGCACCAGGCTTTTTATTAATAATCATTTGGGTGATTTTTGATCCCCTTATTGGTCTATAATTATGAGCCAATAAGATGAGGTAGAATGCCCATTAACTGACCAATTACAACTGACCACCCTTTTGATGCATTTGATTCTGAATATAAAGTCAGCAGCCTCCTCAAACATAGCCATCTTCTTGTTGCTAATAGACTACAATGACAGTCTGCTGCCTGCTAGTCTGTCTTTGGTAGTCGCTTTGTTTACGGTTAACCCTTACCTTGTTTGAAATGATATAGCATTCTTATCATAAACTTTACCACATAAACAACATGATTACAGGCCCAAAGTTACCTACTGAGTTTCATGACATAGTGGATATTTGGACTCAGGTGTCTCTGGCTCACATGGAACACTTTTGCTAGCATGTACCACTCTGGTTCTGTTTTAGCAATCTTCTCAGCAGCACGTATCTAAGATTTTTGACTCTTTGATGACATCTCTTTTTTCTTGGTAGCTAATTCTGACATTAGTGTGTTAATCTGAAAAACCACCACCATCATCTTTTAAATGCATTGCAAACACAATGCTATGTGCATGCCTCATCCTTAAATAAATCACATTAATATGTATACCTGATTTTAAATATATGCAGAAGTCAAGAGCTATTACCAGTAATGAACACCTTAAGACTTAATTTTGAACATTCAGTCTTTACATTGGTAATGAAAGTTTTTGCAGATACATAAATTGCTCATCATGCTTTCAAATCTAATATTACATCTGAAATGCTGACATAAAAGATCTTACCTTTACAGAATACATACTACGGTATGTGAAATGATGAGCGCTTCCTGTGTGTGCATCAGATGTTGTTTTACCAGAATCTGTAGTTTATACTAATAATGTAAAGTCTAAATTGACATGTAACGGTAACAGCTGCTGGGCATTTGGAGCTACCTTGCTTCTTTATTTTCAGTGTTTTTCTTTTATTTTTATAAAAAGGTTGACATATTTTGCTTTGAAATTCAAGACAGTGTTTGGTTTATGCTTTGTAAAAGCTCCAGGCTCTGGGCATTTTATTATCAATGATAAGGAATACATGTTTGGGGCTTCTGTTTAACTGAATCAATTACTAGGTCTCAAGGATCATAAAGGAAAGACTTTGGTAGTGTTCTCTCATAGTGAGGCCAACAGAATGCAAGCCTATGCTGGTGTGGCCTGCTTGTGCAGTTTATGAGAACAGTTCTCATGACAGAGGTTGGCAGCCTTACATTATTGGTGGCTGCTTTGTAATAGAGATTCAAAATGAAAAAGCCAAGGATGCTACAGGTTGGCAAGATTATACTTGGCAGAAGTTAAAAAAACCTTGCAATGGTTCATATCTTTTTCATCTGATGAATAAGAAAGTAGGATTTAACAAAAATCTCATTCATATAAGATGCATTTTAGGTGTGCACCAAGAAATGTAAAGTATTACAGTGGTACCTTGGGTTACATATGCTTCAGGTTACAGACGCTTCAGGTTACAGACTCTGCTAACCCAGAAATAGTGTTTCAGGTTAAGAACTTTGCTTCAGGATGAGAACAGAAATCGTTCTCCGGCAGTGCGGCAGCAGCAGGAGGCCCCATTAGCTAAAGTGGTGCTTCAGGTTAAGAACAGTTTCAGGTTAAGTACGGACCTCTGGAACGAATTAAGTACTTAACCTGAGGTACCGCTGTATTGCAACGAAGAAGCACTTAGAAATCCTGCAAGTATGCTTGGAGCCAAAGACAATCCCAGCTATGTGTTGAGTACCGTACACTCACTGGCAACCCTGGGGCTGTTGCTGTGTAATGTATGAAATAGTCTAGATGTATCCTCTTTAATTCAGTCCTAAGGGGTGAAACTGGCACTTGGCTATATATATTGTTGATGGCTCAATTCGTTTTTATTTTGGAACATTTTCACCTCTTGCCTCTTAAATCTCAACGTTGTGCATTCATTGCCAAATAACAAGAATATAATTATACAATAGTACCCAGAGGTAGGAGAAACTTATAATTTGTGATCTTAAAAAGGGCAAGGCAGTTTTGTTTAGCAGCCATGAAGAGTTGCTGTTGCAAATATATTGGCATAAAAAAAGTTATGCAAGAGATTCTCTAAATTTTAAAAGTTTTTCTAAAGTGATAGTAAAGTGTTAAGGTGCTGACTTGCATCCGTCTTCAAAGACTCAGAAGTGATATAATTGCTGCTTAATTGAGTGTAGGGAGAAATCTTGATTCTGAGAGTAAGGGAGTTGGGGGAAAAAGAAATCCCAGCCAAAAGTTACTAAACAGATAGAGACTATGCAAATAGCTTTCAAGCTCAGACAAGCTGTGATCATATATAAACACTGGAAAAATGTCCATGCCAGCAACTGAGTCCTGCTTGCTTAACAATATAAAGGAGCCAATTTTATATGCCAAGCTAGAAAACACTGATGAATGCTAAGTTGTTAAATAGCAGCACAGCAAGGACAGGGTTTGATAGTCTATGAATCTTATATTATAACATAAACATGCCATTAAGTTTCACTTAAAGCTCTGTTTTGCCAAGTGACTCATCAGATATTGCTAGTTTCCAGGGTTAGTCCTGGAAAAGTTGAAGCATAATTCTGAGCTAACACATCTCCAGAAATACTTTCATGCAGTGGATGAATGTAAACCTTTGCATTCCATTTTCCTTGTTGATCAAAAGAAAAACCAATAGTACAAAACAATAGCAGAGGATTAATCTTCCCAACACTTAAGATAGAATAGGGTAAAATCTAATAGTGTTACTGAATATGCTTAGTTTCCTGATAATGTAAGCACCATTTCTCCTGAAGAAATATAGGAGTGATATTTTTGTGTGGCAGCCCAAATACTGCTTACGAATTCAGTAACACCCTACCTTGACCCACTGTCATGACTCTCTGTACTTTGTTTGCACAATGTACCATTTTGCTAACAGTCTGGAATGGGGGAACAATTTTATTCCACTTTTCCCAGAGCAGTGAAAAGGCTTTGATTGTAAAAAATTCTAGTTTTAATAAACTCAGAATAAAATACATTTTAAAAGTCTGTTATTATTCATATGGATCTGGGGTTTTTTTTGTTTTATATACTTGTAGTTTTAATGGTTGCAAGCTGCTTTGGATGGGCTTTGCTTGAAAAAGCAGCATATAAATTTTTTTTAAACAAATAAATAACAAAAAAGGGTTGTGCTAATGCCTCCATATGCATTATTACTATTATTAGTCCTGCCCTTCACCATCAGTTCATAGGGCAATTTAAAATTCAGTTTTAAAACAGTTAAAACAAATTGCAATCACATGAATAGGGTGGGTCCTGGAATACACAATTCTGGTGTCAAAGGCCAGTCATGGAAGTTGAAAAAGATTGTTTAAATAAAGTGTGTGTGTGTGTGTGTATTTCATCAGCCAACTATTAGCAAAGTTTCTGGGGAAAATAAACATTTTCTTAATTAAGCATGTCTTCGGGTCATTTTGGATGAAATTTTGATTATGTTCGGTAAGATTTCATTGTTATTAAGTAGAAAAATGAGGACATGGGAAAACTCACTTGGGAACAATATTATTTTTCACTTGATGATCAAGATTACCCATTAAAGCTTAAAAAACAAAGCCTCAAAATTGGCCTGCTTGACAAGTTCTTAAGCTCTTAGCTTCTTACGATGTTGCTTTAAAAAAAATCTAAGACCTACCGGTAACTGCTTATCTTTTTGCATGATGATGTTAGGATTTTTTACTTGAATTTTAATTTTGATAGATTATGACGCAGTTTGTTCTACAGTGTTTAAAGAATCAAGTTGAGGACAGATTTATGTGAAGGCCTGGGACTAAACAAAACTGGAGACTCTTATTCCAGACTTGTGTTTAACTATGTGTGAAGATTAAGAACATTTTGGCATGGATATTGATACTGATCTGGGGATCATTTTTTTGTTTAGCAGGAGCCTGTATCCCTGTTCTTGCATGTAGAACAGCAAATTGTTCTTATTGCCACTCACCTGTTTGGGTATGAGATACTGTTTTGCTCCTACACAGCAGCCTTTTGCATGTGTGAGACAGATAGAGAAGGCTTATTTTCCCCCTTGTAGAACCTGAATGATAGAAAATAACTAGAGATAAGCACAACATTTGACAGAATAAATATAACAAACCACTTTTGAAATATAAAAAGTTGACATTAAAATGCATTGATGGTGTATGTGGGAGTTGCCATTCAACTTTAAGAACACAGGTTTTTGTTGGCAGGTCCAACATGTTTTATGGCTTTCCTAGTGAGCGTGGTCAATACAGAATTGGCTTTTCTTTAGTTAGGTTTTGTCCCCTTTAGGGAGAGGGGCTAGTGCACTGATAGTTTCCCATATTTTTGCTTCTCTTTTCTTTCTGTTATTGCATTATTTCTCTATGGTAGGGGAAGAAAAAAGCAATTGCCTACCAGCACTGAGAACAAAAGCTGACTAATAAGGAAATTTAAGGGCAGCACTAAAATGGGCTGAACAGGAAGCTTTTAGTTAGCATTGGAAATGACTTTTAACAGATCTTAGAAAGAATCTCCTGGTGGAACCACTTCAGGCACTAGCCCAGGGGTCAGCAACCTAAGGCCCATGGGTCACACGTGGCCCACGAGGGTCGTTTAACTGGCTCACGAGCCACCCCCGAACTGAGCCACCCACTCGGCAAGTCCCCACGCGCTGTGCTAAACCAGCATGGCGCGGCGACTCGCTTCCGCGGTGCCGGAAATCGCATCTGTGCATTCACAGACACCGAAAATCGTGTGTGCATGCGTTCGTGTGATCCAGCCTATGGAGGGATCTCTGCTGGAGTGAACTGGCCCAGGCAAGGTAAACCTTGCCCACCCCTGCACTATCCCTTGAATGCTTTGCTCTCTTGGCCATGAGGGAGGACCCCATCACCAGGTAGTCAGAGGAAGGGGGGGCATTGATGAGGAGAGGTGGATGGTATCAAAGGCTAATGAGAGATCCAGTAGAACTAGGAAACAGCTTTCAGCTTTGTCCCTAGCCTGCTGGAGATCATCGACCAGCGTGACCATCTGGACCGTCTAGAGGTAAAAGCTGGGGCCCCTGTTATACAGTGGTTGCTCCTGTGCCGTGTCCAGAAAGAGGTGCTGGGGGATGTGTGTTCAGACCCCATGGCTCTCACTTGTCCTGAATGGGGCAATTGTGCCCCTGAAGGACCAGGTGCACAGCCTGGGAGTCATTTTGAACTCACAGCTGTCCATGGAGTTGCAGGTCAAGTCTGTGTCCAGGGCAGCTGTCTGCCAACTCTCATCTGGTACGTAGGCTGAGACCCTACCTGCCCACAGACTGTCTCGCCAAAGTGGTGCATGCTCTGGTTATCTACCACTTGGACTACTGCAATATGCTACCTTTGAAGGTGACTCAGAAACTACAACTAATCCAGAATGCGGCAGCTAAACTGGTGACTGGGAGTGGCCACCGAGACCATATGACAACAGTCCTGAAATACCTACATTGACTCCCAGTGCGTTTTCAAGCACAATTCAAAGTGTTGGTGCTGACCTTTACCAGCCCTAAACGGCCTCGGCCCAGTATACCTGAAGGAGCGTCTCCACCTGCACCACTCAGCCCAGACACTGAGGGCCAGTTCTGAGGGCTTTCTGGTGGTTCCCTCACTGTGAGAAATGAGGTCACAGGGAAGCAGGCAGAGGGCCTTCTCAGTAGTGGCATCCACCCTGTGGAACACCCTCCCATCAGATGTCAAGGAAATAAACAACTACAGTGGTGCCTCGCAAGATGAAATTAATTCGTTCTGCGAGTTTTTTCGTCTTGCAAATTTTTCGTCTTGCGAAGCATGGTTTTAATGGTATTAGCGGTTTTAAGAAAAAAGAAACAAACTCGCAGGACGTTTTCGTCTTGCGAAGCAAGCCCATAGGGAAATTCGTCTTGCGAAGCAACTCAAAAAACGAAAAACTCCTTTGTCTTGCGAGTTTTTCATCTTGCGAGGCACCACTGTATCTGACTTTTAGAAGACATCTGTATCGGGAAATTTTTAGTGTCTAATGTTTTACAATTTTAATGTGCTGTAAGCTGCCCAGAGTGGCTGGGGAAACCCAGCCAGATGGACGGGGTAGAAATAATAAAAAAGATGAGGATGAGGATGAGACTTTTCACTGAAATACTGATGATTTTTCATTAGGATTTTTTAAAATAAAAAATGGCAGGTTGTGGAAATTTGGAGAACTGAGTTTAAGACTGGAAAAATGAGAACAGAAATTGATAGATTTGCAGAGGACAGGTGTACATTCATGTACCTTTGTAACGAGATGTTTGTTTAGTGTTTCTGTTTTGGTTTTAACATATTTTAAAAGTAAAATCGTAACTCTGGGCAGTTTTGGCAACTGTCACCACAGGAATTAGAACATTGGGAAAGTGTCAGTTGGGGCAGTTAGTTGAGAGAAAGAAGGAGATGGGCTAGTAAGGAAGAAGAGTGTCTTTGCAAAATTCGCCTGATGAGGGGAGACTATAATCACGTTCTGTGGTGGATAGATGCGAAAGGAAACAGTGATGTGGGAGCCAAATGGTGCAAGGGGATTCAGCAGCCCACAGAGCCAAGGAGCAGCTTGAGATTGTCTACTCGCAGGGACACCCAGGCAACCCAATGGCACCATAAGAGACTCAACGGTGGTTAAGGGCTGTAGTGTTTGTTCATTTTGCCAGAAAGGATACCGCCTTGTATTCTGTGCTGGAAAAAAGGCATTCCTTTCCTCATTTGTAATAAATGTTTTAACAAAGGTGGATTTTCCAGGTTTCCCAACTCACTTCCCAGAGTGTGTACCTGGGGGGAAAGGCTTTCCGTCACTGGTGGGAGCTTAAAGGCAAACTGCTGTTGCAGGCAGGTCCCAAAACAGCAACAAGAGCCCTCAGTATTGCCTCCGGATATGAAGAACTCTTTGTGGAGCCGTATGTTTTAATTTAGGGGCTGAACCAAACATTTTGATTCCCTTGGCAACAGTAAGCCGCAATTCAGTAGAACAAAACCAACATAAACAACATTAGAACAGTTTGTAGGTCATAATTTAACTGTGCAATATTTCAGCCCTTATGATTTATTTGAAATTACAGGCAGATGTAATAATTAAAGATTGATACTGCCAAAGATATGATCTAATCTTACCTGACACAGGAAAGGACAATCCCACCCGGCTTTTAATCACTGATTAGTTTAATTATGTGCACTCCACTGATAATCCACAAACCTTTTTGATGTTTGCAATCTTTTTTGCAATATTAATTGCAAATATCAAATGGAGGCTTCAAATACAAATACAGTGATGGTGGGTGCTTCCAGACATGGGCAGTTTAGCAGCAGCCAGTCATTGATGTTCTACTTTAAACTAGAAATGGAAGGCAACACTGCTTCCAGAAGTCTAACATGCAATAAGAAAGTTTGCATTCCCTGTTTCTCCATCCACATGTTGTAAAGAAGCAATTTTCATTGGGATTGTTGGAATAAAAGGTTTCCTTCCTCACTGCCAAATCAAGATTCTGCAACTTAGGGCGGGAGCCGGAGGAGGAAATGGATATAAAGGTAACGTTACTTGAAAAGGGTAGGGTTAAAGTAATAGAATTGATTCCTAGAGAGAAGAGAACAGCCAACAGAGAAGGAAATGGCTGAATGGTCTCTCCAAATGACTGTGATAGGCCATTGACAACCGAGGAAATTGTGCAGCAATTATGAAAGTTCAGTTCTGCTGATGTGGCTCACTATCCACATATAAACATTTTTCAGTTTTCAGACTTTTTCTTTTGCATTTTCTTTTATATTGCTAAGGATAGAAAAGGGATAAGTAGGCCGTTCATTTTAAAATGTGTGTTTTTCAGACAGGGCTTTGGAATGTGATTTTTTTTTTTTACCAGCCTGTTTTCACTGATACGTTATTGATGTTTTTCCTGCTATTATTGAAGTAATGTGTGTTTATATTGTACACCACCTTGTTACATATACTTTTAATGAAAGTGCACTTTATAAATATATAAACAAAACAATTAAAATAAATAGATAAAGAATGTCAGTCCATGAGTGGTTTGTGGGTGATGGCCTCACGGTAAATATGGGGTAGGTTTATTGAGAGGGCAGAAAGAATGGAACTATATCAATCATGATGATGTAAATCATGATAACAATCAGGCCTCCCATTCCATTAAATAATTGATATCTCTAATGAGAGCACTCTGGTTTTGACCTTACTTCTTCTTGCCGACACTGACAGATTTGCTGAAGATACTTTGCACAATACACAGAAGGCAATTTAAGAGTAGCATTTCAAAGTCAATACAAGTTAAGCATTAAAAGCCTGTTGTTACAGGTCTGTAGGAATTAGAATTCAATTAGTGCATGGGAATGAGGCCACTGGGAATTAGGAATAAATTCTTTCTAAATCCTTGCACCCCAGCCTCTAGATTTATATTAGAAGTCTAGAAGAATATTTATTCATTCTGCCACCTCTCCCCTGAGTAGCAGGGCCTTGAGTTGCCATAAGTAGAAATAAGAAATGGGTACAGCTTTTCTGTATATCCTGGTCTCAGAAATGAAGTATATCACTTTTTGACTTTATATTTGAATCACACTTCATGACTAAAGTGTACAAAAGTAACAATGCTTCTGCCCTGAGGAACACATCTTTGATTCTGATACACTGATGGTTAGTATAAATATTTATGCCGTGTCTTTCAATAAAATGATCCCTGAGGCAGCTCTTAGAATATTGTAACAATGCAATACAAACTATTTACTCACCTTTTGGTGGTGGGGACAGACAAGAGAGATGCTGTGGGGTCAGCATGAATTAAAAACACCTCCCCAGCTTCCTGGTGTTCCTGTTGCTGTCCTTACTGAGGTCTGCAGCAAACCACTCCAGGAAGTGTGCTTCCAGGTGGCAATTACTATAATGATCACTAGAGCCCACATCACATGTTACACTCTTGATGGGGTTCCATCCGATGATCGGGAAGTAGACCCCTGAAGTTTGCCTTGCTCCCGTGTTGCACAGATGGGCTAGTCCCACCCTGTGCATTGAGCACAGCTATCTGAAAACAAGCCCTCAGTGTCATGTGTAGTTGTTCTTTTTCAGATATCTGTACTCATTGTGTACTCGTGTGGTAGTTGGCATGGGGTAGCATGGCCAGGACACTTATTCCCTGGTGATTGCATGGACCCCGCTCACACATGTCATGCCTAAAGAAAGCTTTAGGAGGTGGGGCTCCTCATGTAGGTAGAATGTGGCTCCCACCTCATTGCTTTGTGACGGTTGACTTAGAGAGATCCTGGGAGAACATGGAGTGGACGCCTCTTCCTAGGTCTCCAGAAATAACCTCCATCCTCAGGAAGTGTGTTTGCAGGTACCACTGGAGTCCCACTGCTGAAATACAAGAAGAAGGTTCACATTATGTAAGAGACTGGTGCTGCAATGCTGCATTCCAACAAAAGCATTGTAAGGATGGATTTGCTGTACATGGTACAGTACATGGCATGTAGGAAGCAAGAGGTGGATTAATCCCCCCTTTTCTTTTTTAAATGCAGATTCGGTTGGTACACTTGTCCTTCCAGCTGTAAGTATTATTTTCCCCAAGTACTAGAGTTCCATGTGAAATATTTCCTGAATGGATGCTGCCTCTTTCATTTATTTACCTTTATTTCATTTTAATCTTGTATATAGTGTAAGTTCACTATTAGTGAGCAAAGAGCTTCCTTCTGACAAGTGAATCATATACACTGAAATGCAGGCGTTTCATATCTTGTTTTAGGACACAACATCTGACAGTGATGTTAAAACAGACATTCAAACTAGTGTTCCTGGCATGTCTAGATGTAATTGAAACAAACCAGAATGCGGGATAGCATTCCTTCTAGGTTTTGTTTGCTAACAAAGAGGGTGTAAAAGTATTAAAATTCATAAATATTAGATAAGAGTTTAAAACAGATTTATATCAACATGCATTTTTAGGTGCAAACCACATTGTCATGAAGCACTTGCCTCAAAATAATTAAGAGTCAATGAACAGGAGCAGATGAATCATGATTCTTCTTCTGCACAATCCCTTTTCTTGTAAATTGTAAGCATGGCTGCTGCTTCTGCCTTAGAAGCATGTCTGTGCTTGCTTGTGCCATGTATCTCTGAAACGTGCTTGCAGACTAACTCAGGGAATAAGACTTTCCAGAACACAAATCATGGTTGGGAATTTAGATCAAATGTCCTAGGGGAACCATTTTCTTCTGCAGCCTGATTCTGTTCTGCCAGAGGACAGATTGTTGTCTGCCTGGTAGTGCAGGCTCAGAAACCAGGATAATGATCCAGGATCTCATATTGACAGCAGTGTTAGATGCTGAGATATGAAAACTGGGATCTAAATGGCACCTTAAACCTAGGTTATGGGCACAACAACTGAATGTCTAGGCACACTTTTTTAATAACTAGAATACAAAGCTGAAAATGAATGGGATGCAGCTAAAATATTATGTTCATTTTTCACATGGTCTAGTCCTTCCCTTGCCCACCCCCCAATATTCTTAAGAGGGTCTCTTCTCCAGTCTTCAGAGAGGAGCTGGAAGTAGGGAGGCAGAAAAAGGTCGTCCTTTCCTTCCACTCTGCAGTTTTAATCTGAAATCTTTGGTGCAGTACTGCGCCCAGAGCTCAGAAACTGCGCACGCTAATGAAATTCCCTGTTGCAAAAGGCTCCAAGAACAATGGGAGTTTCGAACACTGATTGACAGTAAACCTGGTCCCATTTAGCCAGCACAATACATTTCACTGCTTGAAGCAAAGAACAAGATGGCACCTTCCTATTCCACATAGAGAAGCCAGCCGAATCTATGGCAGCTGAATCTTCTTTCAGCACTGGTGAGGGGATAGTTGCTACAGTAGGCTAACTTAGGGGGTACAGGATGCATAGCTCTGTCCTCCCACATGTCACAGCCTCCAACATCTGCTGCCTGAGTCAGCTGCCACAATCTGCTTAATGGTAGAGCTGGTCTTGTTAAGCTGTAATGGGGAACTTTGGCTTAATGCAAGTCACAGTCTTTACACTGAAGCTGGCATGCAACAAGCAAACAAGGGGATGAGGCAGGAGTGAACTTCCACAGTATTCATTCATAGCTTCATAAACCATGGTTTTTGGAGCTGTGGGTGAATATATAAACAGGATCATAGTATGAAAGAATAAATGAAAATTCAGGTGACAGAACACTTTTAGGGAGTGTCATTGTAACTTATTTGTAGATTTTATGTCATAATCTTACTCGTATTTACTTGGATATCTTTAGTAGGGTTTTCTCTTAGGTAAGTGTACATAGGATTGCAGCTTCAATTTTTTTAGTTTTGTGAGTTCTAATTATTCGTTGTTTTACTGTTCTGTGTGTCCAGTATTTGTTTTAGAAATAAATAAAGCAGTCATGTTTTTTACCCCCAGCTCCCCTTGGGCAGTACTCCTGGTGATTATGATTTACTAGTCAAAGGATATTCAGAAGGTCGTCTGCTATTTTCTAACCACACTGTCCTTGAATTTGAGCACAAGAGCTTATCGGTATTCATCCAAACTGACAAGACTATGTATAAACCAGGCCAAGATGTGAAAATACGGGTTGTTACTCTGTATCCTGACCTCAAGCCGTACAATACTCCTATGAATATATATATTCATGTAAGTATAAACTTGACATTATTTGGTGAAGCAGGGTTTTCTTTCAGAGTATGGTTATGCAATTTGCAGTGTATTTTCACTAAGACTATTCTTATACATAATGGCAAGGGATTTAATTTTGAATAAATCAGTGGTTCCCAAACTTCTCCCCCATGGGTCACCTGGAAATTGCTAACAGTCTTGGCAAACAAGTTAATGATTTTTCTGCCTGTAGTAGCAATTGTAATGTGCTGTGCTAGAAGCTGTATGATTTTTAATTTTTATTGGGTGGAATTCAACACTGCGCTATCGGGGCAAGTACTTTAGCTTGTCAGAATTAACGATGGTATTTCCCCTCTCCTTCCCCACTGTTCTGTTCTGAGTGTTACTAAACACATGCTTTTGACATTTTTTAAAAAATAGGATCCTCGACGCAATTTGATTCAACAGTGGTTGTCGCAGAATGGAAAACTAGGCAAAATTGCCAAGCAGTTTAAAATATCCAAATATCCTGTCCTGGGTGACTGGTCCATACAAGTTCAAGTAAAAGTGAGTATTAACATAATGAATTGTTTTAACAGGGATGTAATGTATCTCTGAGTGAAATCAATAATTAAATTCCCATTGATTTTCATGGGGCTAGGTTGCATACTGGAGTTAGTTCATCGTTGCTAGAGATTAAATCTGTCTACAGTTGTGCAGTTTAATTGAAATGTATACTGTCTAAATTGGATGAGCTCAGCAACTGAGAAAGATCTGAGTCTTCAGATACTGATTACTGTGCAAAAAGTATGATGTGGCGAAGGCATTCTGTGGTGCTTCATTACTTCAGCATTCAGTTCAAAAGATATATAGAAATCACGTGATACAACTTTTAATAACTCATTACCAAAACATTTGTACAGTATATTTTCTTAAAAGCTGAAATTCTATAAAAGAAGTTCAAAGACAGTTTTTAGTAGTTCTTGAGTTGGTTTAGATACTTGAGCAACATAAAAGGCGAAAGTGCAATTACATGCAGTCATAGAGAGCAAATTGGGACACCATTAATTGTGACTGGGAACGAGCCAAGAAGCAAATGAGAATGAAGCATTCAATATTAACTGCTTTGGAGGGCTATGCAGATTGAGGAAGTGGAAATCAGAAGAAAAGGGAAGCACAGAAATGTTGTACATTAGAAGTTGGCCTTGAAAGAATTTGTGTAGACATTGGGACAAATTGACAAGCACAGGGATGTTGTGTTATCCGCTGCAAACAGTGTTATGGTTCAGGTCCTACTTGCAGGCTTCCCACAGGCATCTGGTTGGCCTCTTTGAGATCAGGATTCTGGACTAGATGGACCATTGGGCTCTCTTATGAGAGTTGTTGTATGAGGAAGTTGTATCTTTGAGTTGTGTGAGAGAGTTCAGTTTGTGAGAGAGCAAGTTTTCACTTTGAGATGGTGTGCTGGCTAGTGTTGGCTAGTTGCTCCCTTTTCACCTGAGCTCTTGGTCCCAAAGAACAATGAGTCTACTTAAAAATTTCTTTATTATTTAATTATTCATTTTCTGACTTGGCCTTGGTGGTGGTGGTGTAAGTTGGAAGGAGAAATGAAGTTGTTTGAGAGCATCTTGACTCTCTGCTGTGATCCCCACTCACCCCTCGGAACGCAGTAGGGTAGAAAAATGTGTTGATTTGATATTATTATTTGCAACTCTTGAGTTTGTGCTTGCTAGAAGAATGAATTTAAAACTGTCCTGCCTGGCTCCCTGTTACTGTTTAGCCTTGTTAGTTTCTATGGAAACAACTCAGCTTTTCCACAGACACTCTCAGGGAAGCCGAGCTGAGAAACTATATAGAACAACCCTTTTGATCACTGCCCTACTTCCTGATGTGTTTGTGGAAATGTGTGATTATGCAGTGTGCATTATTGTGTGTGATGCTCTTTAAACAATGATTAAATAGCTGTGAAAATATAGGAAACTACTATGTAGATTGGGGTGGTGTGTAACAGTATTTAAGGTGCCACAGTACACTTAAGTATTGTAAAGTCGTCTTTGGGAAAACGGCAGTTCAGCATGTACCTTATTTATTCATTTGCTTGCTTGCTAGAATTAGTTTGGGAAAAGTCCTATCTTAGATATAATACACCATACAAGTTAAGCATACCTTTCATAGAATTTATTTTGTTTTTCTATAGGATCAGACACATTATCAGACATTTACAGTGATGGAATATGGTAAGTGATTTCTGCTTGCATGTAAACTTGGATGCAGATTTTCTTTTTTTTTTGGAAGACAGAAGGGGTTCAAAAAGTTAAAGGTCCTCCTGCAACAGTAGAATCATGAACGTTACATAAAAAAAGTCATAATAATGAAAAGCCTTCAAATCACCGAAGACCAGGAGACTCGGATTATGAGAACCTTTTACCTCCTATATTTGCCCACACAGAACAGAGTATTCAACTTCATTTGTTATTCTAAAGATGCTTTATATTGTTTAGATGTCATGGGGATGTATTTCACATGTCTGCCCCATTCACATATGTAGCTGAGGATGTGTGTGTCTAACAGTAAAAGCAGTGTGCAGGAAAGAAGTGCTGAACACTTTCCTATCCTGTACCTTAAGATCCTGCAGTCTTTTGCTCCAAGCAGTTTCTCCCTTACGCCTCTATTACTAGAAGTGAGCTGAGAATAAAGAGCATGGAGCAATGGATTGAGATGAAGTAATATGCAGGAGAGGAAGAGGTTCAGTCCACTTGTTTTAAAGACCTCTCCCATCTGCTTCTATCCGATGACTCATGTGTGAACCAATAACTTCAGCTGATTTAAGACCAGACTTTTTTGTGTTTTTTTTAAAAAATGATATTTATTGAGAATTTTAAGGTTACAAAGAAAAAAGAAGGAAAAAACAAGAGAAAGAGAAAAAGAAAGAAAAAAGTGGATAAAAGTAACAATTAAACAATACAAATCAGTAAAAACCAAAGTCAAAAAGAAACAAAACACATAATACATCAAAATCAAAAAGCAAAAATAAACAAAAAATTTAAAAACAAATCCAATATTCCCAGATCCTTAACTGTCATTAACTTATTTCATCGACCTCCTCACACCTCCCTTTTTTGTATTCTAGTTGTTAATTATCTCAGCAAATCCTTTCCATCTTTCACCATATTCTGTCATTAAATTACCTTAATCTATTTTAACCTTATCTTACCATAAAAAACCCTAAAACTTAAAACTTAAATCTTATTTATACCAAATTCTCTTAACCATAACATATTCTTTTTAACATTTCTGCTAAAGCCAAATGATTTCATTCCAACATTTTTCTAATACTCATTAATTTTACGATACTTTTCTAAATAAATTTTTAAAACTTTCTTCCAATCTTCAGCCATCGTCTCCTTCCTGGTCTCGGGTTTTGTCAGTCCCTTCTATCCCATCCATCTAGTCCATCAACCTGGTGACCTTATATCCGAGGCTCTTAAGTCTTTTCCATGTCCCTTCCGCAGGTCTTCTTCATGTTTATACCTGTACTTTACTTTGTCTTCTGCTCCTTTCACTCGGGAGACTCCAGCTTGACAATATTTTTGTCCCTTCTCGACAAGTCAGCCCCTTTTCCATAGTCAACACTGAAATCCATGTGATATTTAAAGGCATGTTTCAAGGTCCCTCCAAAGTTAAAGGCCCCCACAACTCCGAGCTCCCCCCGGCCCAAAGCCAGACTTGAAAGGTCAAAACATCCCTGCATAGGGGGGTCTATCCAGCCCCCCATCTCCAAGCCAAACTGGACTCCATCTCTCCAAATCTGACTTTTTCCAGGTTCGTTCGTCAAATCCAACAACTCATGTTCCTGCTGGGCCACAGCTCCCTCCATCTCTGCCACCCGAGGTCCAGCAACAACCTCCTCCCTCATCTGATCTGTCAAAGCACATTCCTGGATTAATTCCTGAGTGGGTTCTATATAGGTACCCACTGCCTGTCCAAAATTTCCAATCGCAACAGTCATCAAATCCATCTTCTCATGTAACTGTTCCAATAAAGCACTTGTCTTGCAAAAGGCAAGCACCAGAGCCTCCGAGCACATTCTTGTTCAAGGTCGAAGTCTGGTCCCACGATCTTAATCTATTACAGCTGCAAAGCTCCCCAGTTCGGCTTTAATAACAATTTCACAAGCTCCCTCTAGGGGAAACAATTTCTATTTGTATCCATCTTTTTTTTTTTAAAAAAAAGCAGATCTAGCAACAAAGTTTTCCTTTTTCGGATATTTTGTCAATATTTTGTTCCTTTTAAATGCGAAGGGGAACAATGGAATCAATATGCTTCTCTTCTTTTAACTATCTGTCAAAAACGTTTGTCCATAGTCAATGAACTTCCCCAAAACGTCTGTCCTGACACCCCGCTCCCAGGTTCAAGATGGTGGAAAATTGCCTTTCTTTACTCTCTCTTCTGCAGGTTTAAACAGTCTAAAAAAGGTTTCCCCCTCTTCTCCTGCTTCCAAGGGGGGTTCAGTAATTTTAAATCATGAAAATTTGATCGACTTTCTAAACTCTAGCTTGCCGTGTCTTTGCTTCAATCTATCTACAAAAGCGGAAGGCGGACTTCCTGTTTAGACCTTCCCGCTTCAGTGCCAAATTAAAAAGTTTCTTAATCCAATTTTCCGTTTTACTCACGGGCAGTTGTTTAAAATCCAATTGTCCACAGGAAAAAGTCAGCGCTCTCTGGCAACAGCAATGCGGCTTCACTCCGTGAAAGAAGCAGTCGATTCAAAGCACCGCGCCACTCACCCCACGTCGCTCCGGATCCCCGAAACTGGGTTTCCCCGCTAGTAGGGGGGGCGCAAAGGTGCCAGCCGAATCCCACGTCCACAGGCTTCTCCCGCCTGTGGTTTTTGATGGGTCTCCGCCTCGCCGTGGCGGTTCAGACCCTGTTTTCCACGGAGCGGATTCCTCCCGATCGGAGGAAATCCGCCATTGCCAGAGGCGCCAACCCGGAAGTCCAAGACCAGACTTTTTTGTGGGGGTGGGCATATTTTGTGGCTCAGTATTTCCCATGTTTCTTAGATTTCCCACCCCTGGTTTAGAGGATTGTACATTCAGCACCCTCAGCAAATTAAAAGCCCTAGATGAGATACATAAATACATTGTTTGCATTATACTGAGAAAACCACATTAATGAAACATGTATTGAAAAACATAGCTATGGCCATCAAATTAATTACAGTTTCTTCTTTTTTAGTGCTACCAAAGTTTGAAGTCTTTCTAGCAACACCTCTGTTTTATTCTCAGAAAGACATGAATTTCACTGGTACTGTCACAGCAAAGTAGGTAAAAAGTGAATCTTACATCATTTGCGATCTATATGCATTGTACACCTGTGTTAGTCCTTAGCTAGTTCCTAACTATGCAAAAGTGGGATTTAATTCAATTATTGATTCCTTCTTTGCAGACGTAACAGTCGATCATTATTTTTAAAAAGTATATTTTTCTGAGTACAATTTTAAAATACAAAACTAATAATAATAATTTTAAAATGAGAAATTACTGTGGCTATAAAGAGAAAACTGGTAATTTAAGCCCTTCTCCCAGAACAGGACAATTAAAGAATGTCATTGACCCCACAAGTGAACTTGAAGAAAGTTGTTAGGGCAGAAGCTGTAAGAAAGAAGGTGTTAACTGCAGGAACACTTGTGTGGCACCGTTATGGCTGGTGAATTTCATGAGAGTTAAAATTCCAATAAATTTCCAGATAACCTGAGGTGTTGCTTATGTCCACTCTGTCTCTGTATGTATAGTAGGGATACTTGTAGTTATTGTTGTTAATAAAGTAAAAGATACATTTTATTAGTGATGGGCAATAATTTCACTGATTCGGTGTAATTTGCAGTATGCCCAGATCCAGAAAGGGTATGATCCCCAGATTTAAAGTTACATGCATGGTATGTAGGATCAGATTCAAGTGGATACTTGTAGGTTTATGAGATTGAATCAATCTGTCTTCAGAAACTTGTTTTGAAATGACGGGTTTTTTGTTGACTGTTTCAGGTACACATATGGAAAACCTGTGCAAGGAAAAGTAACTGTTGATTGTTCCCAGTTCTATGGAAGGAAGAAAAATATCACTAAGACATTTGAGGTGAGCTGCAGTTAGCACCTGACATGTGTTTATGTTGGGCGGGGGGGCGGGGGATAACACTTCTTCAGCCACCTCAAGGATTTCTTTGTGGAAATAATAAATCTTTTAAATTGCAATCCAGTGCCTTAGCTTTTTTTTACTCAGCTGCCTACCTATGTGTAATGGTTCAAGGGGTTGCTCGTGCGTAAGCCGGTGCCAACACCTGGCTGGGTTGCCTGAGTGAACCTTTTCTGTCCGGACAGCCACTCACCCGTGGCTGTCTCAATCGCTGGCAGAATCCGTCAGTGGGCGTTTCTTAAACTTCTTCCAGCAAAGAAGCTCTTTGACGCCTAGTCTCCTCCTACTCTCTGCGCGAAAGCCTTCTGCGCAAGGAGGGCGTAGGCAGCGGAGGACCCTTACTCTTCCCGCTGGTCCCCGGCAAGGAGTCATGGGACCGCCTCGCCGATTCCCCCATCTGCCCCCCTTCTCCACTGGTGCTACGCTGATTCTCTTCCCCAGAAGATGGGCTGCCTCTCCCAATCCCGGGACGCTCTCTGGAATCCCTCTGGAGCTTGCTCTCTCCCTCCGGCACTGATGGCAGTTCCCTCACACTATGCTACCCTGTAGCTTATGCTTATCAGTCTGTCATCCAAATGATTAAGCAGTTCTCTAATGATCTGTGTGGTGGCCATTACGTAGTAGTCCCCCACTGAAGAAAGCAGTGTGTAATGTAGAGATGTCCCAGTTCCAGCTCCCCTAGAGTTTTCAGGTAAAGACAAAGTTAGAGTAATGTGCAGGTAATCTGTAAGCAGTAATAGCAGATCTCCTGAGCCAGAAACATTCATGGGGTCAGGGCATGACACATGACCAGTAGCGACTGGTATGGTTGATCTGCCTGCAGTTCCCTCCTTTGGCAGGTGGTTGGTGCTGCTTAGGCTCACTATCAGCCCAACTTCTGATGTTTCCAAGATCCACTGCAGGTTCATGTTTTGCCAATATTTTGTTTTATTTATCATTTCCATTTCCAAATTGTGCTCTGCTAATGCTACCTTAACCCTTAAGGGAAATGCAGTGATACAAATATGGTCTGGTTCTCTCTCCCCAATGCCTGCTTATTCCTTTCAAAAGATAAAACAAATTGATTAGTTTTTCTTCTTCTTGTTTTCAGATTAATGGATCTGTGAACTTTACATTCGACGTTCTAGAGGTGGAAAATATAACTTTCAACAATTGGGGTTATTCTGCGCATCACCAGATGCCGGTGGAAATTACAGCTGTGGTTACAGAAGCACTTACAGGTATGCAGTTTTATATGGGGTTTTCTTTAAGGCAGGTATGGGGTACCTTTGGCCTTTGAGGCTCATAATCAAGCCGTCGTCACTCCCTAGGGCATGCCTCCTCCCCCTTTTTTGCCTTGTAGGAGGAGACTTTCCCCTGCATATCCAGCTCCCTGCAAATCCTTGCTACATGCTGAGAAAGGAGCTGCCTTTCTCAGCAGTATAAACTGTTGGTAGTTGGAATCATGAGAAATACAGACTCTGCAAGTGTTATTAGGAATGAATGATTATGCATGAGACTTTTTTTAAACCCTCCAAATATTCTAACAGGAATCTCCCAAAATGCAAGTGCTACTGTATTTCCAAAGCATCATGACTACATACTAGAATTTTCTGAGTATCCAGCAGTTCTCAAGCCTAGTCTGAACTTCATAGCTATGGTGAGTTATTCTACTACTCTTTATATTATCAGTATCATTCTAGGGGGGAAAAGCAGTATTATGGAGACAAGAGTTGGGTTTTTAAAAATACTGTATATATAGATATTGTCTTTTAAATAAATTAATTACAATTTCTTTTGAGTCTCTTGGTGTATTAGTTATTGGTGGTTGCAAGCTGTCAGCACTAAATGAACTGTTGGCATTCCATATTTAGGATTTGAGTATAAATCTTAGTTGTTGTAAATCATGGTTTTGAAAGTTTTGGTTTGATTTATGGACATGGCTTTTACTATTTTCAGCTGAAAGTAACAAAAATTGACAACAGTCTGCTGTCGTCTGATGAGCGAAGGAATGACATTGTGATCACTGCCACATCCATAGGGAATCCTGCTTACTACCCATATGGTGATGGAGGTGAATCACAGGCAAATGAGGCATCTCAGAACCTAATCTACCATGTGCCAGAAAATGGGATTATTGAGATTGAGTTTCCGGTTCAAGTTAATACAACAACACTGCATGTTAAGGTATGCTTTTTCTTTGTTTCCCCTTTCAAAATATGTAAATACTTAATCAGAAGATGAAAAGAATCTTAGTATGGAAACTTGTTCTTATGCCTACCTGAGTATTCAAAGTGCTTCAGATGCATCTCAATATCCCTTACAACAGCCCTGCCTAGTAGGCCTATGTTATTATTCTCCTTAATAGGTGGCGAGTCTGACAGATAGATGTGATATCAGTACTATGAAACTCCATGCCAGGGGAGTTCTTCCAGGCTTAGGTTTACCCTGTTGAGATTTTTAGGGAGTCAGTTAAAACATACCTATTCTGCTAGGCTTTTTGTGAAAACTGAGCATATTTATTATTATTCCCTATTTTAGCTATTTATTTTGATATGCCAGGACCTATCCCTGATGCATCTCTTACCCTGCCTTTATCATCTGTTGGGATGAGCAGTGCTGCATCCTCAGTGTGCTCTCCCCACAATGTCACTTATGGTCCAAAGGGTTCACCTTTTGGTTGGACTGCCAACACCTCAGTTCACTGGAGAGGTTGCCTCATTGACCTCTACTCACAAAGGCCAAACCCTGCAGGATGCAGGAGGACATTCATTTCAAGTGTATTAATTTATCCTTTTAGACTTCATAGGAGGTGTGCCCACCAGTGGTTCAGGCAACTATTATGAACCATAGTTAAGCTTTCTCTCCACTCATATGTGAACAAGAGGAAGAGAGTGAAATTTTTCGCTTTCATTTTTTGCTAAACTGTTATTTCTCATCACAAAATTCTGGGAATTATAATACCTCTAGTTAGTTAAAGCAAACCAGGATGAAACTGTGGCTTGATATCCTGGGTTGTTAACTACCTAGAGTTAAGATAAACAACAGTTCCTCAAATTCATATGGGATGAGAAACGGTGGTTTAGTGAAAAATTAAAGCAGAAGCTTCACCACAACTTGTTAGCAATCATCCAACCTAGGGAGGTGCCTAATTTGGCCTGTCAGGCCTCTGAATTCTCTCCTAGTACTTTTCCTAGCTATGTCCCTTCATCTTTTTGTTCCTCCTCAAATAGCCTGACCCATTTTGCAAAACAGTGAGGTGACAAAGTAGATGCTCTGTTCTTCTTTGCCAGCCTGATTGGCTTCCTTACTGGATATAGATAGAAGATTCTTCCTCTGACAGTATGGAGCCACTCTTCAGTCTATCCATGGCTAGGACAGTAGAGTAGACTGACTAAGCAGGTGCAGGGTGTTCTACTGCATCCGTCCAATTTAGCTGGCAATGGAGAAAGAGAGAGTTTGTCTGTTCCATCATGGGTGTTTGCTATGTTTCATCTCTGGGCACAGAAACATCTTCTGAGTGGAAAAAGAAAATCAAAAGTTCTGTGATGCTAATGATGTGATGTGAGACTAATTTGAGATGATAATTTAAGAAAATTGCTTCAGGAACTATTGGATTGTCCATCTCTACCTTCTTTTTGCATTCTGATGGAGTGCAGCTTTTTCTTTTTTTCCACTTTAACCATTAAAGGCAGATTGATATCTTCATTTATTTATGTATGTTTCTTCAATTAGGAGAGGCACTAATTATACAATTTGTGAAACATTAATTGAACTTTATCATTTTCCTCACAATGTGTTGAATGTCCTGCCACCCGTTCTTTTTTTTTTTTTACAGGCCAAATTTCTGGAGAGCGAAACTTCTATAATCATATATGGTACATTCTACTCTACCACTATGACTTTTCTCCAGATTAAAAAAGCAAGCCAGGATGTAAAGGTAACTTCTGCTTTCCAATAATCGATGAGCTTCAAAATTCACTAATAATACACTACATCATGATAGGCAATTAGCATGTTCATTCAAGTTGTGTTATTTTTCCCCCTAGGTTGGGACTCCATTTGAGCTGAATCTTCAAAGCAACAAGCCGATGAAAGAGATCAGTTATATGGTATTTTAAAAAATATTTTATATGTATTGTGTTGAATTTTACCACAAACACGGGAAAGACAGCATAGGCAATAAGTAGGATTTTGCTACTCAAAAATAACTATAATTTCCAGATAGGACTATGAGCAAGCATTTAAAAATACCAATTGTACATACTTGTATCATTTGGGTATGCTAATCAGAGAGGTGAGACTGGTTGTAGCTTTCCTACTGAATGTAAATGTATTGGTACACCTGTGTTTGCTGCAATGTGTGGCATACAAAAATTGCCCAGACCTATTCACGTGACACCTGTATAGTTGTTATTATACTGTTATGAGTTTGTGGGTGCTAGACCTCTATTATCCCCGGATCCAGTGGGTGTTAGAATTTAATTAAGGCTTGGAGGTGTTAAAACTGGGTGCCGGACCTGTGTGTTTTAAGTTGTATGCCAAACGCTTCTAATCCCCTTGAATCAACAAGTGTTGAAAGCCTGTTAAACTAAGCTAAACTTCATGCATTAAGTTATTAAGCTGGGTAATGGGCCTTTAAGATAACAAAGCATCAGAGGAACTTGGTGTGAGATGGTAAGAGGGTGGGTCCCCTTTCCCTCAACTGATAATGCCAGATCTTAGAGGGGTTAGAGCTAGGAGTTCTTGACCTGGAAGTAAAGCAGGTTGCAGGAGGGGCAGAGCAGTGTTTTGAGAGCACCATGTTTGATGTCTGTCTGGATCCAAGACTGCAGCTATGGAAGAAGGCTCTTGGGCTGCGAACTCCTCTGTCATAGACTCAGGTTGTATATATGTATAAAAAGACTATATACCATAAAGAAACCACAGTCTCCACTGTGCCTCATTTCCAAAAGGAGACACAGACCTTGGATAAGCGCTCCTGGAACCCTTGGAATCTTGCACCGCTTGGAGATTAGGCTGGTGTACAAGGTGCTTTTATAAATAACAGATGTTGAATTGTGAGATGTGTGACAATTTCAGCTAGAACTCAGCTGATAGGAAAATCAGTTAACTTTTCCCCCTCCTCATATAGGTGGTATCTAAAGAACAAATTGTGGCTGCGGGTAAAGTAAACGTTGCAGAATTCTTTTTAACACCAGAGCATTCTTGGGCTCCTACAGCATGCATAATTGCCTACTATGTGAGTGACGATGGTGAAGTAATTAGTGATGATCTCTGCATTCCTGTTCAACTCGTCTTTAAAAATCAGGTAAGTTTGTGTGCATCGACTTCCTCTCACACATATGGTGTTCTGTTTTGTTTTGAGACTATACACAAAAAGGGAAGCATAAATAAATACAAGTCAAATAAACATAGTATGTAACTGAAGCCCACACACTGATAGGCATTAGCATAGAGTTATGGTTTACAAACTATTTCACTAGTTGGTCTTTTTAATTGCTCATTAACATCTTTCAGATTTTAAACTGGGTTTCCTGCATTAGAGCCCATTTATAGACCTTGCTGTACCTACCAGCAAAGGATGCTTAGGGTTAAATGTATTGGCTGCTGGTTCAAACAGCTTCACAGTGCATGGCCTTATGTCCATGTTGTGCAAAAGAGTATGCATTCTATACACTGCATACGTTTATTTACATATTTGCATTTAATTTAAAAGCCATCCTATATGCTCTCTGGGTGGCATATATGGTTAAACAGTAGCATTAAAAATCACAGTTACATTAAAATAATTTAAATAAATACAGATTATTTTTACTTTGCTACAGTTGTTTGATATAAAAATGGAATATGTTTGGCCCAATTTGCTTATCTGCCCCCCTCCCCAGCTTTCTACCTCCAGTCCCTTTTAGGTCATGTGCTGTTCATCTCTTCAATCCTGCGTTGTGTTTCCTCTGTCTGCTACTTTGACTTGTTTTTTCTTCTGGCCTTTCCCCACTTTTAACCTTGCTTCATTCTTCTTTCTCTGTCTTCTAAGGATGGCTCCTGCATCTTTGGGCCAAAATAGATAGGTTATCAAGAGATCCATGACTGGAGATAACACCATGTTTTTTGTTTTTTAATGAGGGGATTCACACTCTCTCTCCAGCACTGTGGCTGTAACCTGAACTTCCCTCCCATGGGTACATTTCTTTAAAAAATATATATAGGAGTCAGCACCTGAAGTAAAATAATTGTTCATTCTCCTTTATCTACTGCATAATGTAAACTGATATGCTTCCCCCCACCCCCAGATCAATATGTATTGGAATAAAAATAGAGCTGGGCCTTCTGAGGAAGTCACTCTCAAGATTAATGTGACGGAACCAAAAACAACCATTGGTCTTCTGGTTGTTGACAAAAGCACAAAGCTCCTGGGGAAAAGAAGTGATATCACAGAGGATGCTGTAAGTTTCTGAAAGAAAAGAAATGTTCGAAGTGTATTTTAGAACTGTGTAGGAGCAGCTATTAGATTTGATTGTGAGCTTTGCCATTATACTGTTAAAGTAAGCCTCCATGAAGTGGGCCTAAGAAGCAAAGAATGGGAAGAATCCGTTTATTCAGCTTGAGAGCAAGAATAGTGGAGAATTATATAATCCTTTTGTGGGAAGTAGAATGAGAGACACACAACAATGCTGGTGCTTCCTTCTTCCTCCTGACCCCTATCTACAGTTCTTGCCAACTTGCCAACTTTATCCTTTAGTATGTAGGGGAGGTTTTCAGGGAAGCTGAGCATATAAGTAACATATTATTACAAGAGTGTTACTTCCCAACCTTCCTGAAGCTGTTGGAAGTTCCAGGAGTGGCCTTTTTATAGTATGGGATGGCAAAAAGCATTAGAGAATAAAAGTTTGTACCGTTCTGGTTCCTGCACCTCAAAAAGTGGGAAAGGTGCTGGAAGGGGCACCTGAAATGATCAAGGGTCTAGAGCAACTTCCCCATGAAGAAAGGTTGCAACATTTTAGGCTTTTTAGTTTGGAAATATAGTGAATAAAGTGGGATATGATAGAGATGTATAAAATTATGCATGGTGTAGAAAAAGTGAGAAACTATTGACAAACCTGTGGTAAGTGGTAGACATACAGGGGAAGTGAGAAAACAATTTTATTGATTCCCATAGTATTTTTGCAAGGATTTTGTTAACAATTCTGTATATACTCAGTTTTAAAGTATCATAACAACTAAGTGGCAGATAACTGTTTTTGTTGACTTTTATTATTTTTGTGTCTTATAGCATTTGCTTTGTTATTCTTACAGATAAGGTTCTTGCTAAGTAGAATATTCTTTGTTAAAACAAGATCTATGTGATCATGATTAATTGAATTTATTTTGGTTTCTCCTATGAAAACTAAGTACTATTACTATTATTTTAGGTTCATCATGAGCTAAGTTTATATAATAGAGGACTTGATTATGGTGCAGCCAGAAGTTCATATGGTGTCTTTCAGGTACAGTTTTAAAATGCATATGTACTTTTCCATTGTTTTGATGTATTAAAGAAAATAAAAGTTTAGTAAGGGTTACTCAGTAGGCAAGTCCATTCATTAGTGTGCTTGTGTTTTCAGATGCAATCGGAGAGAAGAAAACTCAGTCCTCTGTAGATACTGACTTTCCTCAACACAAAGCTAGCTTTTATTTTCTAAACTAAAAATGTTGTTTATTGATGCATGCTTTAAAATATGCTTAAAAGAAATAAAATATAGGTTGACAAAAATGGTTCATATGTTGCATATTTTTTAAATTTAAAGTTATTTTTATATATTGTGTTTAGAATTGCAAGCTCTGGGTATCGACTGATGCCAGCCTTCCAGAAGATGAAAACTATGAAGGCTGTAAGTAAAAGTCACATCAAGTATAATTCATGCAATGTATGTAGAACATAAAACAAGTGTTCCTTTCTTTTGTTTATTTCAATTAAGCAAATAAATATATATATATGGGATGTGGGTGGTGCTGTGGGTTAAACCACAGAGCCTAGGACTTGCTGATCAGCAGTTCAAAAGCACGTCAAGTGCAAGTAGATAAATAGGTACTGCTCCAGCGGGAAGGTAAACGGCGTTTCCGTGCGCTGCTCTCATTCGCCAGAAGCGGCTTAGTCATGCTGGCCACTTGACCCAGAAGCTGTACGCCGGCTCCCTCGGCCAATAAAGCGAGATGAGCGCAGCAACCCCAGAGTCGGCCACGACTGGACCTAATGGTCAGGGGTCCCTTTACCTTTACACACACACACACACACACACACACACACACGTGTGTGTGTGTGTGTGTGTGTTGAAAAAGAGTGACACAATTTAGGATGCAGTGTAGATTCTAAACACTGAAATTATATGAAGAGAATGTTACAGTATTCTCTCTCCCCCCCAGTTATGGATTATAGCTCAGCTTTAGACTTTCAGCATCATCTGGAGCCCGCAAGAGAGTCTGTTGGTTTTGAAAATCCCCATATAAGGACAAATTTCCCAGAGACATGGATTTGGCGTGAAATCACAACAAGGTAAACAGAAAGTGTTTTCTTTACATATAAATTCTTATTTGAGAACAATTAATGTAATGTATTACCAGCGGAAGGAACTTCTCTGTAGCTTTTAATACTTCTGTTGAAGAGTTTCCCATCAAATGGGCATCTTTGCCGAGCACCAATATGCAGGACAGCCCATTCTTGAAGAATGTTATAAACAATGTTTTCTAGAGTTACAAATAAGGAAAAGGGCAAAATACTCTTAGAAGCTGGTTCATACTTGAGTGACAAACACCATAAAGTTTAACAGCAACAAGCATTTATTTATATGCCACCCATCTGACTGGGTTTCCCCAGCCACTTTGGGCAGCTTCCAACAAATTAAAACATCAAGCACAGTGTAAAGCAGAAGTGCATATTTGTAGCAAGTAGTGGGCATATGTCAGGGGTATGCTGCCAATCTTGGATCCTTTAGCATGTGTCCTTTCTGCTCCATGCTTATGAACATATATTTTTGCTTACCGCTTCAAAGTGTCTTCCACTCCAAAACACCAATATGTATGTGGCAGGCACCCTTGTCTCATAAATATAAATAGAACCATGGCCCTTATGTAGAAACTGCATAGCCTTCATTTGTACCTTTGCAAATCTTTCCTCAAACCGTTAACTTGATTTAGCAAATCATTCATTACTCCACCAGGAAAGTCAGCCTAGATTTACTGACCATTGTTGATGTTTATCCTTCTGAAATTATATTTCTGCTTTCTTTTCATTTTTAGATCGACTGAAACAACACTGAATGTCACTGTTCCTGATACCATTACTACCTGGGTAGCTAGTGCATTTATAATATCTGAAAACCTTGGACTGGGTGTGATGAAAACGCCTATTGAGGTAACAGAAATTCAAGTGCAAATACACCTCACCCCTCTGTAGAACCCTGAGCATAGAGGTGTGATTTCATCTGCCAACAATGCTATGTCCATGTGGTGGTGAGAAGATGCAGCTCAGAAACTGAGGGCATTCCAAAGGTGAAGGGCATCTTTTTCAGATATTTGGTGCCTTAAACTTTAACATTGCCTCAGCTGCCATTTAAACCACAGGGATGAGGAAAGCTGTGGAGGAGAACAGAGCAAGAGAAGAGAATTAGCAGCAGGAAAAGGGCTAGAAGAGCCTTATTGTTCTAGAGAGAATAAGCCCAGTGGCAAGTTGGGTTTGTAGCCTATCCTTGCCTCCCAAGAAAAGCTTTCTGAGGAAACAGGAAAGATCCGGCGAAGGAAAAGACTGCAGGAAATAGTTAGGCACTAGAGGGCACTCTAATCTAAGAAAAATAATAATAGGGTTAGGATGAGTTGAAAGCATCACTATAAAAACAGACTTCAAAATAAATACAACCTTTTGCTACTTTAGTGATGTGTCCTATTCCCTAAATAATATGGGATACCTCAGAACCCTAACTCCGTAATAGTGACAGAAGACAGCTGTTGGCTTGTGCTCTCAGGGCAGCAGAAGCAGTGGAATGGCACTCAAACATTGGCATGTAGTTTGGCCCAAAAGCAGTTCTGCTTAATGCATTTACTAGATAAGGAGTTGGGAAGCATTATTAGGACTGCGCGCCTATATCTACTCTGAGAAAAAGTCCCATTAAACTTGCTTTTGTGTAAGGCTTTGTAGGATTGCACCATAAAGATGAATGAGCAGAAATGGCCAGTTTCTTCAACCTGGGTGTATTGATCTTCCTTAGTCAGGCTACAGGCTGAACCTTTTGCAAACCCTCACATTACTACTGCCACCCCCCTCTAAAAGAGCTAGTGAGGTTTCAGGTCCCTGGCAAAAGAATCCACCAGGCACACTAGTGCAAAATTAGGGGAAATCTAGGAAGCTTCAATGATAAGGGGTATGCCAGCCAACTTGGAGGGAAGTCAGAGACCAATGCTGCCATTTTGTCTTGCTAGTGTTGCTCTTGGCCTTCCTACCAGCTTGATGACCCCCCCCTCAAAAAAAAGACTCAGTAAGAAAGCATTGCAGAGGCATCCCAGGCCTACTGTTATCTTTTTGAGGATCTTCCCTGTGCAGAAGTGGTGATCATGCTTCTGACTTGGCAAGTGCTGGTTTGGGAGAGAGTCATTGGTGAGCCCACAAATGTATTGCATGCCCAGGTACAGGGAGCCTGTGCCTGGCCAGGGCCCAGAGAATGATGACAAATAAAGAGACAGGACAAAGTATTGGGTTCAAACAGACCACAACTTTATTGATTACAGATGTATGTAGCCTTTGGTGTAGGCCGTGGGTATGTACCCTGAATCAGCCAGCCCGACTGTAGGTAGAATAATGGTTGGGTTGGCCCTGGGTTAAGGGTTGCTCTATGATATACATCAGTTGCAGGAAGTCATACCAGGACTGCCATCTCGGCATCTGGACAGAAGCAACCCCTCTTGGATCCCTTTAACAGGGTACCCTATTTTTTTATAGAAGGGGACTGACTCCCAAGCCCTGCCTCCCACCAAGACTAAGGATCCAACCCAATGCCATATCTGCCAACACGTTCTGTCAGTTTTCTAGCTGTTGTTGGACTCTGATCTCTCTCAGCCCCAGATAGCATGCCCAGTGGTTAGGGAGGATGGGAGGTGTAGTCTCATCGACATCTGGAGGACCAAAGGTTCCCTCGCCCTGTTTTAGGATAAGATAGTACAGTGGCACCTCGGTTTTTGAATGTAATCCATTCTGGAAGACCATTCAAGTTCCGAAACGTTCGAAAAATGAAAACTCAAAACAGAAGCCTCAAAACAGAAATCTCAGTATGGAAAGCTCAATACGGAAGCCACGTTTCCGGTTCGACTTCAGAGGCACGTTCGAGCTTACAGCATTCGAGTTCCAAAACGTTCATCAACGGAGACGTTTGAAAACCGAAGTACCACTGTATATAAGTTTATTTTTTCTTCTAAAAAAAATTACATAAAAATATACTCATTAGTGAACCTCTTGAACAATATTCAGTATCAAATCTGATATTATAATCAAACAAGAAGAGTGGTTGAGGTTTGGGGTCCAGGCTTCCATCTGGCAGTTATATATGAAAACAAAACATTTGATTATGAGAATACCTCATTCATGGATTTGGATCTGGATATTAACTTTTATTTCAAGCTCATTTGAGATTAAGGTCAATATTCCTTTTTCCTCTGAATGTAGTTTGGCAGAGACTGATCAGTCCTGGTGATTTCTGACTATGAAAGTGCACGCTTGGCTGAACGTGCCAACCGTTGAGTAGTCTTTAATGAATCCATAGCCAAGATTCCACTTCACTTCTCACAATGACTTAATTTCCCTCCTGTACATTGTTGGATTGCTCGGTGTCTATTTAAAGTTCCATATGGTGAAAACATGTTATACATTGACACATGCAAATAATATTTTTACAAAAACATATAACTGAGCACAGGTTTTATAGATACAGTGTTAATAAGCTTACAGGGTTTAGGAATGAGCCTTATCTGGTATTAATTAAAATCTGTGATGGGTATAATTTCCTAGTGGGTGCTCCTTGCAAGCACAACATAATTCACAAGTGTGAATTGAGAACTTTGTGTACAGTGAGTTTTTCTTCTTTTTCTGAGCATCAGTTTCACCCACCCTCTGCCTCACTCTACTGACCATATCACAGTCTATTTTGGAATATATTGACCGGTGGGACTGCTGCCTGAAAATATGGGGAAAAGCCATTCTTTATTCATGCTATCCCTTACACATGTGCAGAGAGCCCCAGTGGATTACAGGGTGGCCAACTTTTATTTTCAAAATATTAGTGATATGGGGGTAGAGATGGAGTGAAGTTGGGCAGAAACTGGTATATCAGCTTTGGAGCCTGGAATAATCTGGGTGGGGTGGACTTTGGCAGGATTTGGAGCTCAGTGCCTTTGGATGCTAGTATTTATTGCCTGATATAACATAGCTCTTCTGGTCTGGCTAATCAAATAATATCTGGTTGGCAACCCTACTTGCATCACAACAGCTACAGTCTTTAACCTACTTTAATCAAAATATGCTCAGTAAATATATTTTGCTCTTGAACCAGCACCTAAAGTTATTCTAATATAGGCAACAGTAAATTCTTTTTTAAGTGTAGGAAACATGCCCCAAGAACTATCTCATACTGTAGCTATGCAAGGTTCAGGGGCTAAATGCTGTCCTGGGCATATAAGAGTGCCATAGTTGTGAAAGAGACGCATCTTTGTATGTGTGCGAGTTGAGAGATGGGGCAGCTGTGTTTTGGAGCCCCATATTCAATCTGTGCAGCTATATGTCAGCTTCTAGCATGCCGGCTGAGGTACTTCAAGAAGTGCACGACCTACAAAATTTGCTATGTGAAAGTTGCACCCCCCCATTTCTTAGCATACTGATGTTTGTTTTTAGTCAATTAAATTCTAACTGGCCAATGGTCAAGGTCTGTTGTGAAAAGTTCTAATCAAAAACCATCTGCATTTAAATTGTATTCTGCTGAACAACTAACCTATACACCACAAGGGTTCACTGTTGTATAACTTTTTATATTTTTCAGTTAGAAGTCTTCCAGCCCTTTTTTGTTTCCTTAAACCTTCCTCCTAGTGTTACAAGAGGAGAAGAGATTGTTTTGGAAGTAAACCTCTTTAATTATTTGAAAGAAGGCACTGAGGTAAACATTCATTCATTTGTTCATTTTCTAATATTAGGTGGAATCCAATGGTGTCTGTACGTGAGCAGAATGGCCTTCTCACACAACAATTCACATTTGTTCTCTGCACCCTTGCCTGCATGCACCCAACCCTCTGGAGCAAATTTGGGTGTGTGTAGGGAGTGTAAGGTGAGGAGAGCAAGAGGAAGTCCTGTTGTGTGAGAGGAAGTCCATGCACACAATTTTAGATTTTGCCCATGATGTCTTGTAGTTGCCTTATCTTTGCTGTTGCCAGCTCTTAGTTAACCTTTGCTGGGGTAGTTCATGGTCTTGCTGGAGCATGGATTCAGAGATAGACTGTTTAAGTCTATCGGTTACTGACCCTAGGGGGTGGGGTGGGGAGTCATTTTGCAATCGGATTTTGTCGGGTTTTTTTATTTGGCTTAGGCTGTGATCCTACGCAGATGTTCTAATGAGTAAGCTACCTTGAACACAGTAAGAATTGCAGCTGAGTAAACATGCATAGAATCATGCTGTATGGATGGGCTTGGACAGAAGCGCAGATTGAATTTTGATGCCAATTGGACTGTTTTTGGTACAATACAGAACGTTATAGCTAAGTGTGGCTTTGCCTTAGCAGAAAATGCCTCCATTTGCACAAGTTTCACATGTTGTTTTGCTTTTGACATTTACTCTGCACTTTCTTCTTTTCTCTGTCCTATCTCCTGGTGTCATATTTGTCTCACTTTCCATTCTCCTAGTTCCCAGTTGCCCACCCCCTTCTTTCTTGTTTGTGTTTTCTTGAGTGTTGCTGGGTACTCTAAGGTTGATGTATCCTGGCGGGCCCACCCACGTTATAATTGGTAGTAGTCACATCCATGTGAAATCCTTTCTGTGCCTCCTGGTAAATGTCACATTAAATGTCTTTTCTAGTAGCACAAAATATATGTTAATTAACCACTTTTTTTATAGGTTACGGTGACCCTTGATACAAGTGACACCTTTGAAATCCTTATTGTTTCTAATGATATAAATGCCATGGGAAACCAGCGATCAGTATGGGTACCAAGTGAAGCTGCAAAGACTGTTATTTTTCCAATCAAGCCAAAGCAAATTGGAGAGATTCCCATCAGAGTGACGGCAATATCTCCCATTGCTTCTGATGCTCTTTTACAGAAAGTATTAGTGAAGGTAATTTAAATCATTAATTACACAAGCTGTTTGTCGGATGGATGAACCACTTTTAAAAGTTGCACACAGTTGATAATTAGTTTTAAGTATTTACGGGAAGTTTCTAAAGGGAGTGATGATCTGAGTGTTGTAAGAACCCAATTTGTGCTTAACTCTGGAGCTGTGTCTAGGTTCTGCATAGAACACAGAAGAAACATGGTCTCTATGCGGACAGGACAAAACTGAAGTGGGAAGACAGAATCTGATGAAAGGATTAGCAATATTGAGAAGGATAAACTTATTACTACAGGAAAATAATGATTCTAACAAATCTCATGTTGAAGGTTACATAATTAATATCTCAGCCATAACACATTTGCTGTGAAATAAGTTTCCTTGGTTTTTGAGGAAATTACATTAATGGAGCACTGCTTAGTACTGATATATCTAAAACCGGTGATAGTCAGTGTTTGCATTTGAGCATAGCTTGAGATGGAAGAATCTGTCAATTTTAGATTCTCTCTGTTCCTCATTTTTCCAATATTAAGTTCCCTTCTCGGCATGGTTAAGCAATATGTCTCAACCAGGCCACTCACACCGCAGCTTCAGGTCTGCTGTTCACTTCCAGACCATGAGACTTAAAGCACTTATTTCTGCACATAAAGGTATAATACACAAATACTAGAACTGTTTTGTAAAGTACGTGGCGCATTAATTTAGTAGATCATTGTTTATGAAGTCAGGCATGTTTATACAGTATCTGAACTGGCCCTTAAGGTATATTTGGGTTCCACATGAACCAAGACTAACATGGAAGTTGTGCACCACTTACAAACTACAGTGTTAAGCAGTATGTAATTGCAAATTGTTGAAATAAAAATGTGAAGAAGCTTTATGGTTGTTTTCTGCACAAAAATAGGCTTAAATTGTGCTCATTGAAAACCTTCGCATTAAGCTATTAATTATTAGGAAGACCCAACTCTGTTGCAGAAAACTTCATGGCAGAAATTTATTAGTCTTGAAAAGAGTTTATATATTGTCATAAGATGCAATTTTGATAACTTGTTATTCAAAATTAATACTGCACATCAGCTCTTGTGAAGCAAAAATCCATGAGGATATGCATTGTTACATTTTTGCTTCATTTCCCAATATCAGCACTGCCAATGCAATCCTATACAAATGTCTACTCAGACATTATTTCCATTGAGTTCAGCGGTGCTTAATCCCAGCTAAGTCGATACAGGATTGCACTCTGAGATCTGTAGAGGTCCGTGATATTGGGAGAAGTGCACAAAGAACTACCATACCTAATAACTTTTGGACATGCATCTAGTCTTTGTTTATTTTTTCACAGGCTGAGGGATTAGAACAGTCTCACTCAGAGACAGTTCTTTTGGACCTGTCCAAAAGAATAGGATTTGAAACGAAAAGACTGAACTTCACTTTTCCCTCTGATGTAGTACCTGGCAGCGAAAGAGTGCAAGTCACAGTTATTGGTAAGCATTTCACTCCTCTTACATTGTTTCATTTTGATGCCTGCTGGCAAATAAAAAGTAAATATGAAACTGAAATATCAGTAAGAGTGTGCTCTAATTGATTGCTGAATTATTCAGCATGCAAGTTATTTTGTTACTGGTATGGTATCATGACTGGTTTTGAATAGATAAATTATCCCTTGCCTGTGAGAATAGGTGGAAGTGTTCCATGTCAGTGAAAAGGAAATGCTGTGCAGGCTATTTCTCATATAACCCATTAATTTCATCCTCCTTTTTTATTGTTAACATACAGTGTTGAAAACTAAGATATGAAAGCTAGGAGCTAAATGGCACCTTAAAGCTAGGTTATGGGCGCAACAACGGAATGTCTAGGCACGCTTTTTTATAACAATAATACAAAGCTGAAAATGAATGAACTGCAGCTAAAATATTATTTTCATTTTTCACATGTTCTAATCCTTTCCCTGCCCATCACCCTAATATTCTTAACAGGGTCTCTTGTCCAGTCTTCAGAGAGTATCTGGAAGTGGGGAGCCAGAAAAAAGTCCTCCTTTCCTTCCACATTGCAGCTCAGAAACAGCTTGGGCTAATGAAATTCCCTGTCGCAAAATGTGCCTAGAACAATGGAAGTTTCAAACACTGCTAACATACTAGCATAGCTCTGTAGAGTATTGTATACCTGCTGGACATTTCTGGGTTTTTTGTTGTTGTTGGTCTTCAGTTTTATATGTTATTACCATCAAATTTTAAAAAGACATTGATTTATTATATTTTGTTTTATGTTGAGCTCCTAGTGGTCTCATATCCAGGAGATTAATCAGGTCTGCACTTGGTGAATTTCAGCAATGCTGCAGCCTCAGATACTCTTGGCCCATTCCCTAGACTCACATTATCAGCAGAAGTGATAAAGTGTACTGCATATGTATGATAATTTCAGTTATTGTGTGTCTGCTTCATTGAAGTGCATGAGTATATTAGGGTATCCTTTAGAAGTGATGCAAAGAAAACTCGCAAAGTGATTAACTCAACCTTCCACATTTTTCTACTGGCGTTTCCGTTACGTTGTCTTGTGAACTGTATCTTTCAGGAGACATCCTCGGCCCCTCTATCAGCGGTTTGGACTCACTGATCAAGATGCCTTATGGCTGTGGGGAACAGAATATGATCAATTTTGCACCCAATATTTATGTTCTGGACTATCTGGCCAAAGCAGGAGACCTGAAGCCCAGACTTAAATCAAAAGCCATGTCATATATGAGAGAAGGTAAGAATCTGTTTTTGGAGAAGAGCCTGCCATTTATTGTGGGTTTCTATTAAGGTTTGAGGGGAGAAATCATTCCTCCTGCATGGATTGCTTTCCCTTTTCCCTATACACGCCTCAGATGTGTGATGGATAGATAGAGGGGCAGAATGGGCAGAAAATTGCAAACACTGAGACAATTTTGTGAGCCCTGAAAGCTTGCCAGTGGCAGCTGTCACAATAAGAAATGACCAGGACTGTACACCTCCTGTAATGTGTGTAACAAGGTAATTCAAATTCTACATTGCCCACAGACATGGTTTAAGTATAGTTTTGCAATAAACTCAGTTTAACTGTACCTTCGGAATCCTAATACAACTGGAAACATAAAAAGATAAAAAATCTGAAGAAGCTAGTTTTCTCACCCAAAACCATATTATCTGTTTCTTCTTTACTTAAGTAGAGTTGCGACATACACAGTCCTGACTTCCAAACTGCTCTTGCACCACACAGGTTGCATCCTTTTTGAACACAATTGGGCAGATTTAATCTTCAGTGTAGGACTGTTGACTTTGGTACTGTCATGTTACAACTAAATTTGGACTTGCATCCCAGATCAGTCTCCCACAAAGAAGGAACAAAGGCCACCGACAACAGAAACGGTTTTGTTTGCTTTGCTGAACTCCATGGGTTGTATTTGGCCTGACAACTGGACTTTGGCCACCCTAAAGTTACACAGTTAGTTTCAAAAATAATGAACATCTGTTTTTTAAGCAACTTCTTTGAAGTTTGCAAGCAATCTGTCACTCCCTGTAGATTGATTTATACTATCATAATGTTTTTAACTTCTCCAAACATTAGTTTCATTAAAGCTATTTTTAAATGAGTCATAACTGTATTGTTAAATTTGTCATTCAGTGATACACTGTTTAACTTAAATCATGCTTGGCTTTGGGATTTACAATGTTTCTTTGCAGTCTTTTGCAGCCAGAATAAAAGCTATCATGGAATAGCTTTGATTTTAAAATAGAAAAATACTTCTCTCCATCTCGTTTTGTTTTGTTTTGTTTTGTACAGTTGCTTCTTATGGTCCTTTTGGAAAGGCTTATATTTATACATATTCTTTTATACATCGTGATCATAGTCTACCCAGTGTAGCATAAAATAAACTTTATATCATATGTTTGAATTCCTTTAAAAATGTTTTTCTATACTTTGCTTGATGATTATGAATAGCTTTTTGTTATGCTACACTGTCAATAAAAATCATCCAGTACACCACCTTTTTAACATTTCTAAGTTGGAACGTCTTTGAAAACAGTATACAGTGTTCCTTTCTAAAGCTCGCCTAAAAGTTCAATCCTACACACTTTTGCACTGAAGTAACTCCCACTGTATTGGAAGGTGTTTGCACCCTAATGAGTGTGTTTGGGATTGCAGTTCATGCTACAGTTTCTCACCCATACTCGTAAATGACTCAGTGGCCATTTCATGCATTACATTTGTAAGGTGTGCTTTTTATTTATGGAAATAACTGCTCTAAAAAGGTGAAATGTCAACGCAACAGAGACAGGTATTGTATAGGGACACTCATCAGGAAATAGTGATTGGCAGTAGATTATAATTTTTTTTGGTGTATGTTCGTTGACTAACCCAGGTTTGCTTCTTTCTGTCTAAACTGTGAAATGTCTCTGGTGTGTCCTCTGTAGTTTATAATAATTGCTTCTTGACTGTCCAGTGGATCCATTGGTTCTCACTTTTCTTTTGGTAGGGTCATAGCATGTAACATGTGCTCATGACACAAAAGTAGTCCCATTAAGGTAAACTTGTGTTTTTCCTACATAGGAGATTATCTCTAGCCAAGTTGATTGTAAAATATGAAGTGACTCTAAATTACTGATTTACACACATTGAGATTATGCGTTGTATTCAACTAAGTTTTACTCTAGAGCAGACCCACCACTTAAAATTAATGAACACAACTAAGTTGGGTCCATTAATTTCAGTGGGTCTGCTTTGAATAAAACACAGTTGAATACCACCTTGTGGTTTTATTCTAACAGCCGAGTTATTCCTAAAGGCTAATTCATTTGGTCATTTGATCACTTCATACAAGTATTTTTTTAAACACATTTTGAGATATGAGTTCCTGCCAGGTGGTGTTTATATGGGTTGGTGGTTTCAGTCTGTAAATTGTAGGGATTGACTCTAATCAAAAGGCATTACAAACATCTTAGCTTTAGTGCACAAACATGGTTCTCTTTTGGCCAGTTTGTTTTACATCTCTGTGTGTGTGTGTTTGGGGAAGTATAATGGTGGTAATATGTCGTATGGATGATGTAGTTTAAAGTGCAAACTAGGAGAGATTATGCTTCCAAGCCCAGCCCTCTGATTTTATTATTTTCCTGCTGTTTGTTAAAGGGGTGCTAAGTGAATTGCACCCTTTATCTGGGTTGATTGATTTTAATTTTCCTAAATGTTTCCACCTCTGTCTCACTTCCAGAAATGCACTGGGTTGGCTCACCAGGTGTGTTTTATGCCAGACCAATCTCCCTGCCCCCTCACCCCTCTCTCTCCTGGTACACGACAGTGATCCCCACCCGCCAATTAGATAGTGCAGCTGCTCTGTTCTACTTGGCAAGCTTCTGCCCACTTCTTTCTTCTGCTGATTTTTCACTTTCAGATTGGGAGCAGAGCTAGCATAATATATATGGGATTAAAAAACAAAACAAAATCCAAGACTTAAAGAATACTCAGGAGAGATAGATATATGGGACTATCATGGTTCAGATAACATGGGTTCTGTTAGTAAGATTACACAAGTCATTCACTTTATCTGCTCCCATGCACGCTGAAGAGTAAAATGTGAGTGCGATTCCCTGAATACAGTTTTAAACTAGAAAAGTATATTTCACATTTCACTTTATCACATAAGGTCCCTGGGTAAGCGCTTCTCAGAATCAGTTTATTAGCAGTGGGAAAAATAATTGGGCTTCATGATGAAGGAGTTAAGTACTTTGCCCCTGAAGCTTGCTAGCTGACCTTTGGCCAGTTGCCTTCTCTCAGTCTGACCTACCTCACAGGAGTGTTGTGAGGATAAAATGGCAGGTGGAGTGGAATATAAATGTAATAAAAAACATAAATCAGTATTTGAATTCTTTCTGTATAATATTCCAATTCAGCCTCCCATTACATTACGTACATCAATTAGTGCATCAGCTTTTTGATTATCTGAGACTGTAAACCCGCTGTAATAAGGAATTTCTCATAGATCTTGCTTTTTATAAGACTACTTTGTAGTTGAGATGCATTATTCAACCAAGCATGAGTAGCAGTTTGGTTCCTATAAGGTTTAGCAATTAGTCTGCAGTGGATGCCTAGCTGGGAGGTGATAAACCTATTGAATAAACTTAGCCCAACTGTCATACGATGCTGTTCTCATCTTTCATTTCTCCAGGATACCAAAGAGAGCTTCTGTATCAAAGAGATGATGGTTCTTTCAGTGCTTTTGGAAACAAAGACAACTCTGGCAGCACGTGGTAAGTGTTCAGTAAACAACGTGCATCTTTAATAGTCTTGAAGTTAGCAAGATGCATCAATTATGTTTTGGTACAGCAACCAACTGCCAAAACCAGAGTCATGTACTAGTCTTAAGTTATTATAATTCTTAGAGCTGGATGTGTACACCCGTGACTCACATCCTAGGTCCTCATATGCAGTTCTTGCATATTACCCAGAAAATGTATAAAATGTAGTTGATGTCTGCAGATTCCCCAAGGATGAAGATTACAAGTTTTAGTAGCTGCACAGCAAGTACTAGGCATAAAATGCACATACAAAGTCACTAAGGCAAATGGGAATGGCTGCACCTACAGGCTAGTATAGCTTTTCTTCTCCCAACACCAGGCCATGTTGATGCTAAGTTTGCTGCTGCTGTATTTGCAGCTAGATCATTCATCTGCCTTCCCATCTTTCACCTAGGGGCATTTGCAGGTGTTTGCATGCAATACCGCTGCTCCTTTGACAATCTGATTGTTGTTGGTGGCAAGGGGAAAAAATAGAGAATTTCTGGATGCCAAGTTCTTGTTTTGGGTCAAGTAATCTTTGGTGAGAGAACCCCACTAGAGATTTAAAATTATGCAGCAAAGTAAAGCATAGGAATATAGGCTTTTAGACCTTTAAAATATGCTCTGTTGAGTTCCTTCCAAAGTCCCCCTGTTCCCCTAGCATAGAAAAAGACCACATGTTTGGTAAGATAGAAATACTTTACTTACAAACTCTCCAAAAGTCAGATTCATGTGCTTTTCCTTAGTTAGAAAACACAAGCAGTAATTGCCTTAGCTACAGTGGTGAAAGTTCCTAAATTATAGAGATAGGAACACAAGAAAGGCTTGTTAGAGCCATGCAATGTTAGCTGCAGCAGCCAGTTCAGACATCACACGTTGAGCTTCTAAGGTAGACAGTGGGACAAAAATAGGCTTGATTACCTTCCTCCTGAGGTGAAGGGAAGTGACATAGCTAAGCCTGGCAGAACAGCTTACTCTGTGGCATCAACTCCTTCATGCATTAATTAGAGTTATATGAAGCTGGTTATCCCTCAAATGTGTGGGTCTGGGTGAGTGTCGTGGGTCACTAAATAATTTCAGGAGAGGGGTGGAAAGTGAATGATCTGGCTTTAAAGGTTGGAATGCTTGGTTGCCATCTGCTACGAACTCTTGGAGGATGAAGCAATTGTTCTGACTTCACACTGTAGTTCTTGCATTGTAATTTGGCATATCCGTGCTCTCTCAATAGAAAAAGCTGGTGGCTATTTCCAAGTATTTCTTTTTAAGAGCTGCTTTGCATGTTTCACACTTGAGAATTTTTTCATAATGTTGTAGAATATGCCCTAAATACTTTTATTTATTTATCTGCACTCAGAGTTTGCATTTCCACTGAAGAGCACAGAGGAGCTTACATATGGTTCCCATATGGCCTCCTGTTCAGACAGTTTACAAGGCCAGACATGTTCATGAAAATATGTAATAAACAAATTGTACCAATTGTATGCAATTAGCACATGCAAGGCTTGTTTTAAGCCTTCCAGTGCATATATTTGTGATATTTTCTTAAACACATTGTGCAAGTTAAATTAAAGAATGGGATCTGTGGAAGTGTTTAATTCCTACATATTTATTCTTCACTTCTCCCTAGGCTATCGGCTTTTGTGTTAAGGAGTTTTATTCAAGCTCAGCCATTCATAGATATTGATTCATCTATCCTGGAGACAACAGCTGCTTGGATTGTTAGACATCAGAAGCACAATGGGGAATTCCAGGAGCCTGGGAGAGTGCTGCATACTGAACTGCAAGGAGGAACTAACAGCTCTGTCTCTCTTACTGCTTATATTATGACTGCACTATTAGAGTACCAAACAGATAAGGTAGTTATAACCATAGAAGCCAACTCCTAGGAGCTGAGGTTCCTTTGGCGCCCCTAATAAAATATTTGAAGGGGCCAAGCCTCCCCAAAGTTGACGGGTGTTGGTGAATGTGTCCATCAGACCAAAAAAGGTTGGTCAGTCCTGATTAAAGGAACAGCTAGACAAAGGGCTTATCCACACTTACCTTTCCTTTGCTCTTTCCAGGCAACGGTTCGCAATAGCTCTGAGATTGAGCACCTCCTTTTTGTGTTCTGGAGCTTTCCCTGAGAAACCTGCTCTTTGAAGCTGAATTGGAGCAAGTGTTAATCTGCAGAAAACCTGAATTGATGTTGCTCTAATTAAGCTTTAAAGAGGAGGCTTTTGTTGAGAAACCCCACTTGGAGGCAAAAGGTAAGTGTGGATAAATCCAAACTCTGTCCAACTTGGGCTTGCATGTTAAGAAAGATCTATTTTATTTCTGTTAGCCCAGGAATGGGTTTCTCTTCATTTTTATTTTCATTTATCTTCAAAATGCAATTTGTATTTCCCCTTTCATTGCATATTTTCTGTTGTGTGTTTTGCATGATCAAGGAGCTATACAAGGCACTGAAATCTCCCCATCTCCACTAAGCATCATCTGGATCCTGAGATTTCAGCAGGTCTTGCCCACACCCTTTCAAGCATCTTTTCAGCCATAAAGGCTAGAAACTTGCTGTTTTTAAAAAGAAAGCTAAGATTCTCAGGCCGCTGGATTATGTGATCAAGCCAACATTCTGTTTTTTTGTGGAATTACAGCATACGCACAACCCTGACATTAATGTATGAAGATTGCAATTTAGCATTTGCTTGGTTAAAGGGAGTTCATAGCTTATTTCATATCTTTCTTTCTGCAGTATGATTATGCTATAAGAAAAGCATTGGACTTTCTGGAATTTAAATTAAGTGAAGGCATATCAGATAATCATACGCTTGCCCTTGTGACTTATGCTTTATCGCTGGCAAAGAGTGTGGAAGCAAAGCAAGCTCTGGACCTACTGAATGAGAGATCAGAACATCAAGGTAGTGTAAGACAGCTGAATTTACAATTGCGGATGGTACAACCATTATGGTAGTACAGGGTTCTCATACTTTCTAGCCCCAGGATCCATGTGACATAACTGAGGTCCACCAGTCACAAAATGGTGGTGCAGGGGCCAAACCAGTCACAAAATGGTGGCAGATGGAAGCAGAATTTGGCATGGGTATTTTTTCCTCACTTTTTAATTTCCTTCAACAGATTCTCTTCCTCTTTCCCGTCAGAGGAGGGAAATCCCCCTTCCCTTACCCCAAACATGTCTATCTTCCAGCCATGGCACTTATTGTGGGGTGAGGCAGGCAAGTGAGGAGGCACTGGCCAGGCTGAGGCCCACCTGAAAGTGGCTTGTGTTCCACTGGTGGATCCCAACCCACTGTCGGAGAAACGCTGTGTTAGTATAAAGAAAGTGTAAATCAAACCTATAGAACCTGAGATACAGCATTATTTATAACCCTCCCCAACAAAACCCTAGTTATAAAGGTGGTCACTGATTTTAATTTTGAGAATATTAGGAATGCTTCTGGAACTTAATTTGAGCTTTGTATGCTTCTTCTTGAATATACAAAAAGTGGATTACCTCCTTTCTTTTATTTGTTAAATCAATAAGTTTACATTAATTTGTCTGCCCATGCATGCATCATACTCATTTTCAAGTGGAACCTGCAACAAAAGATTACAGTGTGGAGTGTTCCTGTTGAAGATTCTAGCTAGGCAGACATACTCTTTTCAAAATAATTGATATTTGAAATTGTTGACTGTATGTGGACTTCAGACTATTATAGTTCTTCTTCTTCTTCTTCTTCTTCTGTTGTTTGTTGCTGCTATGTGAAAAGTTTATTCTTTTTTGCAGAAGACCTCAGATTCTGGATATCACAAGCTTCTCAACTGTCTGATTCCTGGCAGCCTCAGTCTGTAGATATTGAGGTTGCAGGCTATGCTGTTTTGTCTCATGCTAAACAACAGAGATTATTAGAGGGGATCCCTATTATGAAATGGTTAAGCCAGCAAAGAAACCACCTGGGAGGCTATTCTTCTACACAGGTTAGAGAGGCATCTTTAAAAAATTCACTGTTGTTGTCTTTTCATAATTAATATTAGTCTTTTTTGTGGCTCCAGCCATGTCGTATCTCCTTTAAACCTTAGACAGGAAACTTCAAAAAGCACTGTTTTGAACTTGTGATAAATTAAGTGCTTGGTAATTGGTTTCTAAATTGCAAGGAGTTCATTTGTTTTTGAGGATGAAAGGAAGAAATGCTTGATTCTTCAAGGGAGCCATTCAGTACCTTCTACAAAATGCATGCCAAAGCCACAGCCTGGTTGCTTACAGGCCTAGAGCATGGTCTGTGGACAAATGTTGCAGCAAAGTAGGGTTTGATGTGACCAACACATGAATGGAGAATCCCACCTTGAGTTCTGTGACGAAAGAAAGGTGGGATAGAAGTGAAGTGAAATGAATTCTTTACTGATGGGTATTTGCTACTTGGAAAAGCCATTCATCAAATCATTAAAACCTAAGAAAACACTTAACAGATTGCTCTTTGATAAACAGAAGGCTTTCCAATTGGTCTCTTCCAGATCTCTCGGGAGTGTTCCATAAAAATGAGTGTGAGCAAGTGTGGCATAGTAGATAGAAAACTGAATTTGGATTGAATTCAAAACTGAGGTTAGGTCTGAGTGTACACCATAATGATGTTTGACCAATTACTTTATCTAGGATCATAGAATTGTAGAGTTGGAAGAGACCACAAGGGTCATCTAGTCCAGTCCTCTGTAATGCAGGAATCTTTTACTCAACCGGGGCTTGAACCTACAACCCTGAGATTAAGAGTCTCATGCTCTACCAACTGAACCATCAATATTAGCAACAAACTGGCACAGCCCATTCCATGTTCCATGATTGTTCAATGTTAGCATTCCAATTCCTGCATTTATTTTTATGCAGCAGTTCTGTTTCTCGTGCTGGGCGTTGCATCTGCCAGCCTCATCTCCCATTGCTTGTGTCCATGGGTCCTATGTACTTACATTGAGCTATGAATAGGCTGGAACAGAACTCTGGCTGGCTCTAGCATTGGTCCAAGCTACATGTTTGGAGCAGCGGTTCAGAGACTCCTGTGTGTCTCATCTCAAAGAGCAAAACAATCTAACTGTTAAGGCAGGCTGGAACTTACTTACTTTAGAGGCATCTGTATTAAACAATAATTTGTTCTTGCTTCGCTACAGGACACTATAGTGGCCCTGCAGGCTTTGAGTGCCTGTGCAATGCTTACTACTGGCATTGAAACAGAAATGGATGTAACAGTCAGTCCATCTAGCGAAAACGATCCAGTTGTGTTCAGAATTAATAATGAAAACCGCTTACTTCTCAAGACCAAAGAGGTACTGTAGTAAAGAAGCCCTTCTGTTTTCAGGGTAATGCATTCAGTTCATTGTGCTCTTTTGAACATGCTAATACTCACCATTGTTTTTAGGTTGCAGCTACACAGCCAGTGGGAGTTACAGTTTTTGCAAGCGGCCGTGGCTTGGGACTCTTCCAGGTATGTGATGTTGCTTTTGTGGAACTTTCTTTTCAGAAGGCTATTTGAACTAGAAACTACGATCAGAGGTGAATTTAGGGGTGTGCAATTGGCTCACCCGCACTGGTCGCTGAGCTAACAGGGCGCTACAACAGTGATTTAGAACAGAAGGCGGGTGGGTGGTGCCAGATTTTGGCATTGCACAGGATACCACTGAAATTTGAAAGCCCTAAGTCCATCACTGCTACTTTTTAGGTGGATTACATTTTCATTGTCAAAAGTGGACTCAATATTATGTGAACTAGGCCACTTACTAGAGTCCCTGTGACTTAATTAACTTGGATTTTTCCAGTGTGTTTTATCTGCCCCTTGTACTGGATTCTCTTAAAGCGCTCTATCATTCAATTATAACAATCATATGATAACTAGTAAGGCCGTCCTTAACATAAAGAATCTATGGTTTGGTTTTTAATTCCTTTGGGCAGATGACCTTCACCCAATGGAATTTTTCCATCCCTTCCCTCTTATGAGAGTATTTGTGTTTGGCTACATTTATGTTTGGTATCTGCCACCATTTGTAGATGCTTCCAGAAGAGATAATGTTGTTTGTAGTTTGAAGGTGGCAAGAGTTCAGAATATAGGTTAGCATAGAAATCCAATACCTTTATCGCATATTTTTGTCTTTAATTCCCATAGAAGGTATTAAACTGAGTGCATAAATTACATGAATCACTTTCCATGATGACTTGAATTCTGTGCAACAAACAAACTAATCTGCAGCAGATAAACAGTAATCAGCCATTCATCAGCTGTAATTCAACACTGGCGGAAGTTGAAGAGTAAACTATATGTTATTCCTGTAAAATCTCAGTAAGAGACCAGAGCATTGTAAATTGGAATTATTCTGGTGTGTGCATTTTCATAAATGCTGTTTCTGATTACCATAAAGTTCAAATGTGTTTGAGAATAATTTCAGTTCCAGCAGTGGAGGCCAAGAATTCTGTCGGTATCACAGAAGGCAATTGCTTTCTCATCCATCATATTTGAAGGTAGTGGAGTTAGCAAGAATTGTTTCCAACAACAGTCAGACTGCTAAAAGTTAACAACAAATGCAAAATATCACAAGCTTCTTTTTAAATAATGAACCTATCAGACTAAATTTTAAATCTAGAATTAATCAAACATAAGCATTCTGTAATGGGTTTAAATTTATTGCAACAATAAATTGACTTCAAGCACTAAGTACATAAGGGATGCGGGTGGCTCTGTGGGTTAAATCACAGAGCCTAGGGCTTGCCGATCAGAAGGTCGGTGGTTCGAATCCCTGCAACGGGATGAGCTCCCGTTGCTCGGTCTCTGCTCCTGCCAACCTATCAGTTTGAAAGCACTAGCTGTTTGAAAGTGCAAGTAGATAAATAGGTACCGCTCCGGCGGGAAGGTAAATGGCGTTTCCATGCACTGCTCTGGTTCACCAGAAGCGGCTTAGTCATGCTGGCCACACGACCTGGAAGCTGTACGCCGGCTCCCTCGGCCAATAAAGCGAGATGAGCCGCAACCCCAGAGTCAGCCACGACTGGACTTAATGGTCAGGGGTCCCTTTACTAAGTACATATTTACTTGTTTCCTAACAGTAACATTGATCCTATGCATATTTCCCCTTAAGATTATTCCACTTGAACGAATGGAGTTTACACATAATTAAGTGTGCATAGGATTGTCTTGTTACTTTTTAAGTGGCATTGGCTAGCATCACAAGTGGTAGCCTTATGCTATTAGTGGGGCTTGACCCTTCCAGGCCTACATGGCTCATCCTTACCACTAGGTCATTAGAGACTCAGGAAGTCTGGTACAGCTTGGCACTAACTTTTCTTTGACGAAGTAGGAGATTCCTGTAGCTGAGGGGCAGAGCAAGGCAGATGGCTGGAAAGCCATTATTTCCACAACTATAGCAAAAACAGATTTAAAGCACGGGTCTTCCGTGATACAGTTCCAAGACCCTGCACTTTCTCGTCTGTAGTTTGGCAAAGCAAAAGAAATAAAGACTTCTGGAATAATTTCATCCAATACAGTTTGGGTTTGCTGGAACCACCTCCTTTCTTTCCTTTTACTTGGCAGGAATCCTGCCAAACGAAAAAGAACTGTGATACCCTTCAAAGGGTTATTTCCCCCCGCCACTTCAGCCCACAAGCTAGATCTGCTTTTCATCTGCGATATGAAATCGCATGTGATTATTACCATCTTTCTTTCTTTTTGCTATATTAATTCCCTTATCCTATGAGCCATTGCTGCAAAGCAGCAGCTCATATGTTCTGGCATACGCATCCCAACCCTGGTGTGGCAGAACAATTTGTCCCCTCCTGTTGAAGCTCAGGCCAAGCGCTACCACAGCTGCTCCCAATGCCACTTCTGTGCCGGTGCCCTTGCATGGCACAGCTATTCTGCACAAGGAACTTGTGGAAGGTTGGGTGGGGCTTGGCAGAAGGCTTGACGATACTCCTCCAGAGGCATCCTGCAGATTGCTCTTCACTTCCAGAGCCCTAAAACGTGACACAGCCTAGTTTTCTTCTTTAAATAACAGCAAAATGAATAATAGGAGGACATCTTTGTCCTACTCACCACATGCAGGAAACATTTCTATCCTGTTAAAAGGCTCTGGGTTGTAAAAACTCTTTTTTGTACTTAAGACTGCGCAGCTGTGCAGCAGCTAACCAAAGGAGTTGTCTGATAGCAAATAAGTTTGATGAGGAAGCACGATAGTGGCCAGCCACATTTGGTAACTGGTGCAGGTCTTCTGTTGGCAGGTCTTCACAAGATGCTGCTCACCAACGAAATGCAGATTGCCAACCATGTGTAGCTGACTTATTAAAGGGATCAATAAATTTTTTTGATGTTGTGCCTGTTTGGAACTGCAAAAACAGTGGGACTGGGTTGGGAGGTACCTGGGAGGCCCCATTACAAGTTTTCCCCTCCATTCAGTTCTGTGGAGACCTTCTGATGATTGATTATTGCATCTCTCTTTGCAATTCTAAGGGCTGATTTTTAGGAGATCTGTCTATTCCCCATCCCCAGACTCCTAAGTATCTTATATCCATCTGAGTATTTTTTTCCTTACCAGCTGTCCCAGCATCTTTATTGCCTTCTGGTCAGCCTGTTTGAAACTTTATTTATCTTGGATTAAAAAAAAAAATTGAAATCAAAGGCATAGTTGTTATGCTCTTTGTGTCTACTGTTGATAAACTTACACAGCAAGCTTTCCTGTTGGCTGGAAAGGAAAGCATCCTTAATTAAACTCTTCACTGTGAAATGGGCTGATCTAGCTGAAACCTCTGGCAATGTCATGCCTGACTTCCAGAAGCCCTTTCCTTTGTTTTGGATACTAACATCTATTCCATACCTGCAGCAAAGTGAGGAATCCAAATTGGTTTTAATTAATGTGCCTTGTTGTTTTAGTGAAGATGGACATGCTTATTTGGGGTTGTATCCAACAAAGCTGTCCAGTTCACGCAAGAACATCTGCTTGTGCAGCAAAACGTCTCCTTCCTCTTCTCTCCTTTCCTCCATGTGCCCCCCAAATTGGTTCTGGGGATTCCCCCGACCTTCTGCAGCTGACTTGTGCTTTCACAAGCAGAAGTCCTTGAATTAACAGAACAGCCTTATTGGATGCAACTTCATGAAATTAGGGTTTTAACTCTGCTTAACCAAATTAAATATATTTTGGACTTCTTAACACGCTGGACATTGACAGGGCTCCCTTGAGCTAATACCCATCTGGTTTTATGAGGTTGTTAACACCCATTTTCACAGGTGTTTGCATTTGTTGTTTTTATATGCAAGTTAGGCTGCATGCACAGTTACCTGATACTTAGCCCCATTAGTCTTACTTTTGAGTAGACACGTGCTGGATTGTGCTGTTAGTTAACATTCCATTTCCTTCCTCAACACTCAATTTAACAGCCAAATAAAATACTTTGGAGAAGAAACTCCTGCTGAAGATAGCCCTTTAGCATATACCTCCATCCAGACATCTGTTTGCTATGATCAGAGGCTTAAGAATAAACATAGGAAAGCAAAGGATTCCTGGACTGGTAGGAGATTTTTCCAAATACTTGACACATTTCAGATGGAATATTGCAGGGACTGCCGCCAGATTTTTTTTTAAAAAAAGCTTAATAAGGCTGCCAGTGACTGGCGTTGAAGATTTCTCTGTTGCTGTCAGTAGTTGCTGGAGTGCAGTTTGTCCTGCTATTTCATTAGTGTGCTAGGAGCTGCTGTGCTTCCTGGAAGGAACCGGAGCCTCTTTGGGGTCAGAAGTTGGTAAGCTTAGTTACACCAAGTGTTACAAACACTGAATTCCAGCTATCCGTCAGTGTTCCTGGATAGTCCCTTTTAGTGTGCTGTTTTGCCACAGCAGCTTCCTATTTATTTTGGCAATTTTTATTTTATTTTAACTAAACCAGTAGTGTGGATCTAGAGATGATCCAGGAGTCTAGAATGTATTTTGCCCCACAGCCAGAATATGACTTTTGCCAAGCAAGACTGCTGGCCTTTCCACACAATTAAACAAAAGTGTCCCCAGCCATCCTGATCCAGCTACAGTTTGCAACGTCCCCCATCTTTATATAAAGATATGAGGAACTTTGCTTCAGACTACGCTGCTCTTTCTCCGCCTTCTTAAACCTAGTGGGTTGTGTGCTCCAGCACAGGGGATAGAGAACACCCAACCTTAAAGATTAAAAAAAACCAAAAAACCTAAAGTTTACATGATGGGGGAGGAGGGCCAATTTGGGTTTTGCCACTTTAAAGTGTCAGGATGAGCACGCCAGTGTTCAGGTTAGGCAGCTGGAAACACTCAACAGTCCAATAACTTCAAACAAATAAAAACCTTAACTAGGAAGATCACAAAATGGTACAGACATGAATTCAGTTATTGAGACGTGAGCATTATCCAGTAAATGCCCAGACACTCACACTTGCATCCAGTTACAAAAAACAATGCCTGCACAATCTGGAGAAACTATCACATTTTCCCAGATACAAAACATTGTATATTTAAGTGCTTGTAAAATACATTTGCCCTAGAACAGAAGTGCAATCTTAAGGGAAGATGGTTTATTCCCAGGAAATGTGTAGCAAATGTTCGCATATTGTACAAAAGGTCTGCAAGACCTGAATTAGTTTTGCCGTCCTCACAAACCCCAGTGTTGGCAGCTGTGGGTACCAGCCTAGGGGTAAGTCACTTGTGTGTGTGAATTGTGAAGGGCTGGCTGTACACTGGATGCATCTCTGTCTTCTAAACCACTATACAGATGTGCCCTACAAAATGAGTCAGTAAATGCTCTTTGCGTGTGGTATGAAATCTTGCTTAGCATCCTATGCAGCAGAGAAGGAAGGAGTTTTTCCATTCCTGAGTGGATACTGTAGTCAGGTAAAGCATATTCAGTCACTCCTCTGTGAGCCTTTCTTTCTCTGTGGGCTTTTCTTTGTCCAGTACCAAGAAGGAATGGAAGATTAAACACGAAGCTTCTTTCAATTAAATGTGTCCTTAAGGGGTCATTCAGTATATTGTTTCAGATGTTCCTGTGCTGCTGGTAAATTCTTACCCGTTTGCTTCTCTTGGCAAATACTAAAACAACAGCTTTTGGGTGTTGACAAATTGCTGATTTGCTTCCAGCTTGATTTGACCAAATTCACAACATGCCTCCAATAAGGAGAAAGCATGTTCAACTTTTTTTATTATTTTGGGATCCTGATGGGCTTCTTTTGAGGCCTTAGGAGTGGATGTTTTCATTCAGAAACAGTGATGTGTTTTACCTTCCTTGCTTTTTTGGGGGGCGGGGCAGGTCTTTTTATATTACAGCAGTTCTGTATTTAGTTTCCTTAACTCTGAGAGGACATAAACTAAGGGACTACCTACATATTATATTCTAATGTGTGCAGCAGTGCCACAAGTAACAATTTCATTTTTTGAAGAGGGAACTATGCATTGTTCCATAGCACCCTTCCCCTCCAATTTTATCTCTGTAGGTTTCTAAATGCTTTTACAAACCTGCATTTTGAACCTCATGAGAAGAGGAAACTGATAGACATAGATTAATTAGGGGCTGTTCCACACTTTGGCTTGTGCCATGCTTAGAAAGCATGGGTTCAAGGGGTTTCCCCCTTGCCCATCTCCTTTCCAAGGGAAATCTATCTGTTTAGCAATAGATCCGAACAAATGTCAATCTGGGGAAAACCCAAATTGCTGTTTGCTCCGATTGAATGCTAAAGAGTGATTTTGCCTGGGGGAAAGCAGTGGGACAAGAGGAAGTGTGGCTAAGCCCTTGGTCAAGCACCCCACATTCTCTGGTTGCTTCTCTTGCTTGCCTCCTACCCACATGATCACTCTACATTGGGTAAAACAAAGGAAGATCGAGTTGCTTTTATATAAAGCAGGGAGTAGAGAAAATGATCTTGGAAAAGAAACTAATGGAGAGTAAATACTTAGAATCATAGAGATGGAAGAGACCACAAGGGCCATTGAGTCCAACCCCCTGCCAAGCAGGAAACACCATCAGAGCACTCCTGACATATGGTTGTCAAGCCTCTGCTTAAAGACCTCCAAAGAAGGAGACTCCACCACACTCCTTGGCAGCAAATTCCACTGTCGAACAGCTCTTACTGTCAGGAAGTTCTTCCTAATGTTTAGGTGGAATCTTCTTTCTTGTAGTTTGGATCCATTGCTCCGTGTCCGCTTCTCTGGAGAAGCAGAAAACAACCTTTCTCCCTCCTCTATGTGACATCCTTTTATATATTTGAACATGGCTATCATATCACCCCTTAACCTCCTCTTCTCCAGGCTAAACATGCCCAGCTCCCTTAGCCGTTCCTCATAAGGCATCGTTTCCAGACCTTTGACCATTTTGGTTGCCTTCTTCTGGACACGTTCCAGTTTGTCAGTGTCCTTCTTGAACTGTGGTGCCCAGAACAGGACACAGTACTCCAGGTGAGGTCTGACCAGAGCAGAATACAGTGGCACTATTACTTCCCTTGATCTAGATGCTATACTCCTATTGATGCAGCCCAGAATTGCATTGGCTTTTTTAGCTGCCGCGTCACACTGTTGGCTCATGTCAAGTTTGTGGTCAACCAAGACTCCTAGATCCTTTTCACATGTACTGCTCTCAAGCCAGGTGTCACCCATCTTGTATTTGTGCCTCTCATTTTTTTACTTATCTGTTGTAGTCTCTTGCTATGGATGTAATTGATATTTTCCCTTGAAGAGGGTTAATGGAATGGAATACTTTTATTTGCAGCATGTGTACTGTGTATATGTATATGTATAGTAACATATATTAAGTCTTCAATAACACTTGATTCCTAAGGTGACTAGTATTTACATTAGTAAATAACACTTAAGATTTTACTGTGGAAGGGTTCGTGTTTTGGAAGCAACCTTTATTTCTGGATGGTTTCATGTTTAATCTGTTTTGCAATATAAGAGAGAGATAAGGAGTTTTTTTTGGGGGGGGTGGGTAGTCCTATGACCTATGCTATATTATAAACTTATTATTTTAATGAATTTCTTCTGAGTTTCATTCCTGGGAAATCAGTTCCAACTTTTCTTTAATACAGTGGTGGAAAGCCAGCCTGTGGGCCTAATTAGGCCCAACAAACTCTCTAAATTTGGCATGTGAAGCCATTTTGGGCAAACCACACATACCTGTCAGTTACCGGAAGCTGTATGTCATGAGGTGTAGAGATTTGCTATCTATGATCTAACTGTTATGATTCGCAATAAAGGATCTCTGATATGGCGTCAAGCACCACAGTTGTAAGATGGTAGATAAGCCTCTGCCTGCCCTAACTGTCACCCTTGCTCAGTGTCTGGGTGAGCTGATAGGAAATTTAGTAACAAATTAAAATAAAGAGTCAAGAACCTATGTTTTTGCATGCAGAAGTGTTTTTCTGCAAAAGTATTCTGTCTAATTATTAAATAAAATGATATTTGCATCACTAGCATATTTCCAAGTACAGAAGTACCTTTTCTTTGTTAATCCACTTTCAATGGTTGAAACAGCAGCTTGCAATGCCTTCGGATTCAAACAAGTTACATCCCTGTCTGTCCTTAATGGCAGCATAATATTAATGGCAGCATGCTCATGGGATTTCATAATTTGCTTTCATTAGCCTGGCAGTTTTGTTTCTCTTAGGTTCTGGATTGACTCAAATTATTCTATGGTGAATGTTGATGCTGAAACTGTATCACAACTATAAAGTTTTCAGGATCTAGAATCTAGACTGCCCTATTCTTACCTCTCTTCAAGAGCTCTTTCATAGTCCTGCAGTTTGACCTCAGATGTTTGCATTAGATCACTTGTATACACACCAGTAATTTCACGTTTGATGTTTCCACTCTTGTAGCTCAATATTATGTACAACGTGAAAAATCCACATACCAGTAGGCGGCGGAGATCTGCACAAAGTCAGGAAGCCTTTGACTTGGATGTTGTCGTAAAGGATGACAAAAAAGATATAAATCACTTAACGCTGAACGTTTGCACCAGGTAAGTATATATGTGAAACTACCACTCCTCCCCTTTTATTTACAGAATTCTAATAATATTTGGGCAGGGCATTTTTTTTAAAAACACATACATTAATAGCTCAAGGGAGCAAAGATTGCATGTATATAAAGCAAAAATATCAGGAATAGCAGATTTGAACAGATGATCATTTTAACAGAACAGTTCTGAGTAAACATGCTTTGTATCAGGTCTCAAGTCTTCACAAAGCCAGTAAAATTTGTTTCCTTTTTTACATAGCAATTCATTAGTTTGCTTTCCTTCCATTGAGGTCTGTGCATTTAAACTAGCTGATTTTAAATGGTTGCTCATCCGTTTTGCTTTGGTTCCACAAGGGCATCCCCAGCAATCTTCATGGAGTCTCCCTACTTAGGTTGCTAGCCAGCATGCCAAGTCATTTTTCAGGATACTCCATTCCACCCTCCACTCCCCCACGTTTTCTGCTTTTCTTTTTCAACTGATCTTTAACATCCTGTGGTTACTGATCCTATTCAGATTTCATCGACCTCTTTGTGGTTTTATTCTTTGCCCCCCTTTAGTTTTTTTTTAATTAAAAAAAAACATATTTATTGTACTTATTTAAACCTTGGGGTTCCTCCTAGCATTCTGATGCATTCCTCTTGGACTTTATTTTTCTACAATAGTTCTGTAGAAAACAATTATACCTTGATGGCAATGACCAGAGCTCTCTTCCTATTTGCAGTTACAACACAGATATAATTACATCCAGTTCCAATTCAGTTATTTGTTTTCAATAGCAGCTACTTTGGCCTGGCGACTCATCCCACAGATGGTTTTGTTTCCTTTTAATCTCACGAGCCAGCCTCAGCCAGCAGTTGTACTGAATTTCTTTCAAAGCCATATCTGTATTTAATCATCCCTGCTGCCAGGCCTGAGAGCATTGCTTTGAAAAGTGAGTCTTCCTTTCTTGCAAATTGTCCCCATATAAAAAGAAATACAGTTTTATTAAATTACTTTTAACTACTGTCAGGCATTCAAAATACAGATTGGAGACACACTCTTTTTCCAAGAGAACAGTGGTGGTTTACTGTCTCTGCCAAGCAAAATCCTTCTGCCACCTATTTGAAGAACTCCCCTCATGAAAAGGTACTTAAGTGTTACCTCATATAAAATAAAAAGCATGTTTTCATAGCCTAGCTGAGAGTTGGCATTTTTATGTGACTTGCAGGCATCTACTATATTGTATCCCAGAGGCTCCATTACATAAATTAGTTATATAGGCTGCAATCCTATATCTACATACCTGGAAATAAGCTCCATTGAACTCAGTCAAATGACTTATGACATGTAGTGAATTGTGTTGTTATTTAAATTCCATACATTATTTTAGGTGCTACAGACCATCAACTAGTTAAGTGTTCTGCAGATTTACCTATGCTTGAATAACAGGTTAATCAACTAGAAACTTAATACCACAAAATGTTGGAAAGCATCCAGACAATCAGCAAGCTCTTTATTTTCCCATCACATTTGTGGTGAATGAAGTGGAACTCAGGTGACAGAAGGGGTCCATCGGTCAGTAGACTCTGCAGCTACTGCTTGCTTAGACGAGCTAGATTAGTTTGGTTTTGCAGCAGTCAGTTTTCCTATAACTTTATTCTGCTTGATTCTAACTGCCAAGTGGACACAATCCATCAAAAGGTTGTGACTAGGCCCATTGAATGCAAAGGAATGGGACTTACTAACTTTGCCATGTTTTATTTTAGTGGGAGTTTGTTGTATTTTGCTGCACTGCTGTCAGTTCTTGCTGGAAAAAACTGATTCCCTTCTTGTTCACTCCCAGGGTGTTCTTGTCTCCACATCATATCTTTTACTGGCCTATGTGCTTCTTAAAACCATCTTCTTGCCATTTCCACCTCTCCTCATTTACATCCCCGCTTCTTAGGGTGATTCCAAGGAGCAGCAGACAGCAAAGGAAATAGTTATTTCCAAGTTGTGGCTGGGGAGCTATCTGGATCAAATTAATTAACTGACGAATGCATGTCCTTAATAATATTTTCCAAACTGAGAAAGATGAATTTTACATACAAGTGCTTAGCAATTTTCTTTGTAAATTATTGCCATGCTGTGTTTCCTAATCGGCACCCCTGGATTTTAATTAAGGATTAGGATAATTAGAACAACCAAAAGTGAAATGCATTTTTAAAACTTTCCAGTTAGATTACATTGGGGATTTAATGCCCAATTCTTGGTCATAATTTTGTTGGTTCACCTACCAGATAATTGGGGGCTAGTTCACACACTTGTATGAACTGAATTCCTCTATTTAGATGGTGGAGATGTGCAAATATTTGCTATACACTGTTGCTACATTTATTTTGTGAGTGTGTATTCATCCATTCATTCTATGTAATGGTCGCTATTCAAACACAAAATAATGTCCCAAAGCCACTTAGAGCATAAAAGAAATTTAAACCCCATATAAAATAACAATAAAACACAATACCTATACATATCCATCTAAGAACGTTTATAAAAGAACAAATCCTACCCACCTCCTTAAAAGAAGAAGGCAGGCTAAAAGTAGAACTCACTGCCCTCCCAATTAAGAGTCACAGGCATGGATAAACAGGAGTGTTTTAGCTTGGTGCCTAAAAGCCAACAATGATGGTACCAGGGAGACTTTCCTGGGGAAAGCATTCCATAAGTAGGGAGCCACCACTGAGAAGGCTCGTCGCCACCTTCTGCATCTTCCTTTGAGGAAGCACACAGAAGGGCCTCTTCTGACAAGCAGTGTCTGAGTAGGTTGGGGAGAGGTGGTGCTTGAGATATTGGTGTCCTGAAGTCAAAACAAGCACTTTGACTCAAGCCTGAAAGCTAAGATAGCTAATGCAATTGTGCCAGAATTGGTTTCAGAGGCTCAGATCAGCAATCTTGCTGCTGAATTTTGCATTATCTGCAGTTTAAAGGCAGCCTCATATATAACACATTGTAATAATTTGATCCAGAGCTTTGTCAACAGGGGTTAGGCTATCCTGGTGCCCCAAGGCCACTTGTGCCCCAAGCCACAGTAATGGTTCCAGAAATATCCCCACGTTGCTTTTTCAGAGAGAGTATAACCCCATTCAGAATAATGTGTGTGTACATGTCATCAACATAATCCTTCTCTTTAAAAGGGTGGAAAGACATTCAAATCACATGCAGGTTCTGTCCCATTGTAGATAGATTATACTTGTAGACATTGTTGGGGTGCATGAAAAGTCACATTCCTCCATGGGTTCATACACCATCCATGCAAATGGAGCTGCCTATTCAGTTAAGTATATGAAGTGACCCATACTTTTACATGGAGTATTTACAATAGAATGTTTGAGTAAGTTTATTTCTATGTAAACTATTCTGTTCCCTTTTTTGTTTGTTAGGTATTTGGGTGTTGGCTCATCTTCAAGGAGTGGCATGGCCCTCATAGAGGTTGGATTACTGAGCGGCTTCTCTCTGTCACCCAGTTTCGTGTCATTAGATGATCCAGTTAAGAAAGTGGAGAAGGCGGAAGGCAAAGTCCATTTATATTTGGACTCCGTAAGTCAAAATACTGGATGACTGTTTAATTAATTAATTTTTTTTTACTACCCCCGCCTTTTAAATTCAGATATCACATTTTTACGAAGTTTAAACAAAAAAATAAATTTAACTTTCTGGAACTGAAAAACAGGGCAATATTCTCACAGGGCATGCACTACTTTCTCCACAGTAGGGTTTTGGTTAAAGCTGTATACTTGGAATACTATTTTGTTTTAAATACATGTTTGTTGTATATGTCCTTTTAGTGTTCAGTGAAGCACCAGTATTAAGCACATGAAATATGGAATCATACGGTGTTCCTAGTGTGCACTCTTTGCACAAGGTGTGGAAGGAGCAGCAATTAATGGGGTTGTGTGTCTCTGCCCCCAAATATGGGACCTTTTTTCCTGGACTAGCACTAATGTTTGTATATGAGTTCATATATGAGTCTGCTCCAGCAGTCTAATCTGCCCACTCCTACTGGCAGTTGAAAGATCCACACTGCCAGGATGTGTTCAGCTATACGTGTTGGTTACTGCAAAGTGTTCTGTGTACAAAGAGGAACGCATTGCACATTGGGGCAAAAGAACACCTAATTTCACATTTACGTTAATGTGGATTGATCTGGAGGTGACTGGTCAGGAAAGAGATCTAGGCGTCATGGTGGATAGTTTGATAAAAATGTTGACCTAGTGTGTGGCTGCTTTGAAAAAAAATGAATTTCATGTTAGACGGATCATTAGGAAAGGGGCTGGAAATAAAACTATATATTTTTACTCTTGGAATTCTGAGTTCAGTTCTGGTTGCTACATCTTAAAAAGAGTATTGTAGGGTTGCGGGGCGGGACGGGGGGGTCAGAAAAGTGTAACCAAAATTATAATGAAGCGGGAACAATTCTGCTATGAGGAAAGGCTTTTGAGTTCAGATATGTAAGATGGGACATGATAGTTGTATATACAATTATGTGTGTTTTGGATAAAGTGAATAGAGAGAAATGCCTCCCCCACTTCTCATAATACTAGAACCTGGGGTCTTCCAATGAAGCTGAATGGACAGGCAAGCAGGAAGTGCTTCTATGCAAACCACATCTGTAGCCACTGAGGGAACAGGATGCTGCACTAGAGGAGTCTTCATTCTGATCCAGCAGAACCAGTTAATGTTGCTATATTTTAGTAACAAGAAGTTAGGACGTTAATTCATCTGGTCAGCTACATGCCTTTACCCTAGGAGTATAGAAAAAGTCTTTGAAAGTTTACTTTCTTTTTACTTTTTAGTTAAATGAAACACAGGTTTGTGTAGACATTCCAGCTGTGAGAGACTTCAAAGTGGCAAATACCCAGGATGCCTCTGTGACTGTGGTGGATTATTATGAACCCAGTAAGTGCCAATTGTTTTTGACATATCTCATATTCAGTGCTGAAATAAGCAGTTGTAGTTAGTTAAAGTGAAGAACTGATTCCTTTAAGCTAGGAAAGAACCATATTAAATGGAAAAGACCCTACTATCAAATACCGGGGGGGGGGGGGGAGGGGGAGGGGGGAATGAACAAACAAATTCTTCCAGAATGTAGTTTGGTGAATTTCTTACAGGATAAACACTGTGAGGTGAGGTGGGCGGGAACAATTGCTCTTGGATCCTTAGTTAAATTATCTTTTAGGAATTTAAGGGAAGAAAGTTTCCTGTCCCCTCCTACCCCAGCACCTGCTGAAAATCTTATTGGGAGGGCCCTCCAAAACAGTGGGGCATGGGTTGCTGCTGAGAAAAGGATGATAAACTTCATTTCCATGAACCTCCTTAAGTTAACTTACATTTACATCAAGACCAAATTTGGGCAATTCCCCCAGGACCACTGTTGTTCGGAAAGTCCTAACCCCACAGAGAAACACTTTGGACATTTGGAGGGACACACATGGTTGGGATGGGGTAGGAAACCTTCCTTCTGTGAACTTCTTTAAGTTAACTTACCTTAGGATGCACGCCAGTGTTTTGCTTCTGCTTAGTTCTGTAGCCTGAATTAATGCCATAGCAAAATATTTTGAACTTCATTGCAGAACACACATCCTTTGGGGCCCCTTGGCTTTCTCAAGACAAAGTCAAATGGATTCACTTCACATTGTGGATTTCAGTGTCTGATTTCTATGGAAGTTGTGTAGCTTTTCAGACATTCTCTTCAGCTTTATGCAAATATATCTCACCAAAATGTCTTAAGTATGATTTGTAGTGAATGGTACTCCTCCAATCTCGCACAACAGGGAGAAGAGCAGTGAGAAGCTACAACTCCGAAGTGATGCAGAGTTTGTCACCATGCACCTTCTGTGAAAAGGATGAATGTGATCTTTGTTCAGCGGGTGGCTCTTCATTAATTTACCTCTCTTGTGAACTGTTAATAGTACATGTAAGCCTGTTGTATAGTTGGCTGCTCTAATGTGGGCATCTTACCCATGTTGCACTTCTAAGAGTATTATTGATCTCGCCATCCTACACAAGGGAAATCAGGATGGGGAAGTTCCTCACTTCCACTCATTGGAGGCAGAGACCTGATAGGAAAAGGGGATGAGTTCTAATTTGGAGAACTGAGATTGGGCCCTGTGACAGCTATCAGTTTATTTTATTTTATTTTTAAAAACACACTGATAGGTCTAGAACTCTTGCAGGAACTTGCCATCTCCAAATGATTATCAGGAAGAGCCAGACTTCTCCCCAGAGAGTCTGTCTGAAATGATTATTCCAGGTCAGAGCCAAATGTTCTCCTGCACCCATTAAAGTTCAGGGATTAACTGCACATTCCTATCAATGTAAACTTAGAAATAATTCCCATTGAGTTCAATGGGGGTTACTTCTAGGTAAGTTTGTATAGTATTGCAGTCCAAACTTCTGTATCCAGAGACAGAAGGATCAAATATAAGTGCTAAATTTCTGGATGTGGCTCAGTAACATTAAGAACTTAAAACATGTAAACGTTAATGTTCATTTTCTAAATAAATATTTAAATGAGATCAGATTTATTTGGAGGAAAAAAAATTAGGAGTATATAGTTCTTTATTTGTACATTAAAAATAAGATGTGTTTTTTTTTAAAAAAAAGTTTTAGAAAATATATAATTATCTAAAGCCTTACATTCCTTTTAGTTCAGCTTTTGCCAACCTGGTGCCCTCTAGATGTTGTGGATTACAATTCCCATCAGATCCAGAAGGCACAGGCATGCTGGCTAGGAGTAGTAGGAGTTGTGGTCCAAAACATTTGGAAAGCACTGGATTGACAAAAACCAGTTTAGATTATGACACATTTTATTCTAACATTTAATTTGCAAGTATTGCTGACTTTAATGGCACAGCATCAAGTCCTAGCTACAGATGCAAGAGCCCTATTCTCTTTAGCACCTTTTAAAGAGTTGTGTAGAAGGGAGAATTTCCAGCAGATATGGGGCACAACAAGCTAGGCTTGCCGAAATCCCCTCTTCTACATAATACTGAATAATGGCACAAACAAAGCAAACTGAGGTGGTTTCCAAACAGCTGGCCGTTGCGTACACTCACGCAGTCACAAAATGAAAAATGCTAAATTTTATTCAAGACAACTTGTACCAGAAAAAAAGTATCTGGTTATTGCTATTATTATTATTATTAAATGCAAGTGTGTTAAAAGCAGGCATCTTAAAGTTGAAGGCATCTGTTTTTCTCAGGCACCTCTGTCTGAAATGTGATGTTGAGTTTACAGTAGAAAATAAATTACTTGCTCTATTTCTTGCTGGGCAATAAAACAGGAGCTGAATTGGCTGCCTCCAAACTTAAGACAGCATGAAGCATCAGCTTACCCACACAGTGCCATGGGGAAGAGGCATTAGGAACTGTTGAATTGCATGGCAGGCTCTTCTGGCCCATAGGAATTTGAATACCTCAGTGGTAGTAATACTACCATAGTTTTTAAAGCAACAGTAACAGAACCCCCTGCTGTGGCTGGTCAGAGAAAAACGCCTTGCAAAGCAAGAGAAGATCCTCAGAAAGGAAGGAAACATGGTATAGGCTAAGATGGAGCCTAGAGTAGGCCTTTTTTCACTCAAGGTCAGGGTGGACAAGAAAAGCCAGATGAGAGGTTAAAAGTAGCAGTATTCTTCATAATCTGGCTCTTATCTAAATTGCAATCATTGCAATTTGCAAAAAGGTATAGGACAAACTACAACTAGTACATAGTCCTAGATGAATATCACCAATATTCACAATTTTGCAAAAATTCAAATTTTTGCCCAGTTTCCATAGTGAAATTAAGTTTGAAATTTGAATTTACATTTTGAATGTTAAATCTTACCTCAACACTTAAGTGCTCTAGTCTTGTTGGCATATACTGGTTGTTTTGACTTTGGCAGCCATCAACTATGAAAGCTGATAAGTTGTAAACTATATAATACTCAATACCATTGCATGTCGTTTATAAAATGTCAAATATATTGTACACCAACTATCAAAAATTGTTAGATAGCATTTGCCAACAAAATAACTAGCATTCAAATTATATTTTGTGACAAATAATCCTGTGCATATTTACATGGAAGCAAGTGTCATTGAGTTCATGGGGGCATGTTTCCAGGTAAATGCATAGGGCTGCAGCCTTAAAAACCTTTTTATTTGAGCGAGACAGGTAAGCGCATGTTTTATGAAGTGTAAGTCTTTGCTCATTTGAAAGGGAGAGCTTTAAACAGATGCTTAACTTTGGCTGATTGCTAATTGTTAATGCTGCCGTTTCGCCTTCATTTAGATAACTAATTCTTATTCCCTACGCATGTATGTTTTGTCCAAACTTTGCAATGTCTTGATTATATATTTTTCTACTATGCAATGATGTATACATTTTAAGATTCTTAGTTTGCAGTATCACTGCAGTTTTCTTTACTGGGATTTCTAAAATATTTTACTGACTTTTCAAGTGAAAATGCAAAACAACCATATGGTGTTAAATTTCTGGCTGGGCCATCTTATATAGCCTACCTGTCCTTTCCACTGAATCTAGAAGTCATTGCAATTACTTCATTAAATGGCAACATTTTTCTGTTTTGGATTAGATGGTTCTCAATTTACTAATGGACAGTAGTGGGTGAGGTTTCAATAATCCAGCAAAAGCAATGTTTGTATTGAAGCAAGGTCACAGATTTGGGGACAGTTTGTCAATCTGGCAAAGGCAATGTATGCATGGGAACAAGCTTCTGTGTTTCATCTTTTGCTACTGTGAGCCCAGCATTCAGAACTGTGTGTGCGGATTTTGGATTCAGAATTTGGTTCTGCCAAATAGCCAGGCAGTACTATCACTGTGTTGAAAAGAAAAATTATATAAAGTTTTCGAATACAAGGCTACTATATTTGTTGATCACGGGAAAATCTTTGTAGTAAAAATCACGGAATAGCACACTGTACATGGAAGCTAGATTTTAAATAACTGAAGAACTGAGAATCACTCTCCTTGGTCGCAGAAGCTTTAGCAAACTGCCCATAGCTTTAGGTCACTCTTAAAGTTATAAACCCACTTTGTCATAAAAGCCTGATGCAAACATTCATGGAAAACCAACTATTGTTTCAAGCAAACCACTTAAGAAAAAAGTTATGCTCTTGAGGAACAGTCCAGCATCACCTTTCCAATGCAATTTTCAAGACAGTTTATAACACAGATTAAAATAAGAAATACTCAGAATAAAATTGCAAGATAAAATACTGGCAAGAGATCAGAAGACAGTAGATGGAAATCAAGAAGTTTAAAATGACAACAGTTTGGCAGACCAGTTCTTGCAAAATGGCAAACATTTTTGGTGGCGCAAGGCCATTGTGCAGGTCTCCTTCAGAACCAAGTTCCACAGCCCTCAGTGTGGCTACAGGACAACTCACTTCTGCATCCCAGCTAAGCACTCTTCATATGGAAAGAAAGTAGAGTCTCTCCAGTAGATCTTAATGAGTGAGCAGGTTCACATGGGAGGAGACAATCCTTTAGATATCCCGATCCTAGGTGGATTAGGGTCTTAAATCCTATCTGCTGCTTCACCTGCTACTCATATTAGTTGCTCAAAACAGAGTAAGTAACGTGAGATATATGCAAGTGAATTCTTTGAACTGAACAAGAGACTACAGGCCCAATTTGCATCTAAGCACAGAATATAATGAGCATCCGTCTGGACTATTGCAGAAAAGCTGTATCATGTGGATGTATAAAATATGTTTAAAATAATATGGATGCATATTATTGATGGGGGGGAATGCACACCATTGCTGTAAACACAAAATATTTTGGTTATCACTGATTTCTTTCAAGTGAAAATTGTGGACAGTTTACATCAAATTAAAACATTAATTTTTTGCTAAGTTGTATGCTCAGGTTTTTTTAAATAAAAAAAAAACCTGTGCGTGTACAAACACACACTCACACTCTCACACACACACTCTATACTGAAGAAGAGTGAGTATTTCTATTGAGAGCAATGGCTACACTGCACTATAGCAGTAGGACTCAGCTTTTTTGGAATATTAGCCAAAGTTGAATGGATGCACTTCTATAAGAGGAAGTGCTTCTCTGAAACGAGCACTACTCACTGTTTTCATGGAATACACATTCAGAAAGCTTCTGCATGGGCAAAATTCTGCATCCACATGAGATCTGCTCAATTTTGGCCCCTGTGTTTTATTATTCTTTTTCATGTCCTGAGTAGGCTATGCTATCTTCCAAGTCACTTCTAAATGGTCACATCTACAAACTTGGAAGCATTAACTGCCACGGTTTTCACCAAGGGATTTGGAGAACTAGCTTGGTGAGATGCTATGTTTTCTGTTAGACACCCTTCTCTAAAGAACTACTCACCCCAGGGTCTCCCAAGAATAGGTTATGACTGTTTATGTAGGTAGGTTTAGTGTGCCCTCAACTAAACCTCTGGCCTTGCAGACACCATGATTGCTGGATTTTATATCTGCTGACAGAATTCAGATTTAAGAATAAAACACCAGAACATTGATTCATGTCAGCTATTGTGCTCACTGAACATTTTGAAAATGCAAACAAGTCTTTTATGGGCAAATGTGTGCGTAGGCTGGGGTTTACTCACAACAGCTCCACTCTGCTAAAAGCAAAATGCAATGCGATAATGGTGTTGGAGGCAGGGATTTTGGACTGCCAATTATTTTATTTATTCTCTTTTTGGAAACTCTGGATTTGACAGATGCACATCTAAGATGTGTGCTTTAAGAGGCAGTTAGAAATGCCATGTACGACTGGTTGGGTGTGAGTTTAGTTCATTGCCAAGACACGTGTGCTCCTGTGATTTATTTTTAACTCATGTTTCAGTCAGCAGTAAAGTAAATAATGGGGCTGATGGAATAATGGGCTGGATGACATTTAGCAAGGGATCCCGAATGAAGTCTGTTGAGTATATTTCAAAGAAATTATAGCCAACGACTTATGCAAAAGTGGTGTGCTTCAAAGAAGGCCAGTTATGAGCTAATACCTTTATTGATTTATAAAAAAAGAGGAGTCCTGATTTACGAATCAGTTTAACTCCTCTATCAAAGAACTAATTAAACCAAGTCATGAACCATTTTATTTTGTACACGTTGCCTAACTCAAATGTTTCAGTGTGAGTACAAGGAACAAATCACACTAACCCAGTCTCCTCATTTGATTAAATGAGTGTTTGGGAACAGTACCCTGGAAAGTTTAATGAAATCCCCACTGAAATTAATTGGAACAGTAGAAGAATATTGTTCACCAGAACGCAAACCAGGCTGTCTTCAAGAAACACTGCCAAGGCCTTTTCAGGTTCTCTTTATCTTAGCTAGGTTACTCAATAATAAAAGAAAAGTGACAGTGTGGGTTTTGGAATGCCCTCTCTAAAGACGTGGGTGGGTTAAACCACAGAGCCTAGGACTTGCCGATCAGAAGGTCGGCGGTTCGAATCCCTGTGACGGGGTGAGCTCCCATTGCTTGGTCCCTGCTCCTGCCAACCTAGCAGTTGGAAAGCACGTCAAAGTGCAAGTAGATAAATAGGTACTGCTCCGGCGGGAAGGTAAACGGCATTTCCATGCGCTGCTCTGGTTCGCCAGAAGCGGCTTAGCCATGCTGGCCACATGACCCGGAAGCTGTACGCCGGCTCCCTCAGCCAATAAAGCAAGATGAGCGCCGCAACCCCAGAGTCGGCCACGACTGGACCTAATGGTCAGGGGTCCCTTTACCTTTATCTCTAAAGACACTTGCCTGGCACTTACTCTTCTTTACTCAGAAATTTCAACTTGAGATTCTAAGTTGTTTTAAGGGTTGTATCTATTTTTTATTATTGTATTTGTACTGTGATGAAAAGGTCACACCATCCTGAAATCCTACTGTCACCATTAATAATATAGTAATATATTATCTTTCCTTCTGCAGTAGCCCAGGGCACTGCACAACTTAATGAAAATGTGACGTTTTCCACAAATGGGAATTCACAGCACTGTATCAACAGATGTTTTTTGGGGTGGTAGATCTTAGAAGTTCCCAACAGTCACTCTTGGGAAAGTCATAGAGAAGGAGAAACCTGTACAATGCTATCTTTGGACTGGCAGTCGCAGAACCTTGGTTAAAGTCACAAACTAGTGCAAGATGTCTCTTAAAAATAAAAATAAAAACACCTTTGTTTGCTAGCTGCAGTGGTATTGCTGAAACCCCCTCAAGATTAGTATGGAAAAGCTTTTCCCAACCTGAGGTTCTCCAGCACATGCCAGCTGGGGCTGATGGGAGTTCTGGTCCAACACAGCTGGAGGGCACCTCGTCCCCTTCATCCTGCTTGCACAGACATAGCTTGGCAAAGTTCTCTTCTCTCGCCTCTATTGCAGCTCCCTCGGGGGATTCTGTGATCCTGTATTAACATCAAATAATGCGGAGACCTAGCTTACAAGCAAGCTGATCACCAGCCCCAGCCCAGCCAGATGTGGGATATATTGGTTAAGGGCTCGGCACGTGCGGATTTCAAGAAGGGTAATCTTCTATCTGTGTGGGCTGCAGAAGTATTGACCACAAATATTTTTCCTAGTACCAGATATGGTTTTCCTGGCACCAAATGTGTAATAGAGTGTGACAGAACATACAACAGAATTCATGGAGGTAAATGGTTATATAGCATGAAATTAGCTCTTCCTGTGATTGTCTCTCCACGAGCAAATAAATGCTATATCAGTATTACATTGTGTAAATATTATATGGAAGCCAAGAGTTGAAAGGGGTCAGAAGGTAGGGGAAGATCAGCTGGGGAAGAGGGTTAGTGTTAGGGGGAAAGCAGCAGACAGAGAAAGGTTAATCATCCCCTTGACCCCATCACTTTCCCCCACTTCACATTGCCTTCTGCTTATAATGCTTTGCAGAGAATGAGCAAGCCGCTAAGGCTTTCTTCCATACACTTGCACATTGGTCCTAAGTATACCAGATGATACCAGAAAGAGACGATTCAAGTGGTCGGCTGCTTGAGCCCAGCACATACTTTTAGTAGTAGAATAAGCTATGCATAAATGCTTAAGTAAATAATCCCCAAATTTTCAATTAAGTGCAGGTGTGAAGTTTGTTCCTTCCTTGGACCTAAGAAGTGTTATGCAGCTGTACAAGGAGTAAATATTCTGCAGTTGCAGAAATCCAGAATCTAATAGTTTTAAGATTGTTTCTCATTTCCTCTTAAGTTCACGCAACATAGTGGGATAATCCCTGTCAAACTGAGTTACTAAAGCTTGTGTAAGATGATCCAGAAGTTAGAAATAATTCTAATTAAATGCACTAAATAAATTTATCCCAGATGTTTCTAAGACAGCCATTGTAGAGATGCTACATAACTTCATGGCAGAAGAAAGTGCATATAAAGTTTCAGACCTCCTTTATTCCAAAGTTCAAGACGTGTATCTGGGCAGTTATTTATTTCGTTTACCAACAAGTATAAATAATAAAGTAAACAAATAGCCTAGATACGCTTCTGTCACCAATGGTATGGTGTGATTTACAGCTGATTAGAAGTACAATCAACTGTTCCATGAGGATGAAACTTAAAATGATATAGATCTTTAGGAAGTAAAAAATATTCTCCCTTTGTATATCACTTCAAAGTAGGTATCTAAGCAGTTTATGGAAAACAATAACATATAGCAATTCAATTACAAAGTAAGAGCACAAATACATAACTGAGTAAACACTGTGTGTGAACAAAATACAGCCAAATCTTTGTCAAGGAAGACCTGGGCAAAAAGGAAAGCTTCCAGTAAACACTGTAAGCTGTACAAATGATGCACAAAGTTCCTAATTGTGGGGAAACTAAAGACATCACTGGTGAGTAAAATATGTACTTATAAAATAAAAACATTGCAATAAATAAGGAGTCACGTGTTTAAGTGGCACTACACTGATTGAAGGAGCAATTCATGCAATTCAGGACACACAGAGCAAAATATAAACAGGGTGCTAACTCTGCATTTGTCCTTCCAACTACCTCAAGTTGAGGGACAGGTCCCCATCCATTTGGTATCTTCACAGAGCACCTTCCTTTGTTCCCTTAATGACCCATTATCTCAACAAGAAGCTAGCTGGGCTATTCCAAGAATTAGAAGGGCCACTAGGCTTTCAGCTTAACCTCCACAACTCATAATCCTATTTTAGTCTGTTATGATAGGTCTGGGTTGCGTATCACTTTAAACCATAGTTAAAATAAATCATGGTTAAATGTGAATGAGCATCTTGGTGATACAAGGAGCTGAAATCACAGGTGCTGTGTTCCTACCTTACTCCTGCCACAGAGGCAGGGTGCAAATAATCAAATTAGTAGGAGGCGTATGGTATGGTTTAGTGTTATGACAGATGTCAGCTCATGGTTTGTCTTCTTCAAACACACCATTGCAGGACATTTGTGAAGATAATATGCACATAGAAACTGATACAATGACAGTCATATTGGCACATTCTGGAATTTAATTAATGCAGGTTTAAGACCCCCCTCATTCATCGTTAATAACATCACAGCAGCCAGTTGGCACTCTCACTTTGCTCAGCTGTATTCCGCCCCAGATTCCGACGTAAACGCAGTTTCCACTCTTCCTGCATCTGCCTTGCCCACCTGGGAGCCAGTCCCCAGAGAGATGTGTACAACTAATTAGCATGTTATCAGGAGATAAATCCCCCGTGGGAGGATATGATTCCACCCGAGGTATTCTTATTGAACCAGATGTGGTGGGCCCCTATTTTTGCATCTCTCTTTACCACTATTAATGCCACTCTTAAGATCCCGCCAAATTGGAAACAGAGCATAGTCATCCCAATACATAAAAAGGGGGACCCACAAGATCCAGCGTAACTATCGACCCATCAGCCTGCTAGACATATCATACAAGGTTTACTCTAGATTCTTGCTAGAGAAATTAATCGAATGGGCAGAAGAAACAAAGCTATTCCACTCGGAACAGGCTGGCTTCCGTAAAGGTCACAGTACATCTGGCCAATGTCTTGTTCTATTTACTCTGATTGATAAATACCTAAACAGGTTTAACTGCAAACTACACGCGGCTTTTGTGGACCTGACCTCCGCTTTTGACTCCATTCCCAGAGATAGGCTATGGCAGAAGCTTAGTTACACCAACATAGATAAGAGACTCCTCCTTCTTCTTATGGAAATTCATAATGACATATCGGCCAGAGTAAAATTCGGCCCCCTGGGAGCTCTTTCTGATTCTTTCCCTCTGAATAAAGGGGTCAAACAGGGCTGCCTCTTGGCCCCTTTTCTATTTAATTTCTATATCAACGACATCGTTACAACTATGCAGGCCCTAAATCAATCTGCCCCTCTCTACAACAGCTCAAGATCCCCATATTACTCTATGCGGACGACATGGTGATACTGTCTTTAACCAAGCAGGGCTTAAACAACATGCTCAGAGGGCTCATGACATATTGTGATACCAATTCCCTCAAAATCAATTTCGCCAAAACCAAAATTCTTACTTTTGGCACGAAAACTCGGAAGTCATTCTGGAACTTTGAGGGCCACTCTATTGAATATTGCTCAGCTTTCAAGTATTTGGGAATCACTTTTCAGCATGGGCTTAGCTGGTCAGCTCACCTAAATATGACCATCCTGGCTGCCCGTAGAACCATCAAAGCCTTGGAGAAATTCTTCTATGCAAAAGGCGGCCAGTTGGTTCCACCAATCAGAAAAGCATTTATTAGCAAAGTCCTCCCGATGTTACTGTATGGGGTTGAAATCTGGGGGTGGAATTTAAAAACACTACAACGGCTGGAGATTCTACAAAACTCTTTTGCACGAAAGATACTGGGTCTCCCCAAGGGCTCGGTTGCTGCTCAGTTAAGAACAGAACTGGGCCTCCCTCCATTGTTGCGAGAGCCCACATTAGAATTATTAGTTTTTATTGCAAATTAATCAATGCCCCAGGTTCCCTACTAGCCAGGCAAGCCTTTTAACTTGTTCTCACTCCAACAAATGGTCCAAGGCCATGGAGACTATTACTGTACGCTACTCCCTCCCAGAATTCGACACGTTGTCATCTTGGGACCAACATAAAATCCGGGCCTGGATTCTTATAAGAGATGAGGCCATGGACCGGGCACAGTCCACCTCAGCTCGCCTCTCCATGTGGCTCCCTAAAGTGAAAGTGGTAAGATCACTTGCCAACTACTTGATAGACCTGACGGAGCCCAATTTGAGAAGAGCGTTTACAATGGCCCGTTTTCATTCTATACCCACGGCCTTCCTGCAGGGGACCTACTCTAAGACCCCTATTACTCAGCGTCTATGTCCATGCACAATGAATGAAGTAGAGGACTTCATACATTTCTTTTTCTACTGCCCTATTTATGACCCAATAAGACCTAAGCTCCTCCTCTTGATCCCGTCCTCCATTTCATCTAAGGAAGACTGTCTGAAAGCACTTCTTGTGGACGCAAATCCCCAAATTTCACGTGGGGTGGCAATCTTCACAGTGCAGGCTCTGAAACTCAGGGCTACTCTGACAGGGTAGTGTGCCCTAGTCCTGGACCTGTTTAATTCTTTTATTACCTTTTTAACTCAATGTGCTGAGCCTATTTTGGGGCCATTTTATGCTTTATTTATATCCGCATACTAGTTTTCTTTGGCGCTGGCAACCAAATCTCTGTATTATTGTCTTAGGGTGTTTTAAATGTCATTACGCCAGCAATATCGCTTTGAATTTTGCTTGGTTGTTTGTCCCCAACATTTTTTTTTTTTTTTTTTGTATTGTCTTATTTTGCTATGGCTGTATGCTAATGCAATTAAATTAAATTATTATTATTATAACATATTGGCACATGGGAGCGATATCCAAGACAGGCCATTAAGTGGTGTGGAGGAGTGTAGAGCAGGTAGCTTAGAAATAAGATGTAAGGGGAACAACCCCCAAAATCTGGCTCGTACACAGCTGGTTTCATACTTTAGTGTTCAAAGGAGGCCCTTGTGACTTGCCAGATGTGAGAGGGACCATCAGTCACCATGCAAGAAAATAGGCATTTATCTCTTAGAAGAATGCTTTTAAAAATTCTGATCCAAGTGGGAAGGAAATAGTATTATGTACACATGTGGAATTAATGTTCTGCAGTTTTCACATACAGCAAAAGTGGCCAGCTTTGTAGGATGTCAATTAAATTCATAGGTTTGATTGTACAATGTGTTCTTAGCTACAGTATCGGAATGTGCATTAAAAAAAAAAGAAATACCACATTACTTTCATTTATAATGGAGTTCTTCAACACAGGTATGTGTCCGACATCATTAAAACATCTTGTTGCTTGACCAAGTCACCAGTGCATCAGTGATGCCAGTTTTTGGCTACGCTATTTCAGGTTGTGATTATACAAGGGGTTTTCAGTTGTGAGTGAAAACAAACAGTGGATGCAGACATGCCTCAACGTCTCCCTCTGTCTCAAACATGGTTCTGAGCTTTGCCCTTGTTGGATTTTTCAACCAAGAAGATTCAGCTAAATCTATTTTTTAAAACATGTTGAGTTCAATGGGATAGGTAAGCATATGCTCAGCTTTCACCTTTTGAAATGAATGGGGCTTAAACGTGTTTAAATTGGGTGCCCTTAAGCAGTGATAGTCTTCTGTATGAGGGATGGGGAATGCATGACCTCCACCCAAAATGTACTCAAACATCACCTCCCATCATCTCTGATCATTGGCTGTGCTGACTGGAGCTGATGGGAACTGGACTCCCAACAACATCTAGAGAGCCACAGGTTCCCAGTCTGTGCCCTAAGCAGTTCCTACAGAGAAGAGGCATTTGGGGGGCCTTTCTTGCAAGTGAAAAGTTGCAAATTCTTCAAACAAAGCCAATTGCCTTAATTCCCTCTTAGCTTTCCAGCGGCATCTCTCCTGCCCCGTCCAGAGCAAACTTCCAGGTACTTGGAGCATTATTATAGAAAACTCATGTCCTTGCAAAACAACATTGTTGTCACTCTTGGGTCAATTTATACTCATTCAACAGAAAATAAATGTCTGTTTCTTGTTGAAGTATGGGAGCATTGCTCTAGTTTACTTGTATCGGTTTGAATCATATTATTCCCCAATGCGAAATGGGTGTTTTGACATGTGTGCAACCAAACAGGAAGGACATGGAAACAGCTGTGAGGACAGGCTTGGAAGGCAGAATGTTTTTACTGAGTTATGAGGACTGTGTCTAAGCACCATGAATAAAACCCAGCAGTCACAAATGTGATGCATTAAAAAGAGGATAGGGTAGGGGGAAGCTTTACTGACTCATGATCAGTCTGTGATTCACTAGACTCCACATATTTATGCTGCTAGACACTTCATTTCTGTGCACCTTCTTGTTAGGTTAGGCTAGACTAATGCTTCCTCTGCTGCTGCTCAAACCCTTTCCTCTGCCTGAGATTTATATATGACATCTTAGTAACGTGGAACATAGGGTTAGGAAATATTTGAGAAATTCCAGAAGGACGTCAACAACTACCACTTCACCACCAACTTCAGCCTGGACCAGTCCATGCAACAATTCACTTTTTGGACATCAATGTGCATCTGCACATTGGACTGATAAGCAGCACCTTATGCACAATGAATATAGAATCAGCACCATATACACACTGAGATGCCTCTAGCATTCTAGAAAGTATAACAAGAGCCGTTGCCTATGGCCAAACCCTAAGATACAACTGTTTATT